TTATTTTGTTTATTTCAATACGATTACTATGTGTGTGAACAGTATGGCACAGTCGGTGGTTGATGGCTTACATTGATGATTGTGGAGCTTTTGGTAGTAATAGTAGTTTTTTTTTTAATGGATGATAATGGAATGGTAACCCCACCCGCGCTATCGGTATACACCGGCGGGGTACCAGTGAAGAATGATAAGTGAGAATGAAGCAAGTCAGTTGGCCCATCGTGACGAATTCAACAATAATTGTTCATGGTGGAGGAGAAACCACGTGCAGGTCGACCTAATAGAATATAGCGCTAGTAATGGGGCTGTCAAACTCCATAGCTCACAATTCCTTTCCCCTGGTAGTAATAGTGGTGATATTTCTGTAAAATAAAGTTTCTTTCTTTCTTTCTGTCTTTCTTTCTGATCAATTCGAGTGTTGGCAGTCACACATATACTGTCATCATCATCATCTCAGTCACTGTCTGTCCACTGTTGAACATAAGCCTCCTCCACAGAGGGAGACTTTGTACAAAAGTCGATTGCTTGGGTACCTCTGTCACATTCGTGTTTCAACCGTGAAGCAGTTGTGTTTGCGTGGCTGTGTTTCGGTTTGAAGGGTGGTATATGGCGTGAATTTACTGGGTACAGAGGAATAACACCTGAGTCCTCAGGAATGGCAACGCATGGGGGGTATCATGGGCAAAACAGTATATTCTGTTATGTCCATGGTACTGCTCATGTCTATAGGCGACGGTTACCACTTTCCATCAGGTGGGCCGTCAGCTTGTTTGCCATTCTAAGTTGTATAAAAAAAAAAAAAAAAAAAAAAAAAAAAGACAGCCATAAGGAACGGTCCTAAGCCACCTGCATCCACTGAATCCTTGCAATGATTTGATGTCGTCACTCCACCTAGTGGAAGGTCGTCCTATACTACATTTACCCATACGAAATCCTCACTCAAGAACCTTCCTTCTCTCACATACTAACAGTAACGGAATTAAATGAAATAATTCTAATTAAATAACCAGTGACATCATAATAAGTTACAGTCCTTGGGTTTCTGGTGACGCCAACGACAAAACAATATCGACAAAATATATTATGACTCGACTTCGTCTATCTTCCATTATTGGTGCCTCGCCAGTGTATACCGATTGCACAGGTGAGGTTACCATTCCATTGTCATCCCATTAAAAAAAAAAACTACGCTATACATATGGGAGTACATATGGGAGTTTCGCTCTCTGGTTTCATAGGCCTCTGAATTAGCTTGATTAAGGACTGACAGGGGTTGATTCGCGTAACAATGCTACGTAGCATGATTGCTTCCTAATCACTAGATAGATCTGCAGAGACAACGTCAATGTTCACTCGCTAATCGTTTTTTGAGTTTTAACACAAGATTCTTGGAAAAGTTCTTGGAATAAAGTAAAATATGCTTGGAGAAAATAGGATATTTCCTTGGAAATTTTAAAAAATATTAAAAGAAGGAGAGGGAATGTAAAAACAAAGGGCAGATAACCCTCTCTTTTTCGTCGTTCACTTTATGGCACACGGCAAAACCTAAAGAAAAAGGATACAAATTTGTGATTGGGCAAAAATCTTGGAGATCGTATCGATTTTAAGAAACAATATTTCACGATTGGATAAAAAATGTAAATTCGCATCTGGCAACCCTGCGCCGAGGATTTTTGGACGTCAGTTTGATCTTGTCTCCTAGTAAGCTGCAAAGTTCGAATGTTCTAGAGATGCCGACACTGAGGATACTCTGTTCCCTAAAATAATAAGGGACGTATTCTAAAATTGTAATCGTGGTGAATGGAGTTTTTTTGGGCTATAGATAACGCATCGGACTTTGTCGTTATTTTGCTATCTATCTATCTATGTTACTGTGTGATAATATCGTAATTTCTGTTTTGTAAACAATACACGAGTAAACAAGTAAAATATGAAATTTTTTTTTGATGGGTGAAAATGGTATGGTAGCCCCGCCTGCGCTAACGGGATACGCTGGCGGAGCACCAGTGAAGGGTGATAGATGAGAATGAAAACAGGCCAGTTAGCCCATCATGATGAATTCATCAGGAATTAACCGTGATAGTTTCCAGGGGGAACCGCGAGGAGGTTGACCTGGTTGGGTATATTGCTAGCAATAGGATTTTCAGTCTCCATTACAAACAATCCCTTTCCCCCAATATAAAATATTAGGTCCTTACATATGAAATTAGCGTTTTGTCGTACTAACCATTTTGATCTGAAATATCTCCTTTTTGATTAAGAATTCCAAATTCAAATTTATAAATTCATTTAGTTGGTACATTTTAGTTTTGAAAACAATTACAAGAAACAATCACAGTGAGAAAACACTGGGCGACCTTATCGCTAAAAACGATCTCTTCCAGGCAACCTTTGGATGGAGAGGAATAATTATAAACAGTATAAAAAATAAATAAATTTTATACCGATTGGCTGAGCTGTTATAAACAAGCGCTAATAAACATACGTACTTTCACATCTACACTAATATTATAAAGAGGAAAGATTTGTATTTTTGTGTGTATGTATGTTTGTAATGAATAAACTCAAAAACTACTTTGTGCGTTTTCAAAAATTCTTTTACCATTACAAAGCTCCATTTTCTCTGAGTAACATAGGCTATATTTATTTCTAGAAAAGATCCTTACTAAAACTTTAGTAACGTAACTCAAGGTGTAAAAAAATACTATAAAATGTCTTTGATCGCGTGCGCTGCGGAAACTATTGGTGATAGAACAAAAGTATGTTCTACAATATTGAAGAAAATATCAATAACTACAAACAACTTCGCGATACTATATGACCAACTATTATCGTTATGTCAAAGTAATCGCTTTTTAAAATTTAAAAAAAATATCCACCCGTGCGAAGCCGGGGCGGGCCTCTAGTTTATTATATTAGTATGGATTATTACACATACGTACACAGTATGTGATTTGTTAATTGAAATGTAATCATACAGTATCACGTGGCTCGGCTGATAACAAGGTGCACAATTCCAAACAGGTTTGCAGCGCATTGGTAACAAGGTCTCTGTATTTTACCTCAAATTGCAGCGTCGTTTTACATAATAAGTAGTTACGAGATATAATACTGGTGGTCTTAGTAATATAATTAAATTGTAACTAGAGTATGGAGGAGATTTTTTTACAACACATGGGGCAAACGAGCAAGCGGCTAACCTGAGGGCCTATCATGAATTGTTTTCCGAAATTTCGGAGATAAACGAAACATAAATTTGATGTTAAAATTTCATAATACATGCCGTTTGCAAATATTAAAAATGTTAAAATATTAATCCTTTGGACTTTTATGATAAGATGTATGACGAACGAAATGTTAAACTCCATTTATTGGTTCGATTTTGGTATAAACAAAAACACGAAATTAAGTCCAAAATTACGTGATTTGTTTTCATGGTAGGCTGATGGTAAGCGACTGCCGCCGCCCAATATCACCCACAAAACCAGAGGCATTGCAGGTATGATGCCGGCCTTTTAAAAAGGAATATGCTCTTTTCTTGAAGGTTATGTTGTCGTATCGGTTCGGAAATACTGCTGCTTTTTTGCCTCCTGTTTTTACGCCATATAAAGATAGATACTCTTTATTGTTTCCTCCATAAGATTACAATAGCGAACTTACTATAAATACAAACAATTACAAGAAAATATTATACTAATAATACAATGGCATATACGTTATCCTTTACATACAAACCCTATAAATACGTCCTCCTCTCGGGTTCTCAAGGTTGACTGGAAGAAACCCCTTCAAGAGATAAATCCACCTGTGTTAATTTTTGCTATAATCAAATTTTAAAGCATTTAAATAAATAAATCGATATTAGACGATTTAATAGGAACAATAGATATGAAAATAATAGTTTTTAGATTTTTTTTATTGTTTGCCTACCTAAGCAAACGAGCAGACGGTCCACCTGATGGGAAGCAGCTACCGTCTCCCATGAACACCTACAACACGAGAGGAGTTGCTTGTGCGTTGCCAGCCTTTTATTTATTCCGGCTTCACGCAAAAACTTATGTATCAAATTGAATACGATTTTCACAGTTGTATTCCTGAAGGTTTAATTTAAAAACTGGTGTCTATTTTATCTCGATACGCCATCTAGATTACCATTAGGTCTAAGGTCAATGATTTTCCTCCATCTGAAATCCACGTGTACGAAGTAGGGAAAAAACTAGTTCATAAAAAAATAGCAATAATTTCTGTTTCTAGACACATTATTATATTCTTTATTGCACTCAAACATACAATAGTGATAATAATTAGAAATAATGTGAGCAAAATTGTATGTTATGAACATTATGTTTATTATATATATATATATATATATATATATATATATATATATATATATATATATATATATATATATATAATATCATAATAAAATAATGCGGATAAAATTTTCCTGGTACCCGTCATCAGATATCTACAGTCTAAATATGTTTTTGTATGAAATCTCTTAGGTTCCGCCCAAGTTCATTACAAATTCTATTGCGTCGCCTACAGACATGAGCAGCACCATGGACATAACAGAGTATACTATTACACCCATGATACCCCCCATGCGTTGCCATTCCTGAGGACTCAGGTGTTATTCCTCTGTACCCCATAAATTAACTGCCAATTCACTACAATTATAGTTTATAGACTTTATATATAAAGGGAAACAATGTGGAAAAATGGTAGCTATTGAAGGGCGTCATGGTTTCTCTTAGAGATTTTTATATCTTGACAGACAGACAGACATAACAAATATGTAGGAATTCTGTCTTGTTCCATTCACTACAGTACCCTAAATGGCATAATTAAATTGTTCCAGAAAAAAAAATAACGATCGTGACATCCACGGAACCATGGATTGACACTCGCTTGTCTTGTTCGATAAAAAATAAACAATATCAACTAACATGATGTGATAGAAAGATTGATAACATTATCAATCATTATCAATCGGCCCACAACACTTTAGTTTGTGCGAGGCGTATTGCAAATCGATCGTGTATTTTTTTTTTGTTATAAAGAAAATAATCGTGTTATTTTATGCGTAGTTTTACGTGTGTTGTGTGTAATTAAAAAATATATTTTCGTTTTTTTTTTTTTTAATATAAATTTGTAAAATATAAAAAAATATAACACGTAGTTAATCATTCTCAATTTTGTATGTATCACGAGTATGTGTAATCTTAGGCCGTGTGGTCCCGGCATAGAATAAGCCACCCCTTCCTTTTCCGTGGGTGTCGTAGGCATCAACTAATAGAGGGCGAGAGATGAGCAACAGTGTCCCTCTTAAAACATGTCTAAAGCCTAACTGTAATTGACACTTCCCCTGTCAAGTGTAGCAACTACTTGCAAAACCCCCCAAGGGGGAGGCTTATGTTCAGCAGTGGACAGTTAAAGGCTGGCATGATAATGATGTCTAATTTTATTGAACAGATGATGTTTTTTTATTATTTTTATTACATAAACTAGCTGACTCGGCAAACGTTGTTTTACCATATACATTATTTCGAGAACTATGTATGGAAATTTGTCCTACTACAATTATTATATTCGATTGCCATCTTGTAACCCTATTGCGGCATATAAAAATCACGATTAAAAAACAGCGGTTGATCGTAGAAGCGTGAAAATTTGAATTTGTATGTATTTTTCAATGCTAAGTCATAATAAAATAAAAATAAATTGACAAAAAAATAAATATAAAATATATAGTGGTGGGTCACCTTTATCATTGAGGGGTATGAAAAATAGATGTTGGCCGATTCTCAGACCTACCCGATATGCACACAAAATTTCATAAAAATCGGTAAAGCCGTTTCGGAGGAGTTTGGTAACAAACACCGCGACACGAGAATTTTATATATTAGATGTAAAGTTGTTTCCGTGACTTATAGCAATTGTGCTTAGTTTTATATTAGTATTGCTTTATGTGATACATAAGGAAGTACGTTTTTTGCGATATAGTCACCTCAATGTGCATTAGAATTGTCGGAAAGTGTTTTGAAAAAAAAAAAATTAATACCTAATAATGAATTAACTTTAATAATACCACCTAAAGTAGAGATATAAAGCAGAGATCGTCTCAAAAAGTATTTTTTCACATGTGCATTATTGCTAATTCTCAACGGATCGTGATAATGCAATAATAATTACTATATTAATTATTGTTGATTCTATTATATTTTTCACGCTACAATTTTTTTTTTTTTGAAATATGTTTTTTTTTATTATTTGTGGATCATAAACTGAAATAAGTAACAAAAGTATTGATTAGTATGGAATATCTATAGCGCAGTCTTTAGTTATGTATATATTTAACTAAAATGTCAACTTAGTATTTTTTTTTTTTTTTATTAGTTACGTGGTTTTAGGCTTTGTTTAGCGTTTTAAAGAAAGGGTGTTACATTAGAAAAAAATTTACAGTGACAATGTGAAATGTGTGTGTTCTTCAAATTTTAAAGTGATTCCGTGAATGGGCATGTGTATCGTGCGTGTGTTTAATGTAGAATATTGACACAAAGTTAACAAACAGCGTTCAGGATGAAGTTAAAAAGTACATTGTCCGTGCCAAATCTAGGTTTGTATTGCTTACTAAAAATTGATAATTAACAATTTTAACTGTGCCGTGTTTGTAACACTATATCAGTGAGGGAAGGGATTGTTAGTAATGCGTACTACTAGTCCCATTGCTAGCAATGTACCCTGGCAGGTCGACCTCCATGTGTTCCCCTCAGGAAACCATCGTCTGAATTCCAGGTGTATTTATCACGATGGTCTAACTGACCTGCTTCATACTCACCTATCATATCTCACTGATGCCCCGCCAGTGTACACCGATAGGGCAGGCGGGGTTACCATACGATTATCACATATTAAAAAAAAAACGTGGTGACACGTGATTTGTAACCCACGTCAAAAAAGAAGGTTCTCGTTTCATTTGCAATTTTTATTTTATTTTTGTTATCCCAGAATTTCATCATTTATACATCTATTTAGAATTTTTTTTTCTATTTTTTATATAAATATTTTAAGGTATTTTAAATTGTTCCCATAGAAATTGCATCAATATCGCTTTAGTAATTTAGTTTTTAAATCAGAATATATGATTCATAGTTGTGATTATGCTAAAAAAGTTATAAGTTCTAAAATAAAAATTTAAGAAGTTAATATTAATTTTTTTTTTTTATATGGAAGAAAATTTACTTGTAGGTAATCCCAACCAAAAAAGTTATCTATATAATTATTATATATATAATTATTTTATCATAATATTTATGAGAAAATAATTATATATCTGTTTTTTTTTTTTAATAGTTAACTAGGATTTTTTTTTATACAACTTAGAATGGCAAACAAGCTGACGGCCCACCTGATGGAAAGTGGTAACCGTCGCCTATAGACATGACCAGTAGCATGGACATAACAGAGTATACCTTTTCACCCATTATACCCCCCATGCGTTGCCATTCCTGAAGACTCAGGTGTTATTTCTCTGTATCCTATAAATTCACGCCTTGTTCCACCCTTCAAACCGAAACACAGCTATGCAAACATAACTGCTTCACGGTAGAAACACAAATAGGACAGAGGTACCCAAACAATCGATTTTTGTACAAAGTCTCCCTCTGCTATATACTTAGCATTAAATCCGTCTTTTGTCCGAACATTTTTTTTTTTTTTATAAAGAATAATTAACAGCACCTATTTAATACAGAGGTATTCTTTAATCAATAAATTATAGTATTATTCAAATGTAATCGATCATTTTTAATCAATATGTGATAAGCAATTTTTTTTAATGAGTGATAATGGAATGGTAACCCCCCCGCGCTAACGGTATACACCGGCGGGGCTCCAGTGAGGGATGATAGGTGAGGATGAAGCAGATCAGTTAGCCCATCGTGACGAATTCAACAAGAACTGTTTACGATGGTTTCCAAGGGGAACCACGTGGAGGTCGACCTAATAGAGCATATTGCTAGCAATGAGGCTGTCAAACTCCATTGCTAACAATGCCTTTCCCCACTGTGATAAGCAGTTTGTCTCATGCCTTAAACGAGCAAATAATTATATCCTATTCTAGGACTAACTATACCTAACTTAATTATATATGAAGTAAAACCAATTATTTCATTTTTAATGACGACCTGTCGTCATGTTGTTGCCAAAGGCAACCTTTTAATATGTTTTTAAAAGAAAGAGCTTTTGTGATAACAAAATCGGCACGAAACAAAATTGAAGGTGCACGCCGCCTAATTGTGAGCCGATTTTGACGTGTATTTTTGCGACAGCGTTCACTGCGGCCAGTATTGAGCTATATTAATTTTGTGACGACTAAAACTATCGTTTGTTTTTGAATAATTAATTTCTATATATTATAATTACAATAAAACCTTTTAAGAATAATATAAAAAAAAAACACATTGTTCATAACACTTATACTGTTTTAACGAGACACATATCTTAAAATACCATTAACATAATATATACTCTGTTATGTCCACGGTACTGTTCATGTCTATAGGCGACAGTTACTACTTTCCATCAGGTGGGTCGTCAGCTTGTTTGCCATTTTAAGTTGTATAAAAAAATATTTCACATCGCACGGTTGGACATTTTTACAACATTTTAAAAAGTCGTTATTGTGACATAACGATAATAGTTGGACATATAGTATCGAGAAGTTTTTTTTAGTTATTGATATTTTCTTCAATATTGTAGAACATACTTTTGTTCTATCACTAATAGTTTCCGCAGCGCACGCGACCAAAGATGTGTTATATGTTATAGCATTTTTTACACCTCGAGTTACGTTACTAAAGTTTTAGTAAGAATCCCTAATCTTTTCTAGCAATAAATATAGCCTATGTTACTCAGGGTGAATGTAGCTTTCTAATGGTGAAAGAATTTTTGAAATCGGCAAAGTAGTTTATGAGTTTATTCATTACAAACATACATACATACAAAAATACAAATCTTTCCTCTTTATAATATTAGTGTAGATTAAAATGTTACAAAGCTAATTAATGCAATTATATGTTTAATTGTTCGCAGGTGATATAACATGGTTCCGGGGCAGTCGTAACGGCGACATGAACCACGGCGGGCTGAAGAATGCCTCCACGGAATCGCGGACCGACAGCAAACGTGAGTACACACAGCTACGCTGCCCGTATAAAACCTTACTAATATTATAAATGTGAAAATGTGTTCGTTTGTTACCTTATAGCGCCTTAACGGCTTAATCAGTTCCTATGAAATTTGGTATATAGGATGGAGAAGGAAACAGGCTGGTTTTTATCCGGGTCAGTGAATATATCCCAGTCACCTGGTCCTCAAGCTAGAGCCCTGCATAGTATTACGCTCCCAGCAAACCTTGTTGAGTCCACCACATATATCTCATACTGTAATTATTCAGCTCTCTCTCTCTCTCTCTCTATCTTTCTCTCTCTCTCTTCCTGTCTTTACCTTTTCTCTCTTTTTCTCTTCCTGTCTCTATCTTTCTCTCTCTCTTTCTCGACTTGTAAGGGATTTGAGGGCTTTGATTTTTTTCTGGATGATAGTAGAATGATGCCTAATGACCCCGATATAGATTAGGCAACCTCTTCCTTTTCCATAGGTGTCATAAGAGGCGAATAAGGGAACTTGATGGCCGAAGAATGGGCAGCAGTGTCCCTCTTAAAATATCACCAAAGCCTAACTTCTGAAGCCTGCCAAGCATGGCAGCTATTGGCAAAGCTCCTTATGTGTGGGAGGCTTATTTTCAACAGTGGATAATTCAGCGGCTGATATGATGATGGTGATATATTTAATTTCAAGATGGGTTTTTTATTGTTGGATGAAAATGGTATGGTAACCCCGCCGGCGCTAACGGGATACGCTGGCGGAGCACCAGTGAAGGGTGATCGACGAGAATGAAAACAGGCCAGTTAGCCTATCATGATGAATTCATCAGGAATTAACCATGATAGTTTCCAGGTGGAACCGCGTGGAGGTCGACCTGGTTAGGTTTATTGCTTGCAATAGGATTTTTAGTCTTCATTACTAACAATCCCTCTCCCCCCAATTTCAAGATAGGTTTGCGTTTGGGTTTACCTTACCCGATCGTAAATAATACCAAAATCTGGGATAAAGTGCACTCACCTAGAAAATACGTACTCACCATCGACTTGGTTTTATTCAAAATATATAAAGATAGATAGCCCGCAATCCGCCAATCAATCAACACGCCTGCCAATTTACGTTTTGATAATGCCAAATCCCAGATACGTTTGGAGAATACCTAACATGCCTTTAGCTCGACCTTTGTATCGAATTAATTAGTTGAAGGCCTGCTATCACTGAAACTGGTAAACAAAACAGCTCATTACTGACTGTTTTTAGGGTTCCGTGCTTCCAAAGGAAAGAATGAAACTCTTATAAGATCACTTTATTGTCAGTCCGTCTGTCTGTCAAGACCCTTCTTAGGAACGCGTGCAAGTGCCAAGTTGAAATTAATATCATACACTCAAATCTACAAAGTATTCTTACGACACCCACAGGAAAAGGAGGGGTAAATGTAGAATGGCATTCTATGCCGAACCACGCGGCAGCGACTTACTTAGGTACGTCCCATCAAGTACGTCAGCCTGCCTAGAAATATAAAGAATATTATATATGTAAGTACGTATATCGCTTCTTTGCATAATGGTGGAAATTTCCATCATAACATTGAATGCCCAAAAATTATATAAAAGACGAAGTTCAATTTAAGTTGATCGTGTATGGATAGCTTTTTAATGTCCATTGCAGAAAAAAAAAAACATAGCTGTCAAAGTTATTTTTTTAAACATTTTTCCTTTAATTTTGAAAATGAATTATATTACCTTTATTTATTTCACCAATAAAAAAAAATCATGCAAAGAAGGGTTAAAAAGAGTATTGTATATGATTATTTTAATGTGTTACTATAATTATGTCACATATTTTTCACCACATCTGCCCTTCATACACTTTCTGTTTTCACCTAATGGTTAGCTGGTAGAGAATGCCATATGGTATTACACTCGCCACTTCTACAAAGTTTTATTGTGCAATAAAGAATCAATAAATAAATAAATAAATAAAAATAAAGTATTGTTTTAATTAAATAGCAATAAAAACGACTCATCAAACAAAACAATAGATGCCAATAAAAAATAAACAATAATATATACTTGGCAAGAGAAATGTTCCGATTATTATATATTTACATAACAATGATACATACAAGTGGAAATAGTGAAGTATATACAAGTAAATAGCTGTTTTTTTTTTTCTTTTTCAATTGTTCTTTATTTTTTATTGTACACAAAATGTTATTAAAATGTAAAAACAAACATAATAGTGCACTAAGGCGAGCTTATCTCCAATAGAGATTTCTTCCAGCAAACCCAATATGAGAAAACTGACAGTTCATTAGTAGTTACAGTCCTACAGATAGATTTGATTTCACAGTAAACAGTGTTTTAATTGTTCTGTAAAAATGGTATCTTCAATCTTCGTTAACTTAATGAGTATAATAATTGAAATCTATTCAAAACTAGGTGTTTGCGTGCTGCTTTGTTCGCGTAAATTTCAGAAATAGGAGGATCAGTGAAATAGTTCACTTCTAGATGGTGTTTCGAGATAAAACATATACAAAATTTTAATAACATAAAACTTTAGGAATGCAGCTGTGAAAACTGCATTCATTTTGTTATAGTACGAGTAGTTTAGTATGTGATTCCGGAGCAAAAATACAGACATCTAGTTATAATTATATATTATATATATATATATATATATAATATATATATATATATATATATATATATATATATATATATATTTACAAAATCCCCCAAGGGAAAGGCTTATGTTCAGCAGTGGACAGTTAAAGAGTGATATGATGATGATGATGATGATGAAGTGGTAATAGTAAAAATAGAAACTGAATTGTGCAACATACAATGACATAGCAATTGTAACATACACTCAAAAAATACAGACAAATTGAGAACTCTCTTTCAGGAACCGCTTAGAAATGACTCACTGTGACCTAGTATTCCAGTGTTCTACCTCAAAGTACCAAGGTCTTGTGTTAAAACTCGCTGACAAGCTAGCTGGGGCCTCTTAAAATATTGGCAAACAGTAAATACTGATCAATCGTAATCCCAATTGATTCCAGTGATACGAATAGATAGATAAAATATTTGATAATAAATACGTAATCAAATATGTAACAAATACCATGTATATCACTATTTACATACAAAATATGATAATGTGTATTTAATAGGTAGATTTCTACACTAATATTATATAGAGGAACGATTTGTATTTTTGTGTGTATGTATGTTTGTTATGAATAAACTCAAAAACTACTTTGCCGATTTCAAAAATTCTCTCACCATTAGAAAGCTACATCCACCCTGAGTAACATAGAGAAGATTAGGGATCCTTACTAAAACTTTAGTAACGTAACTCAAGGTGTACAAAAAATGCTATAAAATATCTTTCGTCGCGTGCGCTGCGGAAACTATTGGTGATAGAACAAAAGTATGTTCTACAATATTGAAGAAAATATCAATAACTACAAAAACTCCATAATACTATATATCCAACTATTATCGTTATGTCACAATAACCACTTTTTACATTTTAAAAGTTGATAGAAATACCGATCAAAATTACACTATGTTATTCATACTTCTGTTCAAATCCTTATCCAAATAAAACATATTGTTTTCAGAATTGTTTCAATTTATGTAAATTACTTTTTGAATTGTTCAAATCGGCTATTTCATTCAATAGATATTACAAATTTAATAAGTCATAGAAATAGAAAAATAATGTTGTCGCATTGTACGTGTTATTCATACCTATTTGAGCGGTGTGGGGGCGGGCACATCTAAGAAATAGGTAGCTAGGTAGGATCAGAAAAAAATGTAAAATGTTGTAAAAATGTCCACCCGTGCGAAGCAGGGACGGACCGCTAGTATATAATAAATATATTATGTATTCTAACATAATTATAAATGTGTAAGTGTGTTTGTTTGTTTATTGTTTTTTTAATGGTCGATAATGAAATGGTGACTCCGCCCGCGCTATCGGTATACACTGGCGGGGCACCAGTGAGGCATGTTAGGTGAGCATGAAAGCTGATCAGTTAGCCCATCGTGACGAATGCAAGAAGTATTAATCACAATGGTTTCTAGGGGGAACTACGTGGAGGTCGACCTGACAGGGCTTGCTAGCAATAAAGCCATTACTCCGCATTACTACAATTCCTCCCCCCCCCCCCCCACATTATGAAATTTTATATACACGACTACGTGGTATAGAGAAGGATATAAGGATACTTTTGACCCGGTCCAAGAAGATATCCCGCTCAGGCGGACGAAGTCGCGCGTAAAAACTATATATCTCACAGTCTATCTTATCCCTGATCGATTTTTCTACTTTCCTATTCAGACAAGGAATTTGGTTTGTGCGTTTTTCAAGGCACTTTCTTCCACGCACAATCACTCTTTATTCAATCAACTTCCAGCAGCAGTATTTCCGAACCGATACGACGTCATAACCTTCAAGAAAAGAGCATATTCCTTTTTAAAAGGTCGACAGTACACCTGCAATGCTGCTGGTGTTGTAAGTGCTCATGGGCAGTGGTAGTCATTTACCATCAGGTGAGCCGAATGCTCATTAACCCCCTGTAATGTAAAGAAAAGCCCTTTCCCCCGACGGTAGCAGATCAGTTGTGGCCATCATGACGAATCCAACAATAATTAACCACGATGATTTTCAGGGCGGACCGCGTGAAGGTCGACCTGATAGGGTATATTGATAACTATAGTATTGCTTGTTCCCATTACGTAGTCTTCTAATGGCAAGATTGTTACTCATACATTGCAGGCGATCGGCGGCGCGGCGCGGCTGGGCGGGCGGCGGCGCTGCGGCGGGCGCCGTCGGACTCGGACTGCTCGGGGAGACCGCGTCGCTGTCGGCCGACAGCGGCGACCGCGCTGTGCGGCCCGCACCGCCGCCCACGCGCAGCGGCAAGTCGCGCAGGTACCACAGACTTGTCTCTCTTAGATTATATGGATAGAGTGTCTTCAAAAGAGTTTCCACAAAAGAACCAAAGTCACTTACATAGCCCGAAGCATAAGCAAGCTGAAGTGGCAATAGGCTGGTCACATAGCTCGAAGAACCGATAACCGATGGGGTAGAAAGGTTCTTGAGTGGCGACCCCGTACGGTCAAACGCAGTATTGGATGACCACCACAGATGGAGTGACGACCTCAAATGCATTGCAAGAAGTCAGTGGACCCAGATGGCTGAGGACCATTGTAGCAGTCTACGGGGGAGGCCTATGTCCACCATTGGACGGATATGACTGAAATTATGATTATGATAAGATATAGTACATTACTGCGGCGGCCAGCAACTGAGGCATTAATGGACGAACGTGCAAAGTGGGCCGAGGCGTAGCCGAGGCACACATACGTGAGTCCATCAATGCCTAGTTATGGCCAAGGCTTGTATAGTACTTTTCTCATACAATGCGCGGAAATCAAAAACACAATTTTACTTTTTAAGTTCAATGACGAATAACGAACAATAATAATTTTTCACGCGCCATAATGTTCCTTTGTTTTTTTTTTTAATAAACTACTTTCTATTTGCAAGCCAGTTCGAAATTTAAATAAAACCTTTTATTAGTTAGCTCCTTGGTAGCCATGTTTCAAAGTAAAAGGTCATTCCATTTTTAAATTACAGGACAGATATGAGTTTACATAGTAATTTATCTGGCCGCAAAACACGACAGATATGGATTTTCATACAAATTTTTCCGGCCGCTGCCCCCATGTATTTGGCCAGTACGGCAGTTTTGATTTATCTCGAAGAAGATTGTCAAAATAATGCTCACATTTCCAAGCATGTTTGAGAAAAACTCACATACATACTTGCTTAAATTATAAACTTAGATAAATCATCGAGACTCAAAAACGAGTGTACTTTTTATCAGCTAATTGTCAAATTAGCTGACTGGTTTTTTTTATCAGTGTTCTATATACTTACGCATAAAATGTATTTTGACGTATTATTTAATAAATAAAATGTGTGTTTACGCATTAAAAAGATGCAGTAATTATAAGACAAAATAAATATAGAAGTTATAAAGGAATCGCTCGTAACTATTTATCACGCAAAATTGTATGAAATAGTTGAGCCGTTTTTCTTGAAGCATTTGTATAGACACTATCTATATAATCTAAGCATACATGATATATATCTGAGTTTTTTTTTTTTTTATTGTAAAATCATTACACTTTTTATTGCAGTCGTGCAAAAATATTTTAGTAACAGACAATAAAAAAAAAGTTTTTATAAAAAAAAAATTGATAGGATGTTTCTAATAAGCATAGTTTAAGAATTTATCAAAATATCTTCGGGATCTATTTTTTTTTATGGGTGAAATGGTATGGTAACCCCGCCTGCGCTAACGGTATACGCTGGCGGAGCACCAGTGAAGGGTGATAGATGAGAATGAAAACAGGCCAGTTAGCCCATCGTGATGAATTCATCAGGAATTAACCATGATAGTTTCCAGCGAAAACCGCGAGGAGGTCGACCTGGATGGATATATTGCTAGCAATAGGATTTTCAGTCTCCATTACTAACAATCCCTTTCCCCCCTTCGGGATCTATTAGTATTATAAGTTATATGTATATTTATCCCTTTCTCACTGTCAGCCGTCGGCGCGGTAGTGAATGGGAGGTGCTCGAGGGTCTGAAGGATGGACAGCGGTTCGACAAGAAACCCGAGGTGTTCAACGGTTACTTGCACAAGAAACGCAAGTGGCCGCTCAAAGGATGGCACAAGGTTCGTTCCGTTAATTAATTATTCTTATTATTTAATATTATAATTGTTTATATTTATAATAAGTTTATTATTGTAACCTTTTGGAGGAAACAATAAAGTGTGTCTATCTATCTATCACAGCATGCTTAAGAAATAAAAATAATTAAATTATTATTTGCCATATAAATAGATAGATACTCTTTATTGTTTCCTCCTTGTTTTTTACGAATAAATCCCATTTCATTTCATTTTATTGCCCCCGCGGGAAGCCCGGGCGGATAGCTAGTTATCTACACTAATATTGGAAAGAGAAAAGATTTGTATTTTTGTGTGTATGTATGTTTGTAATGAATAAACTCAAAAACTACTTTGCCGTTTTCAAAAATTTTTTCACCATTAGAAAGCTGCATTCACCCTGAGTAACATAGGCTATATTTATTGCTAGAAAAGATTAAGGATCCTTACTAAAACTTTAGTAACGTAACTCAAGGCGTAAAAAAATGCTATAAAATATCTTTCGTCGCGTGCGCTGCGGAAACTGTTGGTGATAGAACAAAAGTATGTTCTACAATATTGAAGGAAGTATCAATAACTACAAAAACTCCATAATACTATATATCCAACTATTATCGTTATATAACAATAACCACTTTTTAAAATGTTGTAAAAATTATCACCCGTGCGAAGCCGGGACGGGCCGCTAGTATAGTATTATGTAAATGTCTTATAAACCTACGAAAATAAATAAGTTTTGGTACAATTTTTTTATTGTTGTGTTATTGACTTCACACCTCTCGTTTCACAGAGATTCTTCGTGGTAGACGGCGGCATCTTGGTGTACGCCCGCTCGCCGACAGATGTCGCCCGCGGCCGGCTGCACGGCTCTGTCGACGTGGGCCTGTCGGTCATATCGGCGAAGGCGCGCCGCCGCCGCATCGACATCGACGCCGACGAGTTCATATACCATTTACGAGCGAAGACCCCGGATGTGTTCCGGACGTGGCTGAACGTGCTCAAGACGCATCGGTGAGCTCTCATCATTAAACGATGAAAAAGTTTTCATACATATATACATATCTGCTACGCCCGTCTCCCATTAGTGTAGGCAGAAACAATGGAACGCCAAATGCTTCGATTCAAACAAACCTCTTTCGCTTCTTCCACATTCATCAATCTTTTCATACACGCTCGCCGGTTACGGGTACTTTTCGTTCGGCTCTTCTTCAGCACGTCGCCTATTTGGTCGACATACGTCCGTCTAGGGCGGCCCCTACCGACATCTCCATTCGTGCTTGATAAATCTCTTTCGTAATTCTTCTTCTATCCATCCACTCCAAATGGCCAAACCAACCCAACATTCCCTTTTCGATTTTGTCACTACATCGTCTTTCAGCACGTCGCCTATTTGGTCAACTTATGTCCATCTTCCTCTACATTCGTCAATCTTTTCATACATGCTCGCCGGTTACAGGCACTTTTAATTTGGCCCTTTTTCAGCACGTTGCCTATTTGGTCGATATACGCCCATCTAGGGCCCCTAACGACGTCTCCATTCATCCGTGCTGAAAAAATCTCTTTCGTAATCCTTCAGAAGTCTTCGTATAAGTTCTTTTTTTAGAATTGAATTGTTAAGAAGTTAACGGCCCACTGGATGGAAAGTGGTAACTGTAATCTATAGAGGGGGAAGGGATTGTTAGTAATGAGGTCTAACTGACCCATTGCTAGCAATACAGCCTATCAGGTCGACCTCCACGCGGTTCCCCCTGGAAAACAGCGTGGTTAATTCTAGTGGAATTTGTCACGATGGGCTAAATGACCTGCTGCTGATAAGGCCGCCCATTGTTTTCTCATTGTGATTATTTCTTGTAATTGTTTGGATCTATAATAAGTTTACTATTGTAATCTTTTGGAGGAAACAATAAAGTGTATCTATCTATCTATAATTGCAGGTTGTACCGTCAGCATCTACTGACATTTGGTGCTAGAGAGTCAGTGCCTAAGATCCACGCGCCACTAGAAGACCTTCCCCCCGCAGAAACATCACGTAAGCTTACCATTTTCATACAATATAGCATAGTTATGAATCCTAGCAAATGTGATTAATAGTTCACCTAACCATAGATCTTACGTGTCTAGATGGAGTGTCTCTACAGAAGCATCAAAAATTGTCCGTCTTATATTCTTGCGTGCGTCAAATTCTTTAGTAAATCTCACTTAGATATATACATAATATTAGACATGTAAAATTTTTTTTGGTACATTTTTGACGTCGACTCTCCATCTAGACTACTATATATATTCGCACACGCACACGCACACGCGCACGCGCACGCGCACGCACCCGCACACCCACACACACACACGCACACACACGCACACACACGCACACACACGCACACACACGCACACACACGCACACACACGCACACACACGCACACACACGCACACACACGCACACACACGCACACACACGCGCACACACGCGCACACACGCGCACACACGCGCACACACGCGCACACACGCGCACACGCGCACACACGCACACACACGCACACACACGCACACACACGCACACACACGCACACACACGCACACACACGCACACACACGCGCACACACGCGCACACACACACACACACACACACACACACACACACACACACACACACACAACAACAAATTTAATGTCTTAAGACACACAAAAAACCGACTTCAGTCTCCACGAAATTAAATTAATTTTGTTATTACATATTTATGTAACAGCCCTTTTATTAAAAAAAGAATAATAAAAATCTATCGAGTATTGGCCAAGATATTAAAATAAGATACAATCGAATTGATAATCTCCTTTTCGAAGTCGGTTTAAAATAGTGTTATTTGACCATGCTCGGTAGATAGTGACTATATTAACGTTATCAAAAATTTTAAGTTATGTCCAGCAGTGATTTTTATTTTTTATTTTATTTTATTTCAATAGGTACACATTATAGAGAATTAACAATTTTTCATATATATAGTCTCATATCAAAGCATTAATATCCCACTCTTGGGAATAGCGTTCTCCCCATGGAGAATTAGCCTACTGTTATAGCTGCAACGCTGGCTCAGCAGTTTAATAAAGAACTTTGAGATATTCTTCTCTTATAATACAATCATTATTTCCCTAGTCATATGTTGAAATAAAGAGTATATTCTATTCTTACTTCATCACCACACGGGGGCTAGTAGTTAGATTAAAATGGTCAAATAGCACACAATTTAAATTTTATTCCATATAGATTCTGTTTCTTCTCATCAAGTCATCATCATCATCATCATCATCTTCCTACCCTTATCCCAATCATTTGGGGTCGGCGTAATATGATTTTATCCAAATTACAAAAAGATTTGGATTTTAGTTTTACGACCGGCCACCTGCCTCACGTCATCAAGTAATGTTTTCTAGTTATATCTTTCTCAATAACTTAATTCGTTCAAAGGTACTTCCTACATGAACATAGTATCCTCGTCCCAAGCTTCCATTGAAGAAATTGAATCCCTATCCTGCCACCCTCCTCAAGAGTTAAGTTTTCCACTTTCTGTCTATACCAATATAGATGAAATTCCGTCAAAGACTGTACACAAAAAGGTCATGCAAAGAAATAATATTATAAATCAATTTTTAAATTTTAATGATGCCCAACAAGATAAATATGGAAGCTTATCTTTAATGAATTATGTCAATGGAGACATCTACAAGGAAAATTTAACGATAATAAATCTCCAAAGTTCTCTCAAGGTAGTACTAATCATGAAAAGCAAGTACATTCTACAGATCTGGACTTAAATTCATTAAACATATCAACGATTATTGAAAGATACGAAAAGATTAATACAAATATCTCAAACAGAAAATGTGTTACGAAGCATTCCTTTATTCCCAAAACGAAAACGGAGCCTGCAACGACATATTTTTTCTTCTCTCGTAAAAAAAGATGTAAATTTAATAATGTAAATTCACCAATGAGAAAAAGTAAAAAGTCCACCAATCTTGTTAAATATAGAAACATAAATGAAGAGCCCAAACTTACTCGCCCACTTAGTAAATGTATGTTGTTAACTAAATATAAAATAAAAGACTCTCGGCCTTCGATTGTTGATAGATGCGATAAGAGAGTAAATTGCGATGTTGTATCTGAAGATACCAACAACGTTCAAGTGGTTATGCCACATAAAGAAGACAAGTCGTTGCAAAATACTATGACGGTTTGTGGATACGACAAAATTACAGAACAATTTATTGTGTCTATGTCCCAAATGAACAAATGCGTTGACAATGATAGCAATGATATAACTAAAACTTATGTAAATCAAGTTGTTAAAGATTTATATGATGCGAAATTAAGTCAAAGTGACACACATCCAGTAAAAATTCTATTTAGAACGCTTTTAGAATATTGGTTGAAACATACTAACGCAGACAATTTTAAAAGTGCTCTGCAACGAGCAAAATCAATTGATAAACAGTCAAATAATTATTTCACTAACGATAAAAATCTATCCAATTTATTAATTAGCAATTCTACAAAAGGTACGTAATTTCCTAGTATTGGTAATTATGATGAATACAAAACATATAAAATATCTACGAATACATATAAACAATCAAAACCACACAAAAATATGATTGAAAGTAGTAAACCGCCTTTATATAGTCCTAAACGAGATACAAAGAGTTTCGAAAGAGAGCGTTGTATACAAGAGCTTGAAAGAATACTTAAAAACACAGTTTATGTTTGTGAAACAATACGCAGTAGTCAAAGCAAAGAAAAAGATATAAAAATTACTAAAACTCTTATAAATAATATGGAGAAATTATCAGACACTAATAACCTAGCCCAAGAACCATCGCTTGAAATTTCAAATTCTTTAACAGAATTGCCAACGATCAATAATCTTATTAGTGAAACATCTATACCACCAGATGTAGCTAAAGAATTTCTAAGCTCATATCTTGCTATCTTACTTAACGATAGCAGTAAAAGTATAACCAATAGTAGTTCTCAGTCTAACAATCAATTTAATATCAACACAGAGAGTCCTATTTGCGATGTTCAAGTTGAATTCGGACAAAAGAACGTTTCTAAAAGTATCACAGCTACCAATAATGAAATAAACAATACTAATAAAGACACTTATAAATATATAAAAGACAAAAGTGAATCAGTGGACTCAGGCCAACTATATCTGAAAGGCATACTTGATAAAAGAACAACAATATTTTCCAAAGTTAAAAATGACTGGCAAACAATTAAAAATACAAAAGTAACTAATAATCTAGACAGTACAGTGAAAGATGAATTGGGCACAATAATTAAAGAAAATCCAGAAAAACATTTGATTCATGAAAATTATGATAAAAATTCAGTTGTTATAAATTTATCTAAATTTAAATTAGAGCAAATATCGATGCAAAATGACTCCTCGATAAACGGAACCATGTCCATTACAATCAAACTTAAAGAAAAACCTCCAAATGTTGGTAAATCCCAAAAAAAACATTTAAGTTTAAAATTCTCCAATGATACCAAGCCACTATTGTCACATAATAAACCGAAATGTTGGTTGAATCATACTCCTAATAATTGTAATAGCCTTAATAATATATTCGAAGCTAATAATGACGACTTTAAGACTCTTTTTGACTATAAGCCTAATGTACAAAAAGACGATATCTTAAAACCTTACTCAAGCAGTAGTGACGCCATCTCCAAACATTTTTGCCAAATAATTCATGAAAGCGTACAATCTCTCGACTTATCATCATTCAAAAGCAGTAAATTCTTCAAGAAAAATGACTCTGAATCGAAACTTTTAAAAGATAATGAAGATCCCCAATTATGCTACATGGTGTCCGCACTTAAGAAAAACAATTTAGCAACCAAATTTCACTCGAAAAAGAAAGTTAGACTGAAGGAATGCAATGGAACCGTATTAAATTCCAAAACAAATACTTCCGCTAGAATTCAAACTAACAAATATCCTGATAAATATGCGACCTTAGATGAACCGACCCCAACAATTTTTAACGAGAAATTTGTACTTTTACTATTAAAAAACTTGACATTACTTGCTAGAAACTTGCCAGGATTGCAAAAAGATTTAAACAATCTGTATATGAAATTGCGAAAAAGATTTGAGAAATCGCACTGATTTGCAAAGTCTAAGCCTTTTAGGCAAAATTTATGATGATGAAATTAATAAAATAAATAATGTCGAAGCAAAATCAGATAAAAATGCTTATTCTAGCATGGTCCAGTATGATATAGCAACTAGTACATTTAATTAACCATCCAACAAAACTGTTGATAAATATGTTAGTACAACCAATGTAATGGAAGTAAATCAATGCTGTGAAGCACAAACGTGCACTGATTTTGAAACTGAACTATTAGATGAAAAAGATAAAGTCATTTTTGATAAAAATAATTTAGAAGTGAATACGTCCCGAACCGAAATTATATTTGCAAGTAATTTGCCAAACAATGAACAATGCAATTCCAGCCTAAATTTGTACGAATTATTACCAACCAAAGAGTGTGCAGTAAGTACTATGATCAAATGTGATTTTAACAATTTTAAATCAGATAATTTCCATAACGCTTTACGAAATAAAGTAAAAAAATTAAAAGACAAAGAGGCGTTTATAAACAAGAAAATGGGTAAAAGAAAGGAAGCAGTCGCCGAAAGTGAGAAAGGATTTGATTAAAGAAATAACACTTCTATCACCTTCATTTAAAGTGTCAAGTCGATCGCAAACAAATAACAAATGGCCTGATACAATCGGAAAAAAGAAGGTTATGAATGAATTCCAAATATACCCCGTAGTACGGGGCAGAGATGATACTTTCAAAGCTAGTTCTGAGACTATATCCATATGTGGTAGTCACGAGAGAAGCGACGATTTACATACCATATACAGATGCACTAGTGAACCGTCCTATTGCTCTGGTTAGTATAATCTACGTATATGTTGATATGCTATTGTATGTAACCAACAAGCGACATTTACCATTTTCCTTGACCTAATGGAGCGCTTATTCATTTTAATACGTATGTACCGCAGTACTATGGAGAGTTAAAAATAATTTTACATTATTTAATTTATAATTCTGATTAAATTTATTTATTATTGCTAATATTGGTTTCTTTAAATTTCGAATTATTGTAGTTAGCAATATTAAATTTGGATATTTAAATTTTAATTGACATTTGGATGTTTAAAGTATACTAGTTTACATTAGTTACTAGTACTAGTTATATGTTTGTAGTTCTAAGTTTTTGTTATATGCACTTTAGCAGATTTAGAAAATTCCTATTTTAATACCTATTCTTTACCACATTTCCTCATTTCTTTTTAGTGTAATTATTATTTTTAAACTTTAATTGTCTCCATTATGGTGTGTAAGCTTGCATATTAGTTAACCATCGTCCACCATCGTTGGATAAATTAGGATCAACAATCTCATTCCACATTTTGGACACTTTTTTCTTTTTTTTTTTATAATAACAGGTAAATCTACAGTATTATATAAAAATATTATTAGTTCTACATTCTTGAACTGTGGATAAAAAGAAAAAAAGAAGAGACAAAATATGTCTGAAATAAATTTTGAATTCTAATGTACGGAGTGGTGCGGAATTATTTATTACTTACTTGCTTGTTTAGAATAGTGTTTTTAGTTATATGAAATAATAAATTGTTTAAATTATTATTATATAAAGTATGTCATGTCGTTTATCTTTCTTTAACAGGTAGTTGAGAAAACAGTTTTTTTACGTATTTAAAATATTTTCATGTAATAAGTTTAGTTTTTAACACGCGTTCTATTGATTGTACATTTCGAATAATTACAAATGCATGTATTTATTTATCGATGACTGAAATTTGAGTAATCCATAATTTTGAAATTGTTCTTCATACTAAGAAAATAGTCTGTCTCAGTCTATCTCATACACTGAGCAGCGATATCGTATTGTAACTCGTCTATAATGGTAGTTTATTGTTAATGCCTTTTCGATTGTAACTGTACTCAACTCGAATGCTAATTCTTCATCTTCATTGAATTCATAAAAATTGTGGGAAATTAAAAAATAAGCCTTGTCTAAATCCGGCTCGAAGGACCAATTTATTTACGTCTTTTCTAGTAAAGGCTAATCTTTTAATGCTAAAACAGTGGATTGTAAAACTGTTATAATTCTCATTGTAGTTATTTGAATTTGACGAAAACAAAATAAAAATACGCGTAGTGCCGTCGGTGACGCGACTCGAAGTAGCGAACAGAGCCAACCTAAGCCGAGACCGCCCGACTGCTCTCAGTGTTGTCATTCGATGAAGCTCGAACAATGTTAATTACTCGAATTTCAATATCGATAATCTATTGATATATGAATCGATTGTTATATCAACGATAACATCTTGTTTTTTTTTCTGAAGTTCATAAAACATAAACATAAATATATCTATGTTCAACTTGGGAATTCATTAATAATAACTAAGTTTCCTAGCTGACTGACTAGCGTCCTAGTCTAAACTAGATCAGTCAGCGCTTACCAGCAAAAACAAGCAACAGTTTGTGTTTTATGAGCTGTGATATGTAGTACCCAATGTCTTCTCTGCTAGTACTCATGCATACATCTATTCATGTTTTCGAGTCGGCTGTTATTGGGATATTTGCGACATCTATGTTTATCTATATCATTGGTCCCTGTGGTAGCTCTAAAATCTAAAATCATGCGTCTGCATAAAACAACGTAAATGGCTTTGATTAATAGTTTTAAAACAGGTAAATTTGATAAAAGAAAAGAAAATATAGATTAGTGCAAAATTAAGAGATAATAAAACACTAGGATGCATAAAATAATTTTGTAAGTTAGACTTAAAGGACACCAGACTTTCCTACTCTATATAATATACATCTAGATGTATATGATCTAAAACTACCTTCAAGTCGACGATATCAAAGGCGTATATTATAAGGAAAAACTGTACCTCTTTACGCCTTAACCGCTCGACCAATCATGAATTTTTTAATACATAGCGTATTTTAGATGGAGAAAGGCATTGGCTACTTTTTATCCTGCAAAATTGATTTGGAATAAAATCGCGGACAGTGTTGCCAAATTGGATATTTTTTGCCATTTTGGATATTTTTTCTTTGTTTTCGTGAAATTTTGGAGAAAAACTAATTGAGCGTGGAAAAATTTGAATTGAAGAAGGAAAGAAGGTTTTCTTTTCGTATTTTGCTTAGTACTTTCACGTGGTAAAACTGTAAAGACCATTTGCAGGCAACAACACATATAGCTAAAAAAATTGTGATAACATACACAAAGTTTTAAATGGATAAAAAACGATGAAATCGTATCAGTTTGGAGAATAGTTATTGGACATTTGTGAAAAAATCCAAAATTGCACCTGGCAACCCTGGTCGCGGGGAAATACCAGTATAGCAACAATGTGCTGATGAGTCCATAACAGCCGTCTCCCTAACTCTTTGGTCCGTAGGGCTGATAAGCCCGACGTCACAGCCGCTGCGTGGTCCGCAAGCTGGCTTCGTCTCCGGTACACCTGGTGGACGCCTGGCCAGCTGGATCATAGGTACGAACTCAGGCTGAGATCTGAGGACCAGTTGCAACTGATCTAATCGCTTGTAGACTTTTGCACAATCTGTTCTTAAAATACCGCATGTGCTTTTAAATTATCTTCATAATCTAATCGCTAGACAATGTACAAAGAAATCTGTCAATCAAAATTTCTTAAGCACGCATTAAATTTTAATGCAATAACTACAGGCCTAACTTATGTGTAATGAGATGGAAAAAGCTTGACTAGTTTCGGAATCAATTCGAGACTCTTAATCATATAGCCGTAAGCGCCTACAGCTCGCGCTCAGCCGGCCGAGGCGCGCAGTCATACTCTCGCTCGCGACACAGCAGTTCATGATTAAGTGTTTCGAATTGATCCCAAAACTAGTCGAGCTTTCTCGATTATTAAACCGATAGTTATTGCATTAAATCTATCGATAACTCAAATGATAAAGAACTAGACAGCGAAAGTTGTAATCTCATTCCACGTCGTGGACTAGCTGGCAATAACGATACTAAATATCACTTATTACTTCAAATTAATTTGCCTCTTGTCTAAGTTAGTCTTTCTTGCGAATAATTTGATTGATAGAAATCTTTAACCTTGTTAAAGTAAAATGAACCTTATTTCGATGCACGTAGAAAATAAAATTCACTTATTGCCTGTTAACCTTTTGATTGCTCGTGCTATTTTATTATGAACCGCATTCACTGTAAGTACAGAATGTACTTACATGTACGGATATGTTTTGTAAATTGTAGACAACAAATTTGTTTTTTTTTTCTCGAAAAAAGGTAATTCAATAAAAAAAAATACGGCACCAATTTAAAAGCACTACAAGTAAAAAATAAATAAGCCACTTCATTGTGAATATACAGCTATTCTCCATTTTGGAAATTGATTGAACATTTCTCCCTAATACCAGTTTTATTCCTTCCACAGTAACATCATACGTGTATTTACTATACCGTTCGCGATATTTATTTTCAGACTTTTTATAAAAAAAAAATGGAAATTAACGCGACCATTTAAGTAAATATGATAACTATGATAATTATCCTGAATTATCTCAACGTGTCGAACGTGTTACACCGGCCGCGGTCACGAGTAGACTGATGTCGCGCTGCCATATTTCTGTTTTGAGAATTTTTTATCTTCTACCCGCACATTGTCCCACATCACACTAATTGTGTCGTTTTATTTAGAGTTACTGCACACAACGCTGTTAAATAATTTTACTTCTCTTCCTTAACTTTTTCACTGAATATCTTCTAATGAAACGGAAACGAACGGAAAAAAACGGAGAGGAAATATTTTTTTTAATATAATTTTTTTTATTTCTTATTTTCTAATGTCTACAGTTTTCAAAGTCAAATATATATTTTACTAATATATCAAAATCTTAATTAAGTGTAAAGGTTGGCATTGATTTGCATTTGAGAAATAATTATTTTAAAATTATCCTTAAATATTAATTACTATATGGTAATTAAAAATTTAAACTGAATTCCAAATAATCGAATAAAAATTATCAGTTGTATTGATATTTGTCAATTAAATGCCAACCATAAATATTGTTTATGAATTTTTTTATTTTAATTTATTTTTATTTTATTTAATTAATTTTAATTAAAACTTGTAAATATACTAACAATAATATATTTATATAGAAACGTATTTATCTCTAATTGGAGTTAAAAAGTCGAAAAGTATTATTATTACATTCAAATCATCAATGTTCATACAAAAGGTACTTATATATGATACTTTTTTTTTTTTTTTATTTAATTTCTATGCGTTTAAATTACTAGTTTACACTACTGCACGCACACCAAAGAACGAGATAGCATGTCACATGTCTCATTCTTTAACTCCTGTGCCTGTAATACTAACTACTAACCTTAGTTATAACAGTTGCTTGAATTTAATAATGAATTATTGTTAAAAGTTTCATGAGCATACATTATATTTTAATGTAACAACTACTGGTTTAACTTACGTGTAATTAGATCGAGATAGCTTGACTAGTTGCGGGATCAATTCGTGATCCTTAATCATGAGCGGCTGTAACACGAGCACGAGCCTGAATACGCTCCTCGGCCCGCTAAGCGCTCGTGGCACCGTTACAGATAATTAAATTAATTACCAAATATAACTGGTTGTTATTACATTAAAATAGGAAATTTTACACTATGTAATTGTCAAAACTAACAACTAAAAGGTATGGAAGAGACCTCGAGTCTTTGTGTTAATACTGTTTAATTAAACATTTAACTGTGGGTGTTTTCAAAGTCATGCATGGTTTCTCACGCCCGTGAGTTTTTTTACGCAGGCGATCCTCGGAGACGAAGTTTGTACGTAAAAGGAGCCACGTTTTTGCATGACTCTGAAATTTCTAAACTATCGTTTTACACATTTGTTAAAATATGTATACTAACGTTACTAATGCAGAAGAGAGGAAGGGGGAGGGCAATGCCCAGCAAAACCTTAAACAGTCTCTTCCTGAAGTAAGAATTCCTTTTTAAAAGGCCGGCAACATACCTGCAATGCCGTTGGTGTTGTGTGTGATTAGGGCGACGGTAGTCACTTACCATCGGGTGAGCAGCATGCTCGTTTGCCCCCTGTGTTGTAAAAAAAAATTATCGTGTCAGTAAGTAAAAATAAGGTTTAAACAAAAATAACTGTTACAGAATCCGGTGGGCCGCTCGAGAACGCGTCAAAGGAGCTCGGCCAGGCCCAGCTGTCCGTTCAGCAGCTGCAGCGGCTGCTCGATGCGCTGGAGTTGCAGCAACAAGTTCACCACGACACCGACGTATGATATATCTTTTCATCATCTCGAGGATTCTTCAACTATTGTTTCCTTTTGGTGTATGCCTCTAATTCATTCTCCATTCTGATGTGTTTGGGATAACAGGGTTCCAGTTGTGTTGTGAAGTCCACGTGCTGTCTCTTCATTTCATTCTTCTATTACTCGAGTGTGGGTGTCGCCCTCTGGTATCAGGAGTTTCTAAACCACTTTCTTTATAAACGAAGGCCTCTAATGCAGCTTACCAGATGACAGCTTAACTGTCCTAAAAACAAACGCAATTTTTCATTTATATACCTTTTTTTTTTAATTATTCTATGGATGTGACCACAATATGTCACTAGTCAGGAAATCAGTATAAGACAAGAAAAACTTAAACTGGAAATCTCCATACTATGTCCCATGGCTGAGCCCATGGTGACAGTAGGTTATTTTCGACTTGTATGAGGAAAATCCCATGCTCGGATCATGAAGGTAGTTTTCTTGGGTTGTTAAAAATCGTTCTCCATTACTGAAGATATTTATAACGTCTCTATCATAGACTACCGCGAGTTATGGTTTTTAACTCATTGAAGCACTGTAAGTCCGTTGATTCATCTAATACTGGGTTACCCTATACTGCGTTTGCTTATACGTAGTCTTCACCTTAAAACACTTCGATTAATTATTTTAGAGAGAATAAAATGTTCGTTGTCCAAAATTACATATTAATGCGATTGGAAACGTTTATTCCGAGTCGGTTAAAGTTGAACCAAGTTGAAACATTAAAAAGTATTTTTCGTGGATTATCCAGAATAGGGTCGAATTTAAATTTTTTTTTTGGAGTCCCCTAATTTAGGTAAACACATTCCAGGTCCAAATGATAGCTCAAGTTGAAGTGGACGTACTGTAAACTGTACAATTGTCATTCATTAACCATCGAAATATCAAGAAATATTGAATATAATCCCGCCAAGATTAAAACTACGTGTAATAAAATATAATTTTTAATTGGTATTTGTAAATAGTAAAATGTAGTTAGTATTTATAAATGTTATAACATAAACTAACTTTTTGCCCGCCATTGTATATGCGTGGACTTCAGAAGTAGGGAATCAATAAAATAAAGCAATTCTAAGTATCAAGATGTACAGTACAGATACATCAATTTAAGTTATATTTTCCGGAACATAACAGTGAAACCACATTAATAGGTATTGGCGATCCGCACGCATGCTAAAATTAAATGAATTAAGAGGCCTCCTGAAAATCAGCACTATATAGGTACATCTCGCTGGAGGTGTGCATATATAGCAACAGCTGAGGCGGCTCCAGCAACCAGCAACATTAATTGTTTTTTTTTTTTTCTTTTTATTTTCTTAATACTGGTAATAAAGGTTATCTATCTATCTATCTGTCTTAAATTTAGTGCAGTCCTTTTTACGTGATGGAAGAACAAATATACAGACAGATAGGAAAAATTTCTAAAGATTATTGTATAGACATTTGTTGGTCTTAGCAAGAGCTCTCATATAGTTTTTTTTTTTTTTTTTTTTTTTTCTTAAATATCTCCCTTCTGTCTGTACACCGTCAAGTTACAAATTTTCTTTTATAAATGAATGAAAATTTATTTCAATAATCCACAACACTTACATTTATTTAGACTGCAAGTAATAACAATATTAAAAAAAAAATAGAAAAAAGAGATATTATATTAGTAAGATATGGACTACTAGTTACTTGACGCTTCGCTCTTTCAACTCTGGGGGTCTACCATGGAATGAAACTACGAATTTTCGGGCTCAATTTCGTCTTTTCGCTCGTACCAAAATCGGTCCAATAAATGGAGCTTAACATTTCGTTCGTCATGAATCCTATCGTAATGATCCAATAATATTTTACCATTTGTAATATTTTTGAACGGTATAATATTAAGTAATTTCAACATAACATTTGTCTTTCGTTCAGCCCCGAAACTTCAGAAAATATTTCATGGTAGACCATCTGTTTTCTTTCGTTCCCGCGAGTATTTTTGGAAGAAAATATTCTTCTATAATCTTATCGGGAATATCGTTCCTATTAATGAAATAATATTTAGGATCGGTTTCAGTAAATACATACAAAACCTTTCTCTTTTCAACGAAAAGAGAATAGAAAAGAGAGAAACGAAGAGAAGATTTTGTATGTATTTACTGAAACCTGAATTTTTCTCTCTTTGAAACGTAAAAAGAAATTTGAAGGTTTACACTCAAAATCGATCATTAAACTATCTTATTACCTCTTTAGAGGATGAATTTCCAAATTTTCCTTTTTTATTTTATCCTTTCTTCTTCTGTTAACTACCTAATATGTCCTTTTTATTACTACTCTTCTTCTATAAACAAACTATTCTAATTTTCAATTCTTCAGTAGTTTCGTTGATCATTTAGTTTGGACTCTCTTTATGGTGTACATATTATATAGGATTCCAAGTATTATTTTCCCGTACAGGTGTCACTAGAGGGCGCTTCGCCGAACGTCAAAAAAGACCGGCGCAAGTTTGGGTTGCGCAAAAAGAAATCGAATAACAAATGCGCGTCGGTGGAACTCGCCCCGCCGCACGTAGACCCGTCCAACTCGCATATGGTAAATATTAGATCAAAAAATGTCCTTGCTTATCCGAGTTAAAATGCCCTTATCTAATTACAAATGTCCCTATCCGAGTAGAAGTGTCCTTACTTATCCGAATAAAAATGTACATACTTATCCGAGCAGGAATGTCCGTATCCAATTGAAGTATCCTTATCAGAGTAGAAATGTCCTTACTTATCCGAGTAGCAGTGTCCTTACTTATCCAAGTAGAAGCGTCCTTACTTATCTGAGTAGAAATCTTCTTACTTATCCGAGTAGAAATGTCCTTACCTATCTGAGTAGAAATGTCCTTGCTTATCCGAGTAGAAGTGTCCTTACCTATCTGAGTAGAAATGTCTTGCTTATCCAAATAAAAATGTCCTTACTTATCGAAATCATTGGCGAATTTAAGATTATTTTCCGCTCGCAATGAGAATGGATATAAGACAATTCTGGACAAGGCATTGAGTACCCGTCCTCCCCTTAAATTCGCCTATGATCCGATTTGAGTTCATATCCAATTGTGCAGTGGAATAGTTATACTAACCTGTATCATAAGAATAAATATTCAGGTAAAACCAATCGTGAAGTCAATAATAATGTTGGCAATTCATGAGAGCATGGTTTTCACTCGCCCGCACTCGAATCGCGTGAATTCATTTTGTATTGTAAATTTATTTGTTAAATGCAAAAAAAATTCACAACCCTATTTTATGCGGTATATATATTCTGGGGAATTGTTCGGACTGATACCTGCTGCTGATTTCCACCACCGTACAACCCGCCACAAACTAAAGTTTCATCCCAATCATCTGGACGAGTGGCGGTCTTCCACCGTGCGTTTTTCAAGGCACTTTCTTCCACGCACAACCATTCTTTGGAATCAACATCCAGCAGCAGTATTTCCGAACCGATACGACAACATAACCTTCAAGAAAAGAGTATATTCCTTTTTAAAAGGCCGGCAGCACACCTGCGATGCCGCTGGTGTTGTGGGTGATCATGGGCGGCGGTAGTCACTTACCATCAGGTGAGCCGCATGCTCGTTTGCCTCCTGCGTTGTAAAAAAAAAATGCGGAGTTTAAAGAAAAGCGTATATTTTTATGTTGTTTACAAGGTTCTATCCGATCTATTTATTCGTATGACCGTGATATATCTGTATTGCATGAAAAGAAGCGTTCGAAAGATAGTTTATACCAGGTGTGGTCACCGGTCGATCGCGACTAGTAGTCCAGTCGATCGTGGCAAGCCAAAAAATATAATATTTTGCCAATCTAGCGGATGATGCTCAGACGCAATGCTCACACTAATATAAATAAGTAGTTACTGAGAATAATTTACAGTTTTATGTTTTCCCTCTTAATAAAATAAAAAATACTACAATACTACATAATTGTGTACTGAACTATGTTGTTTCATTTGTGATTTGAAGATGTAATTGGTAGATCGCACAGGGTTTCGTCAGTACACAGTAGATCTCGGGTCTAGTCAATAATAATAATAATAATTATTTATTTATTTGCTAGAAATGTGGTTATAATAATGGTCTTAAATATAATAGATCTACACATTTCGCCTTATCTAAAGGCATGCAAATTTAGTATTATAATTTAGTGGCTTACGTATATTAATAGCCTAGTAGGAGTCAATCCATAAATATTGGCAGCCGGACACATACTAATGGTAGCAGACTAAATAAACACAAATACAAACTAAACAAAAACAAATACATAACAAGTCAATAATATAACAAATGTCATACAATACAAATGAATTACACATTTACATACATTCATTTAATTTTTTAAAAAGTCATTTATTGAATAAAAATTGCATTCCAGTAACCATTTTTTTAACCGTAATTTAAAATTAAGTTCTCTTATTGATTTTGGTATTTTATTATATATTTTTTTTTATCACAGTTTTGTTGATACAGTGTGGTTCTGCAGATGGGCAGTTTCAACATTGTGGGATCTCATTATAATGGAATTAAATTTTATTAATTTATCTTTTTAATTGTAATTAAAACAAATTAAATTGTATCAGACAGAATTGTTCGCTCATTTTACATTAAGTTCTATTAAAACAAATTGTATCAATCCACCCGAATTCAATCATCATTATCATATCAGGCTTTAATTGCCCACTCTTGAACGTAAGCCTCCCCCTTGGGGGGTTTTGCCAGTAGTTAGGTGGTTTTTTTTTAATGTGTGACAATGGAATGGTAGCCCCGCCTGCGCTATCGGTATACGCTGAACACCAGTGACGGATGATCGTCAGGTCAGTTAGCCAATTGGAATTAATCACGATTTGCCTGATGTAGTTATAGAGTTGGTAGTTAGTAAGCGGATTAGCAAGTTCAGTTAAGCTTTGGAGATGTTTTAAGAGGTACGCTGCTGCCCATCCCTATACCCAAATTCTATAACCGTATTCAATTCATATTATGCCCCATTAGTACCTGAGAGTCTACCATGAAATGTTTTCCGAAATTTCTGGACCGATCAAAACATAAAAATGATTTTCAAATTACATATACAAAAATATTTAAAAATATTAAAAATGTCAAAATATCGTTTCTTTGGACTTTTATGGTAGGATTTTATGATGAGCAAAATGTTAAGCTCCGTTTATTGGGTCGATTTCGATATGAATAAAAACACGAAATTGAATCGGAAAATTCAGAATTTTGTTTCATGGTAGACCCCTCTGTTCAATAGCATAATTCCATCTTTCATCGTACATTATTAATGTGGGATTTTTTTTGTATACGTATTGATTTTTAACATCGGTTTGGAAGCGCTGCGAATCATGCACTCAACATATGAGATAAAATTCAAAACTTTTAGTATCCTGGAACGTAAAAAACTCTATAATACACAAATCATTATAGTATTTGCTTCGTATAACCCGCCCATTGAATGTACTAATTCGCTAGTATAACGCCCTCATTGCGAGAGACATGTTTGGCGGGTTATATTAATATAACCCGCCGAATTTAACAAGTCTCTCGCGATAATTTGCTTATTGTGATTTGTTTAAAATGGGCTTTTTAAATGTACCTTAGTCTTCTGCCAGTGATATTAATCATTTTCTCCAAATAAACATGGGTCAAAGGAATTAGAGCCCTATATACTAACTCTAAAAAGGTTAAATTTTCAAATGTCTTCAAAAATAAGAAGGTTCTCGATTCAATTGTATTTTTTTTTTGTTCTTTATACTTTAAATAAAAAAATAAAATCCTGAAAATGTTTGCGGAGAGAAATGATTCTTCCCTCCTTGATAGAGATTCAGCCAACTGCACGACTATCATTTCAGGAAAGGAAATTGTATAACATTACCAATTGCTCTGAAAACTTTAAAAAATTGAAGAATATTAAAAATGAAACTCCATCTCCATCTCATTGGAAAAATGTATTTACACAATAAATTAATTTTATAAATATATTAATTGTATTAGTTACTTGATTTTCCACTGAAATTGTTATTCATATTAATTCAAACTAATTATTATTACCTTATTTGTGTGCGACATTGTTAATATATAAAACTGTTGTATGTTTGTGACTTTGCACGTGTACAGTCTAAAAAACTTATCATATTCCTCCTACCATATCATAAACTCCTACATTCTTCACGACTCTGGAACGCGCTTTCTCTTTATCTTTCAAAAAAAGCGTTAACGCACACTTTTTATTTTTATCCGAAGTAAGTACTTTATATTTTTCAATTTCGTGTATAATATAGTATATGTCATATATGTGTAAGTATATTTGTTATTTATATATATTTATTCGTTTATATATGTAATTTTAGTATGTATGTATGTCAATAATTACTAGTGCCGCATTATTTTGACACTTCCCTATGGTTGACTGGGAGAGAATGCTTTTACATTAAGTCTAATGAATAAATAAATAAATAAATATTTTATACAATGTAATACTGTTATCGAATAAATTGAATTTAATTGAATTTAACTGGGTGAATCCTTCAAGGAAGTTAGATATCAAGTATTTAGTATTAAGATCGCAAATAAAAAATAATCAAATTACATACATAGTAAGACAGCAGTAATACAATATGGTATTTTCTGTGGGGAAAGGGATTGTTAGTAATGGAGACTAAAAATCCCATTGCTAGCAATATACCCAACTAGGTCGACCTCCTCGCGGTTCCCCCTGGAAACTATCATGGTTAATTCCTGATGAATTCATCATGATGGACTAACTGGCCTGTTTTCATTCTCACCTATCACCCTTCACTGGTGCTCCGTCAGCGTATCCCGTTAGCGCAGGCGGGGTTACCATACCATTTTCATCCATCAAAAAAAATGGTATTTTCTGTCTCAAATAAGTTTTTATTTTTTACAATTCCAGGCAATATCGGCGCTCACAGCGCCACCTTCCCCTGGTGGAGGCGCTTCCTCGATGCCCAACTCGGCGGCCTCCTTGCCAATAGGTAAGTGACTTTATGTCTATACAAATAAAGCATATTTTATCTCTTCGTGTTAGTCGTGTAAGTGTTAGTGTAGACAAATCTGAAACTACCCGCTTTTGATGTAAATGTCTCCTTATATGAAATCTTTAATAGATTAATACAATTTTCTAATACTCTAAAATGTATGCCAATTATTATTAATTTATATAAAAATATACAATTTTACATACAAGGTTAGTCGAATAACGTTAAGGAAACTGAATCACTTTTCCCAAAGGTTATCATAATCATTTAGTCATCAGTCGTTATTTGTCCACTCCTAAACATAGGCTACCCCTATTGGGGGGTTTTACCAATAGTTGCAACTCTTGACAAGCGAATTGGCGAGCGCAGTTAGACTGGTGATGTTTTAAGAGGGACACTGCCCATCCCTACCACCGTTTAAGACCTTAGTCGCGTCTTACGACACCTACAGGAAAGGAAAGGAAAGTAATATTGAATAATATAGTTTGTTGTTTAGAAGGTGAACTATAATTCTTTGTGCATAATTAAAAAAACACAATGTTATACTATTATCTAATATCTTTATTATAACTGAATCTACAAAATCATGTAAATAAATAAATAAATAAATCACTCCGATAAAAATACAAAAAAAAAATCATCTTTTGTATCTTTCAGACCCTTCTTTTTTTTTATTACTACTGTATTATCAGTAAATAGTGGTTCAGTTTCATCAATTTAGTACCTGTTTCTAGACTAGCCTTGTGTCTACAACAGTCTACATGTTATAATAGTGATCATATAACTAAATATAATATAAATAAAAAATTAATAAATAATACTTGGATACACGTTATAAAAAGTATGTGTTTAGAAAATTGTAAACAATTAAATTAACTTTAATTTTAGAACCAACATTATCCCGAAACCTGATTCCTGCCCAAATAGTTCTCCAGTGTTGCCACTAAGAAAGCAATCCAATGACCAAACCAAGAGTGTATTACCTTGTTTACGTACTGTTATATACGAGTCATGTTTGTCATTTATTTTATCGTAAAATAATATTTACGTTCAAATACATTGGCGTTTTAATTTGTGTGAATAATTTTGGGGATTATGTCTAAACAAGGATTCTACGAAATTGGTAAGTTGTGAAGCTCAGCGTAAGCATGGCAACACAGTAAAAATGGCGCCAAAAACACGGTAACACGAGAGTGCACGACAGATAACGCTGCCGCATGTCGGTCTGGCTCTATAACATGTAGCTTGGCCCTATTAAAAAAAAAAAAGCTTAAGGGTATGTCACATTCAAACATGAGTGTATGAGTTCGGAGAATCCATAGATCAATCGCTATATGGCTAGTGTTGCTATACGAAAAATGGAAAGTGCAGTCCAGCAAAAGAAAAATAACACGATTTCATTTCAATTTTACTCCTCTTATTTTATTTTTTTAATTATCCAATTTTTTAGGAATAAATAAGAGATATTTCTGCATATGAATGTATTGTTCTATGATAACTTCTTACTATAAATCATATCTATTTTGTATTAAAACTTAAATATGTTTTAAAACTATAAAAAGTCTCTATAGTATACAGATATATTTATAATTATATTCTTGCTGGACCTCACTAACAGATAATTTAATTAAATACTTATTTCCATTAAAAAAAAAAGTAATAAATTATATGATTAAAACCTTTCTCGTTTGTCTTCCAGCGTTTCTTTCGACATTTCTGGCCTCTACTTTAGTTCGTAAGACTGTTTTTTGTTTTTATTTTTTTCCCCCCTATTCCGTCTCGAGCACATACCACTATGTAAATATGCCTCACATTACCTACGCTTCATTATCAACGCTATGCCATGAAGTCATAAAAATTAAAATATTTTTTATTGTAAGTATAAATTGTAAAGCCTTATTTGAATGCATGGCTGTTTTTTTTTTTTTATTTATTGTAATTTAAATTTCGCCATTCCGAATTCTATGCGAAATTTTGTTTTTTTCTTCATTTCACAAGACATATACTTGTTCATTGATGTCAAAGAGTAATATTAATGATACCTAGACAAGTGGGTACCTATATGAAAGCGTCCCCTTGTGTTCCAAACTTGAAAGTTTTGTTAATAGGCTTCTTAGACACCACGCCGGCATACACAGACCAACAGTGTATGCCGGCTGCAAACCCAGCGACCCGGAGGTCGTCACCTCCGGAGTAGAAGCCGGGGTAATGGGGTACGCCCCGAGGCCCCTACCTCGCCCGCCCACGCGTCATCTGGCGGGCGAAGAGAAGATCCTATTGTTGTTGTAGGCTTCTTGTAAAATATTAGACAGAATATAAAACTAAAATGACACGAGGAAAAAAAATAACATAGGCAGTTAGGCGTTTATGAAAAAATATAATAACTTTTTCTTTAGTTTTTTTTTTTTTTTTTTTATTTAATAGTGTTTGTTATTCTGGATCTTGTTTTAAAATTAATAAATCGCACCTATGAATGACGAAATGTTTAAAATATGTTAAACTTTTTGAATTGATAATATTTGAATTGTGCCCGTACACCTGAATTTTTTTCCGTAACAAGCAGGAATATTACAGCACTAGCCCTGTAGAGCGAGATAAGCACCTCCAGGCGCCAGTGAGCAAAGGGTACCATTCGTTTCTAACTCAAATTTGATTAAATTTTGACAGCACCTTTTGAGTGTTGATGTTTGCAATAAAAATTGATTTTTTAAAATTTTGAAATTATTATGTACTAGCGGCCCGTCCCTGCGTCGCACGGGTGGACATTTTTATGTATTTTTACGAGTGGATAAATATATATATATTCTTCTCCCGTTTTCCCAACATTTCCCTTCGCTGCTCTGCTCCTATTGATCGTTGCGTGATGATAAGAACACTATAATCTGACCAGGAGTATGAAGAATAATTGTACCAAGTTTCGTTAAAATCCGTCGAGTAGTTTTTGTTTCTATAACGAACATACAGACAGACAGACAGACAAAAATTTTACTAATTGCATTTTTGGCATTAGTATCGATCACTAATCACCCGCTGATAGTTATTTTGAAAATATATTTCATGTACAGAATTGACCTCCCTCTCAGTATAGATTAAACTAGCTATCTGGGATTTGCACGGGTAGATAACATTTTAAAAAATAAAATATAGGCTATATTACTAGCTTATAATATATAATCTTACTCTAAGTGAAAGAATTTTTAAAATCGATTCAGTAGTTTTAAATTTATCCGTTACAAACAGTCAAATCTAATTATTTACTAATCTTTTTTTTTATACCACTGAGGTGGCAAACAAGCATACGGCTCACCTGATGGTAAGTGGTTACCGTAGCCTATGAACACCTGCAATACCAGAAGTATTACGCGCGCGTTGCCGACCCTGAAGAAACCTCTTTACACCCCTTTTGAAGAACCCCGTGCTGTAGTCTCTTGGGAAAACGTCGGCAAGGAGGTCATTCCACAACCTGAGTGTTCGTGGGAGGAAACATCTCTGAAACCGCGCAGTACGCGACCATTAAGGCTGTAGGACACGAAGATGAACTCTGAGAAATAAGATCTTTTTTTATACAACTTAGAAGAGCAAACAAGCTGACGGCCCACCTGATGGAAAGTGGTAACCGTCGCCTATAGACATGAGCAGTACCATGGACATACCTATAGATTAAAGATCGAAAGAATAATTAAAATCGACTCAGAATAGACGATGTAATCGCATAACATACGCTCGAAAAACAGACAAATTAAGAAATTCCTCCAAATATAGATGAGACACGTTTACACAGTTCAATACACTGTGGTACCATCACATTAAGGTAATCTTTAGACGACATAACCTTGTTCTGTCGTCCTTATCTAAGATAATTTCTACGTTCCGCTTACTTCATCTTGTTCTATTATAGAAAGTTATTGCCTCCTTCGAATTTCTACTTTAACGCCTTGTAATAAAGTTAAATATTCGTTGAAGATTATCAATGTTTGACTCATAGTTTCACTTGAAACAGATTGGTATATTTCTAATTTATAAAATCTCAAGTTATTCCCGTTAGAAATACTTTTGTTTTCAAGTTTGAGTTGTAATGTCTTAACATACAGTTTATTTTCATATATATATATGTACTATTGCCACAATATAATTGTTACCTAATAATTAATTCAATGCAATTACTCGAATAAACGATGTAGTTTACAGTGAATAACTTGATACGTTGATAAAAAATGTTGGTATTGGCAGTACATTTATTTGTTTTTACATAAACAAAGAAACTGTGACATTTACTAGTTTTGTTTTTTTTTTATTAATTTTATTTTAATTTACTCAGTGTTTTTACGTCAGTATATTATGAACGTATTATAGTATTCTTGTATGTGATTTTTTTTATATTAAAATGTCAAGTGATAGCGGTGGTGTTGTGTTAACAACGGCAAGGATTGTCTGTCAGTATATATCTAAGACGCTGAGGGAGTGCGAAGAACGTTCTAGAAGTGAGTTGATTAGTTTACTTCTTTATGTAACTAAAAGCTAACGGTGACCTCACTGTCACATGGTGCGAACCATTTTTCCATAAAAATTATAACTTATATTAAACTGCTCATGTGTATAGGCGACGGTTACCGCTTTCCATCAGGTGGGCCGGCAGCTTGTTTGCCATTCTAAGTTGTATAACAAAAAAATTAGGCACTAGGTGTCATGTCGTATGGGGAGGTCAAGGATATGGCCTGGGATAGAGCTGGCTGGAAGAGAATGCATGAATTAGTTGCACCGACAAGAGGGAACTCTTAAATGAAAAGAGAGATTAATCAAACATAGAGTATATGTCTATTTATAAAAGACTTTACAGTAATTATAAAGTTTCAATGAATTAGGAAAACTAATTCAAATAATTAGGAAAAACATTTTCGAAAATACTTAAATACATATTTAGGATTTAGACACGTGCCACATTATTTTTGCAAAATGTATATAATTTCTTTGAATTTTTAATCAAATATTTATGATAAAAAACATAATTCTCTTTTAAAATAATGCCATTTTTTCACAATGTTCTCTACCCAAAGGTTGTGTGGAAGAGATTGCTGATCGTTATGGCCTTTTGTATCACTTCACATTAATATGTTGTTAATACACTGTGTTTATTTTATTTATAAATGGTGCAATAAAGTTTAAAAAAATAAATAATCCAAAAGCCTAACTGCAGTTGCCAATCCGCCTGCCAAGCGTGGCAACGAATGACAAAACCCTCCCAATGATAAACACCAAAAAGAAATGATGATGAAATAAATAATCTCTTTAAAAAATATGATGCATCAAATTTAAACTCCTAGAAGAAGGTTTTATAATACGCGCACCACAGGGAGACTGTACAAAAGTCGATTGCTTGGGTACCTCTGTCCCATTCGTGTTTCAACCGTGAAGCAGTTGTGTTTGCATGGCTGTGTTTCGGTTTGAAGAGTGGGATATGGCGTGAATTTACTGGGTGCAGAGAAATAACATCTGAGTCCTCAGGAATGACAACGCATGGGGGTATTATGGGCCAAACAATATAACTCTGTTCTGTCCATGGTACTGCTCATATCTATAGGCGACGGTTACCACTTTACATCAGGTGGGCTGTTAGCTTGTTTGCCATTCTAAGTTGTATAAAAAAAAAAGTGTCACCCCTAGTGTTGCAAGCGTCCATAGGCTACAGTGACCGTTTACCATCAGACGGGCTGTATGCTTGCATGCCACCTTTGTGGTATTAAAAAAAAACGTAAATTCTCTCAAAATGTTGAAACACGTGTCTCATGGCTACTAGAAAATACAAATACGAATTTTTATAACTCCCAATTCATCATACAAACTTTGCTTTCCCCTTTTTTACACCGCTAAAGGATGTATATATTTTTTTTGATGTGTGAAAATGGTACGGTAACCCCGCCTGCGCTAACGGGATACGCTGGTGGAGCACCAGTCAAGAGAATGAAAACTGGCCAGTTAACCCATCATGATGAATTCGGATTCAGGAATTAACCATGATAGTTTCCAGGGAGAACCGCGAGGAGGTCGACCTGGTTGGGTATATTGCTAGCAATGGGACTCTCAGTCTCCATTACTAACAATCCCTTTCCCCCAAGGGATGTATATTAGAAATTTAAGCCTATACAATAAAACAAGTTTAAAAAATCCTAAATTTTTCAACAAATCGTATAACTTTTGTATAAAAAGGTTAAAAATAATGAGATTTTGTATTTTTTTTTCTCCTTTTGTATAGAATGTTTAAAAATAATAAAAAATTTGTATTCACGTGTTATGGTGAGTTTTTTGGTGTTAAAAAATGTACAAAGATATGAATAATAAGTTAGAAATGATATTAAGGAATGGCAACGCATGGGGGGTATCATGGACGAAACAGTATACTCTGTTATGTCCATGGTACTGCTCATGTCCATAGGCGACGGTTACCACTTTCCATCAGGTGAACCGTCAGCTTGTTTGCCATTCTAAGTTGCATAAAAAAATGTACTTGACATATAATCATTCGCTATACATTATCTATAGATTCTAAACTCGTTATTAGTTGTGCATGATTCCTTTCGAAAAACATTGCCATTTATAACATTTTTTTTTTATTGACTGGTAATATAGTAATATCGATAAATATAAAAAATTAATAATTTCATGTCTTATACAGGATGGTATTAAAATTTTTAGCTATTATAAAGGTAGGTTCTACTGTTGTGTACTGTAGAACACCCTCACTTTAAAAGACTAACGATTTTGGTATCACTCTGTATAAATAAAATCGACTTCAATCGACAAAATTTATAATAGTATAAATAGACTGCTTCAATTAAAAAGGACTAAATAAAATCGGTTTTCGATTAGCAAAGATATGCTCTCTGTTTTGAAGTCGGTTAAACATTTTCTTTATTAGATATGTTTTATTTTGGAAATTAGAAAAGTCGAATACTTCATTGCTCTAAATGACTTCAATTATTACCCATATTTTACTTTTTTTGTGTTGATATTGTAAGTACAGACAGCTTTAAATATTCTCGTTTTATTTATTTATTTATTTATTTATTTATTTATATGCCTTTATACATTCACTTATAGTATAGATATTAGGTTATAGTAATGTAAAGTATTATTTTTTTTTTTTAACAAAATACACATCTCCCCTCTTAAGGAGAGGAGATAGTAAACTAACCCCCAGCAGAAGAACAAGTCCAGGTTTAGGATCCCTGGGAGAGAATCCGTAAGAGAGAGATATCATAAGGGGCGACTAAGGGCACTGGTCGTGGAATGGACAGCAGAGTCCCTCTTAAAACATGAAAGCCTGACTGCGGTTGCCAAACCGCTTGCCAACCCTGGTAATTGCTGAAAACCCACGCTTTATGCTGGATACCTATGTTCAACAGTGGACTTTTAACTGCTGGTATATTAATAATACCACCAGCCACCAGACCGCATGACGAGAACCTCGTGAGAGCCGAAACCGAGAAAAAGAGAAAATATCTCGACCTGGCTCACGACGTGACCGAAATGTGGGGGGTGGCATCCACCGAAATCATTCCAATCGTTTTGTCGGTGAACGGTCTTATCCCAACCAGTCTGGAACAACAGTTACCACTTTCCATCAGGTGGGCCGTCAGCTTGTTTCCCATTCTAAGTTGTATAAAAAAAATCTCAGACGGTTGGGATTCCGAGGCGGCTCACTCCCGGGAAAGATGCAGAAAGCGGTGCTCTTAGATTCTGCCCGGATTGTACGCCGGTTTCTCTCCCTGGGGCCTTGAACCCTGGCCGACTGTGCTTCTGCCGGGGGTTAGTTGCCATCTCCACTCCTTAAGAGGAGAGATGTGAATTCTCTAAAAATAATAATAATTTTTATATATTTAAAGCTGACTGTACATAATTGATATATCGAAATCCATAAATTCTAGAGTATTCAAAGTCCACAATTCAGATGCCATTGTAAAATAGAAATCGTAACAAAATTAAACGCTTGCTGACAAGGGACCGTCTCTGTGTACTTTTAGCGGGAACACTAAATATAATATTTGCTTTATTTTATTTTTTTTCTTTATTTATTTATTAAATACAAGAAATTTATGACGCGAGTACATTGGACCCCGCACTAGGCGAACCTGAGGGCTTACCATGAAATATTTTCCGAAATTTCGGGGACGAACGAAATAAAAATTTGATGTTAAAATTACGTAATACATGCCGCTTAAAATTATTAAAAATATTAAAATATCGTTCCTCTGGACTGTTAGGATAGGATTTATGATGAACGAAACGTTAAGCTCCATTTACTAGGTCGATTTAGGTACGAACAAAAATACGAAATTAAGTCCGAAAATTCAGAATTTCATTTTATGGTATGCCCCCTGTATCGCGGGGCTCCATAAGAGATTACCAAGACATGGTGATTTTACAAGTATAAATTAAATTAGTGAGCCAGTTTTACGGAAACAACAAGTTGGAAAGACATCGTTCTCTTCGAAGTGATTCATGAAAACATGCGCATATAAATATAATTTGCATGTACATATATGTAATATAAGATGCATATAAATATAATTTGTAATTTAATAAAAAATATCAACAACCGCTGTTGAATTTTTCAGACGAAATTCTATATACTTTTTTTTCTCGGTTTATTTATTTATTTATTCCAAATTTAAACCAAATCTTTTTGTAATATGGATAAAATCATATTACGCCGACCCCAAATGATTGGGATAAGGGTAGGAAGATGATGATTTATTTTTTTATTCATAGGAAAACCAGGGCTACACTAGAGCAAAAAAATACAGTTTAGGATCACAAAATAAGCCACTAATAGGTTTTTACAAGTAGCAACAATATAGATACAAAGCGCTGTACACAAAGCAACAAAAATAGGAGTTAACAAAAAAATATGAACAAACAAGAACGAAAACGAAAAAAAATATGATGAATACAGTACAAAGTAAAAATTAATTACAAGTATTTCATTAAAATATGGCCTTCTTGTCCATTATGTTTACATTTTAGCATGGGGTTGTTCAAAAAGGGCATATTAAGATTTTTTAAAGTTTACAAACGCGTGCATGACATCCCTGGTATTACAGGCGTCCATAGGCTTCTGTAACACCATTTACCATCAGACGGACCGTATAATTGTTTGCCACCAATATTATTAAATTAGACATGTCAGTTAGCCAAACGATATAACTTTTTTGTTTATAAACCGATTGAAATAAAACAAACACTAAATGTTAAGTAAAGCCAACCGCAACGCATTAGTGAGCCCGTTCCCCCCTATAATAGTTTTTCTAATATATCTTCCATGTACAGACAGCGGCCAGTTACGATTTTATTTTATGTATTGATTGGTACTACACTTTCACAACACAAAACAATGTTAGCAATTATTTAGTTACAATTTAATTCGTTAAACAAACAAATATTTTATAATTAAAAAGTACAAAAGACGATCCCTCGTGTCGGCAAGCTTTGAACTATCATATACTCATTCCTAAGGAATTTCTAGTATTAACGAACGTCCAAATTCCAGCGTGCGCAGCAGCGAGGCCGCAGTCCCTGCCCGGGGCGGAGGCGCTGGCCACCGGCGCGGTGGCAGGGCCAGCGTCGCTGACCAGCTTGACGCCAGATCACCAATTGAGGGAAGACTTCACGGTGCTAGCTAAGGATTTGGTGGCTAAGTTGAAAACTATATTATCCACTTTAGTGAGTATTGTAAATGAGTAAAACTCTCGTCTCCAAGAGCATACCTGATTTTACAATTTTGCTGCAAAATTGCTTTCATACTGGCTTTGGTCTCTGCTTTTTTTATACAACTTAGAATGGCTAACAAGCTGACGGCCCACCTGATGGAAAGTGGTAACTATCGCCTATAGATGGTAGCAGTACCATGGACATAACAGAGTATACTGTTTCGCCCATGATACCCCTCATGCGTTGCCATTCCTGAGGACTCAGGTGTTATTCCTCTGTACCCTGTAAATTCACTGCCATATCCCACCCTTCAAACTGGAACACAGTAATGCAAACACAGCTGCTTTAGCAATATGAACGGGACAGAGGGGATACGTCAGCAGACGTCTTTTGTATAAAAACTTCTTCTGGTAATGATCGGTTACTTTTGTCTAACTCTTATTTCTGCTGTAAAGAGGAAGGGGTGGCCCATTCTATGCCGGGACCACACAGCGACACTGTTTATTCCTAACATATAATTAGCTCAACATTTTTAAATGGGATTTGTTACAGATATGAATTATGATTGTCATTCGATTCCTAGATTAAAGCAGGATACTACCTCTTCTTATTTACTTGATTTTTTTTTCATAAATGATGTTTTTTTAATGGATGATAATGGAATGGTAACCCCACCCGCGCTATCGGTATACACCGGCGGGGCACCAGTGAAGGATGATAGGTGAGGATGAAGCAGGTCAGTTAGCCCATCGTGACGAATTCAACATGAATGCTTCACGATGGTTTCCAGGGGGAGGACGTGGAGGTCGACCTAATAGGGCAATGGGGCTGTCAAACTCCATTGGTAACAGGCCCTTTTCCCCCTCATGGATGATGTTAAAATGATGATCCCGCCTGCGTTAACGATATACGCTGATGGAGCACCAGTGAGGGATGATAGGTGAAAGTGAAAATGCAGGTCAGGTCAATTAGCCCATCATGATGATTACATCTGAAATTCAACACGAGGGGGTCGACCTGACAGGATATATTGCTAGCAATGGGATTGATAATCCTATATATATATATATATATATATATAATCTCTCAAGTTATTGGCTATTACTAACAAGTCTTATAATGGTTAAGGTATGCGAGCGTGGACGGCTACGAGCGGCGGTGGAGACCCTAGAAGGGGCGGAGGCGGCACCAGGAGGCGCCGTGCTGGCGGCCTTGAGGACCAACCTCACGTCCGCCCTGCACCAGAACTCGGGTGAGTCACCTTCTGCTATACAACTCTATCCTTACTTAGTCTGTCCTGATCCATCCTGGCACCCTCTTAGAACTCTCATAATATGACTTCTGGCGTCCCGTTTTGTTTAATTCCGCCACCATCAGTATGTTTGTGACTGCCAACACTCGAATTGACCACCACTATTACTACCACCTACCTACACCACTATTACTATAGAGGTGTTCATGCAAATTATTACATTACTACTCGGAGTTGATTTTTTGAGTTCTTCAATCTTAACATAATTAGAATGAAAACGACAGAAACTAATAAAAATTGAACAATATTAAATTTTTTAAAATTTGTTTTTAGACAAACATAATTGTTAAAGTTGTAATAAATATATATATATTACACACCACTTACCTATCTATGCCTTAATCCTTCTACCCAAAGGTTGTCTCGAAGAGATTGCTTAGCAATAGGACCACCTTTTGTACTACACTATATTTATTAAAAGTTCTTCAACAAGTCTTGTAATACTAGTGCAATAAAGTTTTAAATAAGCAATAAATTGTTAGAATTCTTATTAAAGCAGTCGGATATTTTAATCAGTCAAAGAAACAACAGTACACTACAACGCTTTCGCCCGTGGTTTGTCCGTTTTGTATGTAAATAATGACTGGTGAAGTTTTAACCGCAGAATTGCGCTCCCGCCTCTCCCGGATACACGACGCGTCCGACCTCGCCGAGATATCCTCCGTGGGGGCCATCTCTGACGCTGTGAGTACTTGTTTTATACTAGACTAGTGGTCCGTCGCGACTTTGCGCGATTTTTTTAGCGTTCCGTACCTAAAAGACAGCCCTAAGATCAGATTCCTTCTATACAATTGGTGCCGGTCTTTATTCCCTCTTGACTTGACTTTTAGTCCCTGTTACTAACAATCCCTTCCCCCCCCCCCCTAATAATTCCTACCAAAGAGTTCTTCTGACCTAACCCTGTATCGCCGGGGGAAAAGCGATTGTTAATAATGGAGCTTAACTGACCCATTGCTGGCAATACATCCTATCAGGTCGACCTTCACACGGTTCCCCTTGGAAACAATCGTGGTCAATTCTAGTGGAATTTGTCACGAAGGGCTGACTGACCTGCTTTCATCGTCACCTATCATCCCTCACTGGTGCCCCGCCAGCAAATACCGTTAGCGCAGGCGGGGTGACCATTTCCTTATCATCCATTAAAAATAACTGTGTCGCCTGTGTTTGTGGGGGAGAGGGGATTGTAAGTAATGAGGTCTACCTGATGTGACCTGCTTTCATCCTCATCTATTATTCCTCACTGGTCCCCCGCCAGCGTATACCTATAGCGCAGGCGGAGTTGCCATTCCATTATCACCCATTAAAAAATCCCCTGTGTCGCCAGGTGAAGCGGCACCCGCCGTCGCTGAGCTACAGCTCATCGTGCGTGTCCGCCTCGGAGTTCTTCGACGCTGAAGAGCACGACAGCAACGGCTTGAAGCCGGCTGAGATCATCAACGCAGATGAGGTATGGTTTTTTATGCAATCTAGAATGTCAAACAAGCAGACGGCCCACTTGATGGAAAGTGGTAACCGTCGCCTATAGACATGAGCAGTACCATGGACATAACAGAGTATACTGTTTCGCACATGATAAAGGAAGTTTAGCCAGTAGTTGCCTCGCTTGGCAGGCGGGTTAGCAACTGCAGTTAGATTTTTGGTCATGTTTTTAGGAGGGACGCTGCTGTCCATCCCTCGACTATAAAATTCTTTTATTTGCCTCTCACGACACCCACAGGAAAGGATGAGGTGGCCCCTTCTATGCCGGGACACACACGGCAAATTTAATTTAAACTGAATTAAATTACTAATTTGATTTAGTTTAAATTAAATGACTAATTTTAAATAAATAGTATAAAACAAAGTCGCTGTCGCTGTCTGTCCGTCCCTATGTATGCTTAAATCTTTAAAACTACGCAACGGATTTTGAAGCGGTTCTTTTTAATAGATAGAGTGATTCAAGAGGAAGGTTTATATGTATAATACATGCATAATATTGTAGAGAGACACTGATAAATTTAGAGGTTTCTAATGTGATGTCGTAAATAAACATATTTTTTTGCGCTTACATTGCAAACGCAGGCTGAACCCCACGAGATAAATCAAAATAATGTACTACAGTACTGTACACCTTAAAAAGGTCAACAAAAAAGTCCGCGACGGTATATGTCTATCTCTTAAGGATAACCCACAATAACCATTTTTTATCCTTTACATTTTACGGGAAAAAACGACTTATTTACGAAGGGATTTTAAGCAATACAGCATTAATTTTTATAATTTTTTTTTTATATTATATATTATATAGATATGTTTATTATCAGCATTGCACCCGTGCGAAGCCGGGGCGGGTAGCTAGTTTTAAATAAATTTAAATATTTGTAAATTGTTCATATGTGAAAACTCGAGTAATTGTATTAATCTGTTAATGCTTTGGTGACAGGCCGGCGTGATAGAGCTGGACGGCGACTCGTCGTCAGAGGCGGGCTCACTCAGCAGCGAGGAAGGCTCCGCCAGTTCGGACAACTCTGAGGGTGCGAGTGAGTCGTTGAACACACCGTTGGACACGATTTTGAAATGGCATTCACTATCTGTCCACTGCTAAACGTAGCCTATCCTATAAGGGGGGAGGGGCTTGCCAGTAGTTGCCATACTTGACAAGCGGGTTGAGAACCAAAACTAGGCTATTGGTGATATTTTGAGAGGGACGGTGTTGCCCGTCCCAGACAGTATTTGCGTCTATCCAATTTAATTTTTTTTTTTTGTTGAATCAAAACTACATTATACTTCTATACTCATGAAGTTTCGTAACATACTTTCATTGAACAATATTTTTTTTTTTTAATTAATAATATAATTTTATGGAAAGTCATTTCAAAATGGAGTCCTTTGTTTGGTAAAAACGTGATCTAATTTTAAGTCTGTTTGTAATAATGTCAGTGTTTAAAGGCAGCAGGATTTAGAACTTTACTAATTCAAGGCGGGGGATGTGGTTAGAATTGTATTTCATAATAAAATCGAGGTCAGTATAATCTTATACTTTTGTACAAAAGTCGATTGCTTCGGTACCTCTGTCCCATTCGTGTTTCAACCGTGAAGCAGCTGTGTTTGCATGGCTGTGTTTCGGTTTGAATCGTGGGATATGGCGTGAATTTACTGGGTACAGAGGAATAACACCTGAGTCCTCAGGAATGGCAACGCATGGGGGTATCATGGGTGACAGTAACAGTATACTTTGTTATGTCCATGGTACTGCTCATGTCTATAGGCGATGGTTACCACTTTCCATCAGGTGGGCCGTCAGCTTGTTTGCCACACTAAGTTGTATAAAAAAAAATCGCGTGTCACAGTGTTTACGGTCAAACTCCTATGAAACCTGCTCTACCGATTTGTATGAGTTTTATATATATATATATATATATATATATATATATATATATATATATATATATATATATAAATTGGACTTATCGAAAAATGAAGCACTGTGTTTAAATGTCGCATGATGGTTTATTTATTTATAAAGATGCACCAACAATATGTTTACAATAATTAAACAGACTAGGTAATGCTATAAGTAAGCTTAAGGCTAGACGTATATATCAATTAGAGGCGTATACTCTCACAGATAAGTGGTACTTCAGCATTACTTCAGCATACAGCTGAAGTAACAATCACGAGCTTGTATATTCATGGGCGTACAGTAATTAAATATACTTGTATTGCAGTGCTATCAGCGGAACAGGTGACCCTGCGGCTGGACCAGAACGGACCGGCGGCGGACGGCACCGGACCGGCGGCGGCCGGCACCGGACCGGCGGCGGCCGGAACCGGACCGACGGCAGCCGGCGGCGAGCAGTGGATACGGCGTACGCGACTCCCTAGCCCGAGACCCACGCCCGGCGGGCCCAGCCTCTGGAACCTGCTCTACAAGAACATCGGCAAGGACCTCAGCCAGATCTCCATGCCTGTCACCATCAACGAGCCGCTTAATATGCTGCAGGTCTCGCCCTCCACCTAGCTCTATTCTCTATTAAAATACATCTAGTATTTACTTTACAACCACTCCAATCAAGTGTGTTCAATAAAGAATCTCTTTATGATACTTAGAAGAACAAACAAGTTAGCGGCCCAGATTGTAGAAATTAGTAATCTATGGATATAAATAGCACCATGGACATCAAAGAATCACCTGTGATGTGTGAAAATATGAAGAATACCTCTTCATAATTTATCACTTCTCTGTACCCCATCATCTTACTGCAATATCTCACTTTTCAAACCAAAATACTGCTTTGTAAGCACAGTTGCTTTACAGCATGAAGAATGTGGCAAAAATACTACTGACTGATAATTCTTGTACAAACTCTCCTTCTAGTTGTGCTAGATTTTTTATACAATAAAAACAATACATAACCAAAGTGTACAATATTTTAAACAATTTCATAATCAAAAATAAAAAAGGTATAATGTAGAGTCGTTTTTTGAACACTTTTCTGTCTCTCTCTCTACCTCCCTCTCTCTCTTTCTCTCTTTTTGAAATTGACTTGTTACCTATCATTTAACAATTTTAACTTATTTTTTAAATGCGGTCAATAAAAGATAAATAAATAAAAAGTTAGTCTGTTGGACAAAAGTTTGCCCCATAAGGGGCGGTTTTGCCAATAGTTGACACGGCAGGTTTTTTTTTTTTTTACAACACAGAGGGCAAACGAGCATGCGGCTCACCTGATGGTAAGTGACTACCGCCGCCCATGATCACCCACAACACCAGCGGCATTGCAGGTGTGCTGCCGGCCTTTAAAGGTGTTTTAGGAATTGTAGTTTTAGTGATGTTTCAAAAGGTACGCCGATGCCCATCTCTCGACCAATAAGATCCCATTGTAACATTCATGGAACAGGAAGGGACGAGGAAAGATTTGACAGTTTGTAAACAGATATATATAAAAACTACACGACCGATTTTAAAAATTCCTATACCTGTAGAGTGGCATTGATAGCGAGTAAGACGGTTCGTGTAGAAGTGTGTCCGGACGAGGTGTGTGTGCGGGTGCAGAAGCTGTGCGAGGAGCTGGAGTACTCGGCGCTGCTGGACGCGGCGGCGGCGAGCGCGGCGGCGGCCGAGCGTGCGGCGCTGGTGGCCGCGTTCGCTGTGAGCGCGTACGCGTCGGCCGCGCACCGCGCCGCCTCCAAGCCCTTCAACCCGCTGCTGGCCGAGACCTACGAGTGCGTGCGCGCCGACCGCGGCTTCCGCTTCGTCGCCGAGCAGGTACCGACCCACCTCCCACCCCCTGGGGGGAAAGGGACTGCTAGCAATAGAGTTGGACAGCCCCATTAGGTCGACCTCCACGTGATTCCCCCTGGAAACCATCTTGAACAATTCTTGTTGAATTCGTCACGATGGGCTAACTGACCTACTTCATCCTCACCTATCATCCCTCACTGGTGCCCCGCCGATGTAAACCGATAGCGCGGGTGGGGTTACCATTACATTGTCATACATAAAAATACCTTTCCAATACAAAAGAAAAGGATTAAAAAAAAACAAACCAATATTCCCTGTCAGATCGATGTCCATGAAGTTTTCTTTGATTTATTCTTAATTCGCCAATTAACCTGATATCTCCACGTATCATTCCTCAATGGTGCCCCACCAATGTATACCGTTAACACGGCGGTCTAACCGTCACTGTTATCCATTTTGAAAAAAGCTTCTCCAAATATTGGAAATTCCTAGTAACTAGCAGCATTATTGCTGATAATACGGCCTCACTCAGATCAATCTCAAAACGATCGTAGCTAATTCACAGTGAGTTCGTCACAATGAGTCAGCTAATGATAAATCAATGTGAATATTTTGACCCAAAAGACAAGAAAGGGCTGATATTTTAAATCTTTATTCTATAGATTCCTCATACCTTACAGCCTAAATGGTCGCGTACAACGCGATTTCAGAGATGCTTTCTCCCACGAACACTCAGGTTATGGAATGAGCTCCCTGCCGACGTTTTCCCAAGAGACTACAGCATGGGGCTCTTCAAAAGGGGGGTAAAGAGGTTTCTTCAGGGACGGCAACGCGCGCGTAATACCTCTGGTATTGCAGGCGTTCATAGGCTACGGTAACCGCTTACCATCAGGTGGGCCGTATGCTTGTTTGCCACCTCAGTGGTATAAAAAAAAAAAAGATTCTTAGATTTATGTATGATCAATAAGTTCGTTTTCACTGCGTATATTACTAGCAATAGATCGACAGAAATGTGATTTGTCGCACTAATGACTCGCTTCAACAAATCCACCAGGTATCGCACCACCCGCCGATATCGGCGTGCCACGCGGAGTCGTCCCGCTGGACGTTCTGGCAGGAGGCGCGCATCAAGACCAAGTTCTGGGGCAAGTCCATGGAGTTTCAGCCCACCGGCCGCGTGCACGTCCGGCTCACCACCACCGGCGACCACTACAGCTGGAATAAAGTACGAGCATATTATGTGGCAAAATTTATCTTTTTTTTCTGCTCACATCTGTCACCCCTTGAATTACAGGCGCCCATAGGCTACAGTAACCGTTTACCATCAGACGGGCTGTATGCTTATTTGCCACCGTCGTAGTATAAAAAAAATTATAATGTTAAAATAGATGTATTTTGCTTCTAGTAATTTATTTATTTAAATAACTTTTATTTTTATTTTTTATTTTATTTTATACAAAAATTTATCTGTAGGACTATTAAATAACTTTAACACTGATGTCTAAAGCGCGTTTTTTTTTTTCTTTATTTAGGTCAACAAACAGTAAACACAATAACAATATATATACATATATATCTAAATATCAATAATTTTAGTGTCACCAACGACGTTGGCCACCTATTACTGTAAAACAAAATATGCAAAATGGTTGTGTGCAACTACTTGTACAAAACTAAACATATACACATACATGATTGACAGAATTATAAAGAGGTGCGTACCAGTGATACGCTCAAAATCAAAAAACTTCCAAATCGATGTTATATATTTTAAAAATTAAAATTTATTTACCAGCAATAAATAAGTTAAATAAGGGTTGCCACATTTTATTAGGTGGGTCATTCAGGGTCGCATAAAATAAATAAAAACTTGTGAACCAGGTAACAACATGCGTACACAACTTGTTCGGCGGGCAGCGGTGGGTGGACCAGTACGGCGACATGCACATCGTATGCCACGGGACCGACATCACGTGCAAACTTAACTTTATCAAGGTATATATAATAGTTCAATACTACTTCACACACATTTTAGTTAGATAGATAGATAGATAGATAGATAAACTTTTTATTTGAGCCATTTATGACACACGTAAATTAATAAATAAGTTTATACAATCTGATTATTTACATTTTTTTTTTCAAATATAAAAGAAAAGATGAAGTATGGAGATATGTTTTCACCAAGTGTTTCGCCACAAACTAAAGTTTCATCCCAATCATCTGGACGAGTGGTGGTTTTCCACCGTGCGTTTTTCAAGGCACTTTCTTCCACGCACAACCATTCTTTGGAATCAACATCCAGCAGCAGTATTTCCGAACCAATACAACAACATAAGCTTCAAGAAAAGAGCATATTCCTTTTTAAAAGGCCGGCAGTACACCTGCAATGCCGTAACGCCGATGAACGCCATTGCCATTACGGTGGAAGACGTTGCTGTGTCTCTTTATGGTGATCACGGAAGTTCTATAGGAACCTGGAGCGTGCCAATTTCGTCGCCTTCTGGCTGTGGGCGGCGGTAGTCACTTACCATCAGGTGAGCCGCATGCTCGTTTGCCCCCTGTGTTGTGAAAAAAAAAAAGAAGTGGGTCGCAGTGACCCAAATAGTGTTAGTGCTAGTGTTAGAGTGTTAGCGTGAAGGCTGTACCGCGTGTGGCGTGTGGCGTGTGGCAGGCGAGCGCGTGGTCGGGCAGCCGGCACGAGGTGCGCGGCGGCGTGGCGGGCGGCGGCGCGGCGCTGCGCCTGCACGGCCGCTGGTCCGACGCGCTCTACGCCGCCGACCGCTGCATCTGGCGCCCAGGTGACCGCCACACACAAGGGGTATATTGGTAGCAATGACCTCCGATAGCCCCATTGCTACCAATACACCCTCTCGGCTCCACCTCCACGCGGTTCCCCCTGGAAACTAACGGTATACAGTATAGCCTTAATGCAAGCTGTACATGGTGTCCGAGTTGGGGGCCTGGATTCCTGAGACAGATCTCTGATCTAGTTTAGGGTCCAGTCTCCCACAAGTTTTACAGACCATTGTAATTTTCTGTAAAAAAAAATACGCTGGTAGAACACCAGTGAAGAATGATAGGTGAGAATGAAAATGCCAATTCGATCATCGTGACGAATGTCGCCAGAATTTACCAAGATAATTTCAAGGGGGAACCGTATGGAGATCAACCTGATAGGGTGCTAGCAATGAGACTATAATATCCCAATTACTAACAATCACCATTACAACAATTATATATATATATATATATATATATATATATATATATATATATATATATATATATATATATATATATGTGTGTGTGTGTGTGTGTGTGCCAAATGTACACAGAATTTTACTGTGCATTAAAGTATAATTGGGGAGGCCTATGTCCAGCAGTGGACGGATAATGTTTACATATATATATATATATATATATATATATATATATATATATATATATATATATATATATATATATATATATAAAAGCACCCGATCTGTCAATTTAGTATTTTTAATATATTTTATATTTTTGTATGAGCCGTTAACTGTCCACTGCTGAACATAACCTCCCCCATAAGGAGAGATTTGCCAGTAGTTGCCACGCTTGGCAGGCGGGTTGGCATCCGCAGTTTGGCTTTTGATGATATTTTAAGAGGGACACTGCTACCTATCAGTGTTTCTCTACAATAATATGCATGTATTATACATATAAACCTTCCTCTTGAATCACTCTATCTATTAAAAAGAACCGCTTCAAAATCCGTTGCGTAGTTTTAAAGATTTAAGCATACATAGGGACGCACAGACAGCGACAGCGACTTTGTTTTATACTGTATAGTGATATAATATTTGTTTTTATCATTTTTCTTATTTCTATTTTTATAGTTCCAGATTTTAAAGTACGATGATCTGTTAAAGGAATTTAATTCTTAAGCAATACAAATATATGAGTTATGATCCGTCGACCAGGTCCAATGCCCCCCGACCACGAGCTGTACTACGGCTTCACCAGGTTCGCGATGGAGCTGAACGAGATGGAGCCCGGCATGCGGGACATTCTGCCTCACACTGACACCAGGCTCAGGTCAGTACATCCACATTGGAGGACAATGGACACGGATCTAGACACTGGGCATCCGTCATTTCTATTTCTTTACTTAAGTATTAAAAAAAGAGCCTACGTATGTCTCTGTTTGCCCAATGGTTGACTGGTAGAGAACACCGTCCGGTGTTAAGTCCGCCAAATATACAAAGTGTCTACATTAAATTTTAAATAAATAAATCAATCAATACATATAATAAAATCGTAACTGGTCTCTGTCTGTACTAGGAAAATATATAAGAAAAACTATTATAGGGGGGCCTTTATAAACGCAATAGAACCCAAAACAATGATTTTTAAAAAAATTGTCTGTTTGTCTATACATTTGTGCACGTTCAGAAACGGCTTAACCAATTTGAATGCGGTTTTCATTAATGCGTTGCGGTTGGCTCCGCTTAACATTCAGTGTTTGTTTTGTTTCAATCGGTTCATAAATAAAAAGAGTTATATCAATCTAAAGAATCACATATAAAATGCTATAAAATAATTGATCAACTATTATTTTTTGGAGAACTTTTAACATATTCGTTATTGGACTAGTATTTAGATACTATATCTCAAATATATAGATATTGCTATATATTTCCCACTATTCCCTATTTGTAATTCTTTTAAAATGCCTGCATTCACAATATCGCAAATAACATATTAAAATTTTGTTTTAAACAGACTTGTTTGTGCGTAAAATTCTTAAACTAGGATCCCGACTCCTGGTTTTACATTTTTATGAATAAGAAAGTGGTATGATTGTGTATATGTGTGTACTGTGCATGCGGCAGGCCGGACCAGCGCGCGCTGGAGGAGGGCGACGTGGAGGCGGCGGAGCGCTACAAGCTGCAGCTCGAGCAGGCGCAGCGCGAGCGCCGCCGCGACTCGCCCGACCACACGCCCGCCTGGTTCCGGTACGTGCCGCCGCACACCGCCTCACCGCCCTCGCTACCGCCGCACACCACCCTCACCGCCCTCGCTACCGCCGCACACCACCCTCGCTACCACCACACACCGCCCTCACCGCCCTCGCTACCGCCGCACACAACCCTCACCGCCCACACTGCCGCCACACACTACCCTCGCTACCGCCGCACACCACCCCCACCGCCCTCGCTACCGCCGCACACCACCCTTACCGCCCACACTACCGCCACACACCACCCTCGCTACCGCCACACACCACCCTCACCGCCCTCACTACCGCCGCACACTACCCTCGCTACCGCCGCACACCACCCCCACCGCCCTTGCTACCGCCGCACACCACTCTTACCGCCCACACTACCACCACACACCACCCTCGCTACCGCCACACACCACCCTTACCGTCCACACTACCGCCACACACCACCCTTACCGTCCACACTACCGCCACACACCACCCTCACCGCCCACACTGCCGCCACACACCACCCTCGCTACCACCTCACACCACCCTCACCGCCCTCACTACCGCCGCACACCACCCTCGCTATTCCCTTCGCACCTCCACGCTGTTCCCCCTGAAAACTATTGTGACCAATTTATCATTGAATTCGTCACAATGGGCTAACTGCCCTGCCTTTTCATTCTCACCTATCACCGCTCACTGGTACCTCGCCAGTGTATACCGATAGCGCAGGCAGTGGCGTAACAATAGGGTGGCAGGGCTGGCAAAACGCCACGGGCCCCCGACCCAAAAGGGCCCTGGCTCAAGAGGCCGCGAGCTCAGAATTTTTTGTTTATGCATTGTACCTGAGTATCTTATTTTACTTGAAAAGTATTTTTTTTTAACTGATAGGGCCCCATCAAAAGAATTTGCCACAGGCCCCAAATGGTATAGTTACGCCACTGAGCGTAGGCGGAGTTACCATGACATTTTCACCAATAAAAAAAAACTTACTCCTTCATCCACTCATACATATTGTATGTAATGCAGCAAAGTGGTGGAGAACGGCGAGGAGATGTGGATATTCAACGGCGAGTACTGGAAGGCGCGAGAGGCGGGCTTCAAAGACAACACCGCGCCCAGGATATGGTGACCGCGTCTGCTCATACACGTACGTAGCTGGCCTTTTTTTTACGTCTGGAAAATGCTTTATGCAGACCCATACACCTTGTGGGAGGTGAATGGGTACTGTGGGAATCCCCCCATAAGGTGGGGGTGTACCCACCAAAAACCAGACGATATACCCTCGAGGTGCCATATGTCGGAGACATGGGTTCGCTTTCGCACTCATCACACCTCCGACGGCAGCGACCCGCCCCCTGATGGTAAGAGCAGGTCTCCTCTCTCAAGATAGGATGGATGGCGTGCTCACCCTACCACTCGGGGGACGCGCCGGTATATTAGCACATCCCCCAGCGTACGTAGCTGGCCTACATTCTTATAACATTATTATTATGTTTATAGATGGTTACCACTTTCTATTAGGTAGCCTTCGGATTGTTAATACATAATTTTTATTTGGCTAAGATATAATATAACTAAATAATAATATTGTGATGTATATATATGTATACATCTTTAACAGACTTTTGGGAGACTTTGTACAAAAGTCGTTTGCTTGGCCACCTCCGTCCCATTCGTGTTTCAACCGTCAAGCAGTTGTGTTTGCATGGCTGTGTTTCGGTTTGAAGGGTGGAATATGGCAGTGAATTTACAGGGTACAGAGGAATAACAAGTGAGTCCTCAGGGATGGCAACGCATGGGGGGTATCATGGGCGAAACAGTATACTCTGTTATGTCCATGGTACTGCTCATGTCTATAGGCGACGGTTACCACTTTCCATCAGGTGGGCCATCAGCTTGTTTGCCATTCTAAGTTGTATAATAAAAAAATGAAAAATGTATAGAAATCATGTTATTTTAAATATTAAAATAATTATAGTTAATGTTAACATACATTTGAAAGAGTAACCTCTTTTGAGTTTCTTATAGTTCCATACTATTATTATCTTGTACATAAGTAAATTGAAAGGAAGTAACTCTCAAGTTTCTTGCAAGTTCTTCTCAGTAGATAACAACAATCCGAACCTAGCAGGATCAGAAATACAAATACGATTTAAAAGAGCTTGTAAACAAGTTTATTGGAATAAAGTTAGACATCACTGTTTTATGGGGTGTCTATAGGCGACGGTTACCACTTTCCATCAGGTGGGCCGTCAGCTTGTTTGTCATTCTAAGTTGTATAAAAAATATTATTAAACTTATATTTGGATTGACAATAAAGAGAAATCTTCTTAATAAATATTTTTTCATAATGTTTTTCTTTCCAGCGTGTACCGCCGAGCGAGGTGCTGTGCTAGAGGTTGTGTCTCGTCGCTTCCCGCTTCTAGAGCTTTACACAGTAGCCTTTATTATAAATAACTACTACCACATTGTACTGTTCGTTGGACGGGACATATACCCGTATATACAATAGGGTGCGTGTACCAATTCACCACAACCTTGTACACTTTTATATTAATATCATGTTTATTTGTGAATCAATTATGTTGTCGTTTGACATCTTTTTTTTTATTATTATTATTTATTAATTTATTTATAATATTTTTATTAAAAAAAAAGTGTTTAAATTATGAAATAGTGTAAACTTGGATTGTTATCCATACATGTTAATGATTCTCTGGGAATACATATTTTAATTTGCACTTGGACTTGCCTCACCTTACGGTAAGTGGTTATAAAATGTAAGATTATCCGCGCTTACCCCGAAATTACTTAACTGTCAACATAAAAAGACCTAAGTTGTGTTTCCCCAGGAACACAGATAAAGACATTGACATTTGACATTTGACGTTTGACATTTTTATTAAAGTGTCAATACCAATGTAACCAAAAGGCAATTATAGTAATAGCAGCTTGAATTTACTGATTTTTTTTTAACTATAAAATAATATATAACGTTGATAACTTAAAAAAGCTGTTATGTTAAATTTTACCAACTACTTACCTTAGTAATAATCACCTTATTTACTGATTGGTATACATTTTTTTTTCATAAATACATTAATTAAAATAATAATAATTATATATATATTAATTTACAGCTATATTTAACAGCTGTTGCTGCAGATATAGACTGTCGCTTTTGTATAATTTAAAATTATTTTTAATTTTACAAGTACAATTTACAATACTACATTTGTGGTTGGTTAATTGGTACATTTACCTTATTAATATGGATTCCGTATAGTAAGTGTGGGGATTTGAGAGTTTTACCAGTTTAATTAAAATTTATAATATAATTTGTTACCGTCGTAGTAATTATCGCATTATTCCTTTTATACGACATTGTACGGATGTATATTATGGCAATTATTTGTTGCTTTCAAAGTAAACAAATTTCAACCTTATTGTCTTGTGCTATAATTGTTAAATTAATTTTACTTGGCAATTTTATGCATATATGCTTAATATACTTTTTAGGTAATGACATATGATAATAAATATATATATATATATATATATATATATATATATAGCTAGACGCGCCATCTTGGCATGGGAGACTCAACTTTTATTTTTAATCTATGTTTTTTTTGGCAAAAAAATCACTTTCACAAGTCGAACGTCCTTCAAAAGGATGCATTTCGATATCAACCTGTATATGAGGAGTCATACTGTATAAGTATGTACGAAATACTAAAATGTATGGACAAATCACTGTATCTAGTATTTAAAAGGACAGTCAACACAAAGTTACCAAATTATACTTGTCACAACACATAGGAGTTGGCAATGCAACGCATCTGGCTGGTCGTATGCTGGCTTGACACGTTCGTTATATAAAAAATAAAATACATATAGGTTAATTATGATTTTACGTCATTGACACTTAAAATGCCTTATCTTAGCTCTCTCTCGCACTTATTACAAGCTGGATTAACATAGCGTGAATGATATTTGGAACTGTGAGAGTACCAGCATGGATATACTACCTTACGGCGAACGAAATAAGGTCGTTATTGCATCCTACAAAGTATAAAATTAATTAAAAAAATCCATCCGTATTTCTCATCCTTACTAATATTATAAATGTAAAAGTGAGTTTGTTTATTACTCGTCGCTTCAACGAGCCGCTCATCATAAAGTTTTCCATACAAATAGTAGCCATTTTGCATAGTAAAGAAGGACATAAAATGCTGTTTCATTCTATTCAAATAATATGCCCCAGTCATGCGGACAAAGTCACGATCATGTCTTAAATATCTTAAAACAAAATTCCAAAAAAAAAACGAAAAAAAATTATATTTGCCAATTTTTAATCATTTTTTATCGCCATATTCATTATATATGTGTATATATACTATAATATATAGTCCATAACGACTGTATGTATATCTGTGTACCCCCTTATTTATAAATCTTAAACCTACAAACAATATTTTAAGTATTATACAATTCTGTCACTTTCTATCAAATTAGGAATTCAACACCAAAGAAAGAGACAGAACTTCTCAATAGCTAAAGTGGAGAGAGATTTGACGTTTTTATAAATAAGGGGTATTATCATTATTTAGCTTGTTGCACTCTCACAATTAAAACAAGAGCGATATTTCATTTATAAAACTATAAAGCTGTCCAGACTACACGTTACGCCAAAAAGCAGGACGTACGTACATCCAAAAATGTTACCTTTATCTGTGACATTCATAAAAAAAAAAAATTATATTTCATACTAAAGTCCTATTTAGAGGATTACAAGCCGGGCATATTGCCCAATATAGTAAAATGAGTTCTTCGCGAGTTAACATACATAGTCATGTCCGAAACGACAATATGACATCATAAACCGTCATTGGTTATTACTAACTCTCCTCACATACTCGTTTGCCTTCATTCGCATTAAAAAAAAAATTAAATGTTGGTACTCTATACATTGTGATAGTAAATAAAAAAATATATAGGTATATATTGGAATATTTTGGCAATTCCATAATTTCAGTTCAATTACATCGTTGCGTAGTGCATACAATTTTAAAATTGACCTAGTAATAAGTGAATGCGTATGCGCAGCTACAAAATCTAACATACTGTCTAGCCAACCGTTGAGGACTAAAGGGCGTGGCCTAACTGTGGCTCGGTTGTCATAGACTATTGTAATTGATAAGTTGTTCATCATCGTACCAACTTTTAACTGTCCGTTGCTAAGCATAGGCTCCCCCCCCCCCCTCCCTGGGAAGTTTTGCCAGTAGTTGCTACGCTTGGCAGGTGGGTTGACAACCATAGTTGGGCTTGGTGATATTTTAAGAGGGACGCTGCTGCCCATCCCTAGACAGTTAAGTTTTTATTGCTTAGCAATATTTCATTTTTTTTTTTAATTAATAATAATAGAATGGTAACCCCGCCTACGCTGTCAGTAGACTCTGGCGGGACACCAGTGAGAAATGACAGATGAAATGAAGTCTGATCTTTCGACACATCATGACAGCTTCACCAAGAATTAACCACGATGGTTTCCAAGGGACACCACACTGTCGTCCATCTGATAGAGTACATGCTTATGGCTAGCAATAGTCCCATTAATCCCATAGACAATCGCCCCCTCCCTACCTTGACCTTTTTTTTTATACCACTGAGGTGGCCGTACCGTAGCCTATGAACGCCTGCTAATACTAGAGGCATTACGCGCGTATTACATTTTTAGAGAATCGTGTTACAGCTTTGTCCCCAATGATTGGTTAAGCAATATGCTTTTCGATCTTGTTGCTATGGATACGGCTTAAGTGTTATCTAATTTTTTTTTTCGTTTTATTAAAAAAAAAAAGTATAAATTATAAGGTTTTAGAGTATTGTGGCTGTGAAATGTTTCCATTAATGAAAGGATAATGTTAGATCTTTATTTTTTTTTTGTTGAAATTGCCTTATAATATAATTTTCTTTTCTTGCCAGTTATAGATTGATAGGTGTCATAGACAAATATTGAAAAAGGGAACGGGTAGTCTATGAAAATTTGGTTTTGACGTAATATTTCTTGACTTCACTGTTTGCGTTGTGACTTCTACATGGAACTTTATTATATCGATTTTACAATATTATTTAAAATACTTGTGTTGTATTTTAAATAATATATAGTCGTATGACTTCTTGATTTAACGTTTTGAAAAAAGAATCATATGACTCTGCTTCTTGAAGGATTAGCCTACTAAATTACAGAATAAATGTGTTTGCTAAATTTAATATTCAAATTTGGGGCTGATCCAAATGTCTAATGAGACGAGGCGTATTGCAGAGCTTTTTCACAATTGAAACATCGTTTTGATGATGAAATAAAGTACAATTATATACATCTGTAACGTCATAAATGTGCCGCTTATATAGGTACATTTAAAGGGAAAGTGGCGGGTGGAACTTGCCCACCCCAGAATTCAATTTTTTTTTTTTTTTAAGTCTAATTTTGTGGAACCATCACCACAAGATGTGTATCTCTGAGCGCTTCTAATACAAAACCAGCTCCTAAAAATAATTTCAAATATGCCAATGTGCTTATAAATTTAACAATTTATAGAAATGACATATTAAAAAAAAAATTTAAAGTTCTGTTGCTTTTTAAAATGTTGATTTAATAAATACATATTCTCTTGTCAATTAAATATTGGAAAGTCAATCGGAATATAGTTGGCACATAATTAATTAATATTGCACAATATTTATTAAAATATATTACAATATGGTGGTGCAGGTCATTAAATATATGAAATAGTAATGCAAGAGTTTATAGAAAATTGTAGAGAGAGGTGGATTGACAAATAAACGTGCTGTACTTGGTAAATTCGTATAAGTAAGGGATATAACCTTGGTCGTTGTTTGGCTTGGTATAATGTATTTCACGTCACTACCTCTATCTACATTATGTACAATTAATTAAATTATCTCGTCTTATAATCACCTTTATTTACTTCCCAATGGTGCTGTGCATGTGTGGAAATTGTGTAAGTGTGCGTGTCCGTTATTGTTTTATTTTAGTTTTCATTTTGTATTCTGTACAATTCGAAATTTGAATAAATGCGCGAACCCATTTGATGAGCAAAAGACACAGGCCTAAAGTGTTTTTTTTTTTTTTTTTTTATAAATCTACCAGTGAATGTTCTGTCAATGCTTTCATTAATAACGATTAAGTACAGACCAGTTGTTTTTCTTTTCTTTTTTTTTTTATTGTTATTACTATCAGTTATTCTGTAGCTTAGATGTAACAAAGCAGTATATTTACAGTGATTATTAGTAATAATACATATTTTATGAGCACCCAATATTTGAATACTACTATAAGTAGTCGCCATTAAAAACTATATAGTTTTAATTTGCAAATGACAACTTTACACTAAGTTTATAATACCAGTGCCCGAATATAAATGCATATTATGCGATTCGTTTAACGTCTAATGAAATCAAACCTTAAGACATTAATATAAGGCTTAATTTAATCAGGAATTAGTTCGAGCACAGACCTAGCAATGTTTTTTTTTTTTTTTATTGAAAATGTGTAAAAGACAAACGGTTAAAGGTTATAAATCTATAAAAAGTTTATTTTATAATATACTCTATGCCTTCTGCTTCTAGGTCGAGTTTGAAAGCTTCTAATGATAATTATCTATAATAAACTACATGGATGTTGTTGCTAGATAAATTATAGATATATGTTTAGATATTTGTATATAGAGGATTAGTTTCGTTTTAAAAATGTTGTTGGACGTTTTTATGTTGCAAAATGTAGATATTCGCGCCAAGTATATTACGGGATAGGCAGAGAGGTGTTTGAATTTTATGTCAACAAAATTAAATATTTTACAATTAGGATAACTTTAATTAAAGTTATATATAATGTCGATGAAATTCAATATATTAACAATAACAGAATTGTTACGTTTTACGTTCATATTATAGAAAATATCTACTTATTTAGTAATAAATAAGAGTCAACGTGCCCAAGCACAATACTTACTTACTTTGTTGTTATATCTTTTCCTTTTTTGAAAATTTGAAGCCAGTGACGACAATTATGTTATTAAAAATAACATGTTCCATTTTCAAAATAAAAACGTTCAATGTGATTTATTTTTAAATCAGCCATGTTTGCTCTTATAACATACGGGTTTTAGGTTGTTTTTTTTTTTTTTTATTCAGTATTTTGTCGGGTCACATTCTTTTTTATGAATATTAAACACTTGTCACTTTTAAAAAAAATGACAATAAAATGTTTTGTGTATAAAAATAATAATATTGTTGTAAAATGTTATATTAATGAAATTATACTGATGTATTAAATATTAACTTTTATGAGTTTAAAATGTAATTAAAAAATAATGTGAACGTGTATCAATCGGCTATTAAATCTAACAAAAAAAACAAACAATTTGACAGGTTAGGTCCTAATGATTGACTACATATGACTACATATTTTGTTAGATTTTCTAGTTTCGTACACACTTAAAATAATATTGTTTTCAAATTATTTTTAAATGTGAAAGACAAGTTCATCAATTATACTGTATATAATACGTGGTTATTTTATTCATTTCAGCTATTAATTGTCTAATACTAGGCCTCCCCTAGAATGCCAAAATGGTCCAGAGCTACCTCCATCCACTGAGCTTTTCCAATCCATTTACATTTGTCTTATACAGAAAATCTAGTAAGAATTCGTCTTAACTTACGTTAGTCTATACATGGTCGCCACCTGAGAACCTTCCTCCATATATATGACCTCAAATTGACGTCACTTAGTCCTTTAAGGTCTTTCTTCTTCATTATGCTGTTACGTCATGCAGTCAAAAGCTTCCGACACCAACTAGACAGCTACCAGCTTACTATGAACTCATCAATTATATCAGGCTTTAACTGTCCACTGCTGAACAATTAGCCTCCCCCTCAGGGGGTCTTGCCAGTAGTTGCCACGCTTGGCAGACAGATTAGCAACCGCATTTAGGTTTTAGAGATATTTTAAGAGGGGCATTGTTGCACATCCCTCGCCCTACCTTAGTCGCCTCCTACGACACTTACGGAAAAGGAAAGGATGGCCAACTCTGTGCCGGGACCACATGGCCATATAAATTTATACAAGACAGATTCTATATAGCTCAGAAAGAGACAATTAATTCTTTTAATCACGTTTTAAACACTAATTATAACCTTCTTTCACCGCAGCGTATTAGTACTAATTAATTTATCAGAAGGAGACTTTGTACAAAAGTCGATTGCTTGTGTACCTCTGTCCCATTCGTGTTTCAACCGTGAAGCTGTTGTGTTTGCATGGCTGTGTTTCGGTTTGAAGAGTGGGATATGGCGTGAATTTACAGGGTACAGAGGAATAACACCTGAGTCCTCAGGAATGGCAACGCACGGGGGTATCATGGGCGAAACAGTATACTCTGTTATGTCCATGGTACTGCTCGTGTCTATAGGCGACGGTTACCACTTTCCATCAGGTGGGCCGTCAGCTTGTTTGCCATTCTAAGTTGTATAAAATAATAATAATATTACTATAGCATTATTTTGTCTGTGGTATTAATATGAGAGGTTTAAAAAGATTTTTGACATATGTCGATAGCTTTTTTTTTTTGTTTTTTAATGGAAAAATATTAGATTTCACTGTCAGAATACTCCGTTAAGAGTAAGCAAACAATTTTAATGTCACCCAACTCATTTACAATCATACAAAAATCTCTATGTGTTTATTGTATGAACTTGTCTTCATTAATACGATGTAATTATTTTAATACAGTTCCGTTTAAAATGAGTCTATGGTTAACAATTTAACGTAATGGTTACATACGGTGGTTAGGATTAAAAAGTAATATAGTCTATTTGTCATTATTCAATTAATTTCTAATAACATGTGCCTATGTATATCTGTTACTCTAATATTTTTATGTACTTAATTATTTTAATATATTTTCCCTTCACACCTAAAATAGGAAGATTTACAATGTAGACCTCCACGTTGCACGGTGACGTCTGCGACTGTAAAGACGCCATTCTTTAGTCATTTTCAAGTCGCTAAATGACCGAAAAATGACGTCACCGTACTACTTGAACCGCCATACTGGTCTAATTGTAATAGTCACAACTATATTACATGTACAGGTGGAAATAGAAATATTTGCATTATTTTTAAGAAATCTTCTACCAGTCAAATTGAACACTGTTGAAACAGCGGTCAAAAAACGACAAAAATTAAATATTCTCCATAACTACCTAATAACTGTGCACGCCCTGTATATAAAAGAACACTCTTGGAACACCCTTAATTTCAATTTCAAACCGTATATGGCAAAATTCATGCTTAACTAATGCAGATCAAATTTACTCATTAAAGAAAATTAATACTATAAAACAGTAATAAAAAATATGTAATGCTGGCTGTTATAGCTTTTTTTTTCTTTTTTTTTTTTATTATTTAAAATACGAATTTGCAGTTGAATAAAATATTTATTTCGAATACTATAATATTGGCTTTAAATTTTTTAAAATAGTCAATGTTCCTGCCTTTACAACACAAGCATTAATTCTGTAATAATTCAGCTCCTAAAACTGATGTAGTAGCGTAGATGGCTAATACGCCAGATCGTTATGGTTGTTATGGCATTTTGAATCATATTTTTATTGTAATAGGACTCATATATTATACTACATATACAGTTTATCGTACAGCGCCATCTACTCCGAAACTATACAGAACTTGTTCTATCTACTCTTAATTAGGCCACGCCGGCATACATAGACCAACAGTGTATGCCAGCTGCAAATCCAGCGACCCGGAAGTCGTCGCCTCCGGGGTAGAAGCCGGGGTAATGGGGTACGCCCCGAGGCCCCTACCTCGCCCGCCTACGCATCATCCAGCGGGCGAAGATAAGACCCTGTTTTTGTTGTTTGTCTTAATTAAGTATGTATATTCAAATACATTTTCTTGCGTTAAACATATATAATATGTAAAAGGACGCAATTACAGTCTAGACGTATTAAAAACAGACGCTCCTAGGAATACAAATATTGTTTCTGTATGGGAATGAACCCGCAAATATCAGATATACTTGAGGCAGTCTGTTAAATTACTTTTTTTTTTATTTTTTTTTTCCTATACACTGACTTTTACATATGTACGTAATAGACACTTTTTATAGCTGGCCACTACTGCTATCACGCTTTTCTGTGAAGCCTTAAAAAATCTAAGCGCCATATTTTTATCTACAGCTTTGGACAACCATAGACAATAGAATTCATAAGTTTTAATTTTATTTACTAACGCTTAAAAAGATTAGTAATATTTAACAATGCATTATTGTAATTACTTATATAATCGAAATTATAATTCAATGTACTACTTATTTTTAAGTATTTGTTTTAAAATAAATTTAAAATTTTTAAACTGGCATACAATTGTCAGAAATATAATGGGTTATTTAATTAGTCACTCGTCACTCGAGTATTTAAAACATTAGGACCTGCACAGACGAGTTACAGTCTTTAGACAGTTTTTTTTTTTTTTTTCATAAAATAGAAGTCGCGAATTGATATATCAATGTTTAAAAAAGTTGTAAGATAACTTACCTACCAGAGAGAAATATTTAAAGTTGGATTATTTGATGAAATTTAATATTTTAATGGACAAAAAGTACCTACAAGAATTGTCGCTCGTCTACGCAAGTCGTTAGTTTAACCTGTTATTTATTTTTATATTTTCATCACCCCTAAAGACGTAAAATACGCTCATTTATTGTTACTTATTTTTTTTTTTTTAATTTTGTTACATAAAACACTTAAGTGAATTATGCATAATAATAGTATTATTGGGATGTTATTTAGTTTTCAATTTTTATCCATTTTCATTTTGGTTTTACAGTATGCGAAGATGATATTAATGTTTTAAAATATTTTAAATTACCGGTCTGTAACATATTAAAATATTATGACCTGTACATAATGGTTTTTTTTTTCACCTTTACAGATATCACGTTAGAATCTATCTCTATAAATTTATTTAGCCTGATATTTGAATCTTAAAAATAGGGTAAGTATATACAAATTATTGTTAAACCAGTCAATAAGTGTTTATAATTTTTTACAAGCGTTATAATTTGAACATTAAAAACACTCGTTTTAGGAAGAGATTGTTGTTGTTTTGTTTCTACCGTGAAGCAGTTGTGTTTGCATGGCTGTGTTTCGGTTTGAACGGTGGGATATGGCAGTGAATTTATATATTATATTTATTTATGAGAGTACAGAGGAATACTCTCTAATTACGATACTCTCATTTCTGTTTCATGACAAAAATAATTCACAAGTGAACTTTTAAATTTAAAACTTTTTATTATTAAAATAGTTTGATTCAAGCAAATTGTGAATAATTTTAAAAATTGCCGCCATTTTGGAGTACTATCATTGATTGTTGCTAGTCTGACGATGCCAAAGAACAAGCAAATTTTGTCAATATTCCTGCGAATTCAAATTACAGCACTCTTTATATTATATTTAAAACAAATTTCAACTTTTCTTAATGTATCTCATTCTTATAGAACATAATAAAAAAACTGGTACTTAACCATATAATTACATTTTTGTTTGAATAGGACAAATTCTTCTTTTTCTTTATTTATGACGCAACGTAACTAACGACTATGAATGGAATAAAAGACAGCTCACTTGTATATATAAAAAAAAAAACTTTCTAGATATTTATCTAAGAGTAATTGATTCTTCACCAGATAATAAATACCTAACAATAAATAATGAATATCTATCATCATACTGGAGAAAAAATGTCCAACAGTAAGTTTTAGATACTTATCTATTTCTATTGTATTGATCCAATAATGTCTGATGAAAACTGATATTGAACTTAGTAAAAAAAGTATTCGACTCTATCTACGTTCCTATTTTACAATATGTTTTGGTTTTGACAATGACAACCGACTGTTTCTGAACGCCCCTTTGTCCTCCTTCCTACCTCCCTCCTGCCAGCAATGATTTGGCAAGTTGGAAGTGAATAATTTCACTTTCTTTTTATAGAAAGTAAACATTTTGTATTGATTTTAAAACCATTTCTATATTTGTATATAATATAATATATCATTAATGTAATTTAGTATTTGTTATTCGTTGACAATTCGCGTTGTTTTAACGGTAAGTTTAAAAATAGCGGTCGCCTATCCGTCCTCGTATATTATTTGTTTACATTATTGACTAGTTTCTACGTTATATAAGTGACCATGTCAATTCTAAGGACATTGAGTACTTTTATAAGTGTAGTAAAATACAATAAACACCCTACAGTGTATGTGACAGGTGATTAAAGTCATATTTTTATCATCAATTCTGAGTTGTAATCGATCACTATGCACTAGTCATATGAGTATCAAATCTTATTTACTTATCCGTAACGTATGATTCAGTCTGACATACATACGAACACCTAGAAATTCTATAGATTACAATATTTACACTGCTCTGACTTTACTTCCAGTAAGTTTTTAAGTAACTTTTTTTCGTGCAAGTTAGAATGGCAAACGAGCTGACGGCTAACCTGATGGTATATGATATACGTTACCTATTGACATGAACAGTACCATACATAACTGTGTCATTCATTATACCCTTCATGCATTGCCATTCCTGATGACTAAGGTGTTACGCCTCTGTACCCTGTAATTTCACTGCTATATCACCCTCTTCAAATTGAAACAGCCATGCAAACACAACTGCTTCATGGCAGTAACATGAATGGGATAGAGGTGCCCAAGCAAATGACTTATACAAAATCTCTTTCTGGCAACTCTATTTATAAGCCTTACTGTGATGGATTTATGGTTAATTGTTGTACATACATACATACATATCTGTCACGCCTGTCTCCCATTAGGGTAAGCAGAAACAATGGAACGCCAAATGCTTCGATTCAAACAAACCTCTTTCGCTTCTTCCACATTCACTTTTATTGTTGTATGTATACTATATTACTACACACTATATTATTTTATATTTAGTCATATAGTCCTGGCATAGAATGGGCCTGGTCGAGAGATGGGCAGAAACATTCTCTTAAAACATCACTAAAACCTAACTGCAGTTGCCAATTTGCCTCCCAAGTGTGACAACTACTTACAAAACCCCTCCAAAGGGTAGTCTTATATTCTACAATGGACAATAAACAGCTGATATGATGGTGATGATGATATAGATTACTAAACTAACTACTGTTTACTGAGGGGAAAGTGATTGTTAGTAATGGAGACTGAGAATCCCATTGCTAGCAATATAACCAACCAGGTCCACCTCCTCGCGGTCCCCCCTGAAACTATCATGGTTAATTCCTGATGAATTCATCATGATGGGCTAACTGACCTGTTTTCATTCTCATCTATCACCCTTCACTAGTGCTCTGTCAGCGTATCCCGTTAGCGTAGGCGGGGTTACCATTCCATTTTCACCCATAAAAAAAATACAACTATTTACTTAAGGGGAGAAGTGGTAATGAAGAAGCTCCATTGCTAGCAATATACCTTGTTAAATCAATCTTCTCGTGGTTCACCCTGGAAACCATCGTGATTGATTTATTGTTAAATTTATCACAATGGGTTAACTTATCTGCTTCACTCTCGCCTATCATCCCTCACTGGTGCCCTGCGAGCATATACCGATTGTGCAGGTACCATTCCATTATCATCCATTAATAAAAAACTACTAACTTTGATTCAATATGTTATTCCTTTGTGTATGTTGGTTAATGGTATAAATAAAGTGCATTACTGGAAAAACAGATAAGATTTTTTTGTCAATTTATTTATATATATATATATATATATATATATATATATATATATATATATATGTAACCCCACTCATGCATCGGTATATCTTCACTGGCCACCATTACCATTATCATCTGTTGAAAAAAAAAACATTTACTATACTATAACAAAATCAAATCCAGCTACAGTGTTTGCTTCTGTTTATTCTTGGAGTTATAATTCTATTCGAGAGGACTAGATCATTATTAGTAATTAAGTATTAACATAGTTTTTAAGTACACTTACTAACAAGAATGGATCCCAGTTGTCTGGAAATAAATAAATAAATAAAAAAAAAAAATAATAATAAATATTAGCCCCAGGTCATGAACAGGGATCTGTCATACATCTTGGTGTTATCCCAAATATATTGTTTACATTTGTCTTTATAATAATAGTACCCATTTAAAAAATAATAAGCAGTCTATCTTATCTATGACCTTAAATTGAAGTGCATTATGATATTTACTGCCTATTGTTCAAGTTTACAGTAATTTATCACAGTATTGTTCACATTACAGTCAACATTTAATCTACTTGTTTAATATTCAAGTAGAGTAAATTCCATTTATTGTTAGTTTCTGAAAACAAAGAGTTTAAAAAACATTTTTATATAAATTTTTATAATCATGGGTTATGCAAGAATTGTATTTCTTTTTAATGGGTGAAAATGGAATGGTAACCCCGCCCATGCTATCGGTATAGACTGACGAGGCATCAGTGGAAGATGATAGGTGAGAATGAATGCAGGTCATTTAGTCCACCATGATGAATTGAACAAGAATTAACCATGATGGTTTCCAGGAGGAACCGTGTGGAGGTCGACTTGAGAGGGTATATTGCTAGCAATGGGGACTATTAGACCTCATTACTAACCCCTTGCCCCCCTAAGATTTGTGTTTATGTAATCATCATCTTCCTACCCTTATCCCAATTATTATTTGGGGTCGACGCAATGTTTTCCTCTTCCAGTCTTCTCTATTCCCAGTCATTTCCGCGTTCACTCCCATTCTGGCCATATCGTCCCTCACACAATCCATCCATGTCATTTTAGGTCTTCCTCTTCTCTTATAGCCATCTACATTCATTCTTAATATTTTTTTTAAAATAAGCTCCTCATTCCTGCGCATCACGTGCCCATACCAGGATAAACGGTTACTTCTTAACTTTTCTATCACTGGCGCTACTTTCATACTTCGTCTAATATAATCATTCTTAATTGTGTTATAATATTTAAATACTTAGGTAATCGTGCTTCCAACCAAACTGTTTATAATTACTCCTCTCCATGGAAAGTGCCTGTAAGAGATCGCCTTAGCGATAAGGTCGCCCATTGTTTTCTCACTGTGATTATTTCTTGTAATTGTTTATATTTATAATAAGTTTACTATTGTAATCTTTTGGAGGAAACAATAAAGAGTATTTATCTATCTATGACTTAATGGTGGCCCTACCAGTATACACCAATAATGCAAATGGGGTTGCCATGTCATTATACATTAAAAACCTGATTTTATTGTCACCAGTCATCCATTGTCATGTATCATCCATCACTTATCCACCAACATGAATAGAGAAGGTCATACCTGTCACCATGAAATTACCCTGATTGAGGATGTGGGTCAGAGTAGTGGGCATTCTTATAAGTGGTAGTACTGCATAAATGAGCTCCCAAGTTTGATTCCGGCTATGCCAATACTATTGTAAGGACCAGACATTAGTGTGATTGATCCACACTTATTTACTCGCAATGACCTCTACTACTGTGGAAATTTAACCGACTGACGCCCCTTAAATAGGCCATTTTAAATCACTATCTCCAGTACACGCTTCTCCAGTTCGCAGTATGTCCAACGCCACTGTGAACATCAAGTTCCGCCATGGCCTGACGGCGTCGGATCCTGAGCGGCAGCCGGTGCTGGTGGTGGGGCAAGTGGCCCATCTGGACAGTCTGACATGGCATGACGTCCGGTGCAAGCTAGAACCTAGGGTCACAGAAGAGGTAAGTGATATATAAATAAATAAGCTGTGATTCTATATCTATTAATGACTATATTCACTGCTGTTTATCAATTTTTTTATACAATTTAGAACGGCAAACAAGCTGACGGCCCATCTGATGGAAAGTGGAAACCGTCGCCTATAGACATGAGCAGTACCATGGACATAACAGAGTATACTGTTTTACCATGATGTCCCCCATGCGTGTGCCATTCCTGAGGACTCGTTGTTATTCCTCCGATACCCTGTAAATTCACGCCATATCTCTACCCTTCAAACCGAAACACAGCCATGCAAACACAACTGCTTTTTTGAAACACGAATTCTACATAGGTACCCAAGCAATCGACTTGTACAGTCTCCCTCTGGTAAATTATTGTTTAAATATGTTTTGGTTTTCCTATCATGATTGGTTTTCGCTCTCTGTAATTAGCAATGATTGATCCTAATAATATTTCTTATAATAAACTCATATTTCACAAAAGTAACAATAAACGAGTTATTGAAGAGTTCCTGCACCCATAAATTTATACACACAAAAGGGAAAGGCGCAAACAAGTATCTTGACGTATTATTTAATAAATAAAATAAGTGTTTATATATTTAAAATATGCAGAAATTATAAGACAAAATAAATATAGAAGTTATAAAGGGATCACTCGTAACTATTTATCACGCAAAATTGTATGAAAAAGTAGAGCCCGTGTTCTCGAAGCATTTGTATGGATAGACTGTATCTATGTAATGTAATGTGGGTTACGATTCCCTTTTGTGCATCCCACCACCCACACAGGCGTGGCGGCGCGGCGTGGCGTGCGTGTCGGCGTCGCCGGGCGACTGCGTGGAGCTGTGGCCGCGCGCGGCGGCGCTGGCCGCGCTGCCGGCCCGCCGCTCGCGCCACGCCGCGCCCTCGCGCTGCCACGCGCTGGCCAAGCTCGTCCGGGGGCTGCAGCGCTCCACCGACGAGTTCATCGTGGTGAGGACCGCCTCGGCTTACAAATACATCCCAACACTTTCCACCGTTGCCATCACATATCTTGAAGTGTAAAGTGATCATATATAGACGTTTAGCAATCTCGACTCGCAACACTAGCGACATAATGGTTCCATACTGCTCGGATAGAGGCTAAGCGCGGAAAATAGAGTCCTATTTACATTTTACTGTTCTAATAGATGCATATTAGTGTAACTTGTCAATGCGAACTATCGTAAACCGATCCCAATTATAACCTAATTGCTAACTGATATTTCATGAGTGCAGTATAAATTGTCATTGGCAATAGATTGAATTGATATTGAATTCAAGATTAAACCTGCTGGTTAGAGTAATTAAATTGATTTGACCTTCTTTTTAATTCTTGTGGTAAATGGCTGTCAAGATTGTTTGTTAAAATGACAGTTAATTTTGTATCCAGCCTTAATTGACTTGATCCTTACATCTAGTTTACGGTAGCAATAAATAAATAGATTTTTTATTAGCATTTCTTAGTGTATGTATGAGAATTTTTTTATAAAATATTTCTACTGAATTGACGCAAATGAAATCATAAGCGTATTTTAAGGTCCGTGACCATCTCAGGAGCAGAACTGTAAGCTATACGCAGAAACATGTCTAAGAGTGCATATAAGATGTAAAAAATAATTTTACACCAACTGTTGAAACTACTAAATTAATTCGAGCTAGATTTTATCCAAAGTCCGTAAGCGCCTGTTATATCACATCAACGGTATTTTTAACGTCATTATGGCCGATGTAGTCTGGCACATGGACCGGGCGCTAGGGTGTACAGTGCGGTGACGTTGCGCCCGTCCGCAGCTGGTGTGCCGCAAGCGCGACGTGTACGCGAGCTGCGTGAGCATCGCGCGCTCGTTCCCGCTGTACAGCGCGCGCTCCGGCGCCGCGCCGCTCGCCGCCGCGCCGCCGCCGCGCACGCGCACCGTCGCCGTCGAGATACTGCTCGTCCGCCGCACGCCAGGTACCGCGCCCGTCCGCCGCACGCCAGGTACCGCGCCCGTCCGCCGGCATACTGCTCGTCCGCCGCACGCCAGGTACCGCGCCCGCCCGCCGAGACACTGCTCGTCCGCCGCACGCCAGGTACCGCGCCCGCCCGGCGAAATACTGCTCGTCCAAGACGTGCGAACTATGTTCGCCCACCATTACTGTCTGAATCCTGCTCGTCGACTACGTTCAAAGTACATCCCTATACCGTCTAATGAATTTGATTTTATATTTTAATCCTAATTATAATATTTTCCCCAGACGGTGATGGGTCTGATGACGATGATGACGGTCCCGTCGATCCCTACCTGCTGGACAACACGTTGTCATCCGAAGACTTGGCGACGTTGCAAGACGCTGCGGACGCGACTCGTTTGGCTGCTCGTATTGCGGACACTCCAGCCAATATTATGAATGTGGATAAATTTATCGAAGTGAGTCATATATACATCTACGTAGTAAGTAGGTATCTCGTGGGGTAGGGAGGAACGATTGAACTGCCTCTATCCTTACATCGCTTTCATATCTAATCTTGTCAAAATATGTTTATTTGTTAATAACTCTTTTGCATTATCAGCATTACGGATGGTGCTGATTATACGTGATATCCTGTTTATCCCGATAGGAAGCTTGCCAAGTAGCGAAGGATTTAGAACTGGCCGAGCCGACCATCATCCGAGGCGAGGAGCTGCGGGCGCGCGGCATGGGAGGCCTGTACGGCGTCGGCCGCGCTGCGGCCTGCCCCCCGGCGCTGGTCGCGCTGCACTACCGGCCCGCCGCCGCCACCCGGACCGTGGCCTGGGTCGGCAAGGGCATCGTCTACGACACCGGCGGTCTCTCCATCAAGGCCAGGGTGAGAACTAGTACCCGTACCGCTGACGGCCTGCTGAAATTCCCCTAAACACTTTATTGAACAACTATCTTCCAGACACGAGTTTCTTATGCTAGAAATTACTAAGAGTAATCGTAACTTATATATGCCATACTCATTTTCAGAATATAATATCTTAAGCTATTCTTATTGTGTAATGACATTTTTGTTAGTCATCATTCTAACACTGAATATTTGTGATGTACCTCACAGACGTCGATGGTGGGTATGAAGGGCGACTGCGCGGGTGCAGCTGCGGTGCTGGGCGCGTTCGCGGCCGCCGTGCGCGCGCGTCCCTCCATCGCACTGCACGCCGTGCTCTGCCTCGCAGAGAACGCGGTCGGACCACTCGCCACCAGGTCAGCCTCACCCGCCCCCTCACACTGCACACTGTACATACTGCACGCCGTGCTCTGCTCGCAGAGATACGCGGTCGAAACTACTCGCCACCAGGTCAGCCTCACCCGCCCCCTCACACTGCACACTGCACACTGTACATACTGCACGCCGTGGTCTGCCTCGCCGAGAACGCGGTCGGACCACTCGCCACCAGGTCAGCCTCACCCGCCCCCTCACACTGCACACTGCACACTGTACACGTTGTCATCTGCACGCCGTGCTCTGCCTCGCAAGACGCTGCGGTCGCGACCACTCGCCACCAGGTCAGCCTCACCCGCCCCCTCACACTGCACACTGCACTCTGTCCATACTGCACGCCGTGCTCTGCCTAGCAGAGAACGCGGTCGGACCACTCCCCACCAGGTCAGCCTCACCCGCCCCCTCACACTGCACACTGCACACTGTACATACTGCACGCCGTGCTCTGCCTCGCAGAGAACGCGGTCGGACCACTCGCCACCAGGTCAGCCTCACCCGCCCCCTCACACTGCACACTGCACACTGTACATACTGCACGCCGTGCTCTGCCTCGCAGAGAACGCGGTCGGACCACTCGCCACCAGGTCAGCCTCACCCGCCCCCTCACACTGCACACTGCACACTGTACATACTGCACGCCGTGCTCTGCCTCGCAGAGAACGCGGTCGGACCACTCGCCACCAGGTCAGCATCGCCCGCCCCCTCACACTGCACACTGCACACTGTACATACTGCACGCCGTGCTCTGCCTCGCAGAGAACGCGGTCGGACCACTCGCCACCAGGTCAGCCTCACCCGCCCCCTCACACTGCACACTGCACACTGTACATACTGCACGCCGTGCTCTGCCTCGCAGAGAACGCGGTCGGACCACTCGCCACCAGGTCAGCCTCACCCGCCCCCTCACACTGCACACTGCACACTGTACATATGCACGCCGTGCTCTGCCTCGCATATAATATCGGTCGGCCGCTCGCCACCAGGTCAGCCTTTTTGCCCCCTCATCACTGCACACTGCACACTGTACATACTGCACGCCGTGCTCTGCCTCGCAGAGAACGCGGTCGGACCACTCGCCACCAGGTCAGCCTCGCCCGCCCCCTCACACTGCACACTGCACACTGTACATACTGCACGCCGTGCTCTGCCTCGCAGAGAACGCGGTCGGACCGCTCGCCACCAGGTCAGCCTCACCCGCCCCCTCACACTGCACACTGCACACTGTACATACTGCACGCCGTGCTCTGCCTCGCAGAGAACGCGGTCGGACCACTCGCCACCAGGTCAGCCTCACCCGCCCCCTCACACTGCACACTGCACACTGTACATACTGCACGCCGTGCTCTGCCTCGCAGAGAACGCGGTCGGACCACTCGCCACCAGGTCAGCCTCACCCGCCCCCTCACACTGCACACTGCACACTGTACATACTGCACGCCGTGCTCTGCCTCGCAGAGAACGCGGTCGGACCACTCGCCACCAGGTCAGCCTCACCCGCCCCCTCACACTGCACACTGCACACTGTACATACTGCACGCCGTGCTCTGCCTCGCAGAGAACGCGGTCGGACCACTCGCCACCAGGTCAGCCTCACCCGCCCCCTCACACTGCACACTGCACACTGTACATACTGCACGCCGTGCTCTGCCTCGCAGAGAACGCGGTCGGACCACTCGCCACCAGGTCAGCCTCACCCGCCCCCTCACACTGCACACTGCACACTGTACATACTGCACGCCGTGCTCTGCCTCGCAGAGAACGCGGTCGGACCACTCGCCACCAGGTCAGCCTCACCCGCCCCCTCACACTGCACACTGCACACTGTACATACTGCACGCCGTGCTCTGCCTCGCAGAGAACGCGGTCGGACCGCTCGCCACCAGGTCAGCCTCACCCGCCCCCTCACACTGCACACTGCACACTGTACATACTGCACGCCGTGCTCTGCCTCGCAGAGAACGCGGTCGGACCACTCGCCACCAGGTCAGCCTCACCCGCCCCCTCACACTGCACACTGCACACTGTACATACTGCACGCCGTGCTCTGCCTCGCAGAGAACGCGGTCGGACCACTCGCCACCAGGTCAGCCTCACCCGCCCCCTCACACTGCACACTGCACACTGTACATACTGCACGCCGTGCTCTGCCTCGCAGAGAACGCGGTCGGACCACTCGCCACCAGGTCAGCCTCACCCGCCCCCTCACACTGCACACTGCACACTGTACATACTGCACGCCGTGCTCTGCCTCGCAGAGAACGCGGTCGGACCACTCGCCACCAGGTCAGCCTCACCCGCCCCCTCACACTGCACACTGCACACTGTACATACTGCACGCCGTGCTCTGCCTCGCAGAGAACGCGGTCGGGCCACTCGCCACCAGGTCAGCCTCACCCGCCCCCTCACACTGCACACTGCACACTGTACATACTGCACGCCGTGCTCTGCCTCGCAGAGAACGCGGTCGGACCACTCGCCACCAGGTCAGCCTCACCCGCCCCCTCACACTGCACACTGCACACTGTACATACTGCACGCCGTGCTCTGCCTCGCAGAGAACGCGGTCGGACCACTCGCCACCAGGTCAGCCTCACCCGCCCCCTCACACTGCACACTGCACACTGTACATACTGCACGCCGTGCTCTGCCTCGCAGAGAACGCGGTCGGACCACTCGCCACCAGGTCAGCCTCACCCGCCCCCTCACACTGCACACTGCACACTGTACATACTGCACGCCGTGCTCTGCCTCGCAGAGAACGCGGTCGGACCACTCGCCACCAGGTCAGCCTCACCCGCCCCCTCACACTGCACACTGCACACTGTACATACTGCACGCCGTGCTCTGCCTCGCAGAGAACGCGGTCGGACCACTCGCCACCAGGTCAGCCTCACCCGCCCCCTCACACTGCACACTGCACACTGTACATACTGCACGCCGTGCTCTGCCTCGCAGAGAACGCGGTCGGACCACTCGCCACCAGGTCAGCCTCACCCGCCCCCTCACACTGCACACTGCACACTGTACATACTGCACGCCGTGCTCTGCCTCGCAGAGAACGCGGTCGGACCGCTCGCCACCAGGTCAGCCTCACCCGCCCCCACACGGCTCACTGCACACTGCACACTGTACATACTGCACGCCGTGCTCTGCCTCGCAGAGAACGCGGTCGGACCACTCGCCACCAGGTCAGCCTCACCCGCCCCCTCACACTGCACACTGCACACTGTACATACTGCACGCCGTGCTCTGCCTCGCAGAGAACGCGGTCGGACCGCTCGCCACCAGGTCAGCCTCACCCGCCCCCTCACACTGCACACTGCACACTGTACATACTGCACGCCGTGCTCTGCCTCGCAGAGAACGCGGTCGGGCCACTCGCCACCAGGTCAGCCTCACCCGCCCCCTCACACTGCACACTGCACACTGCACACTGCACACTGCACACTGTACATACTGCACGCCGTGCTCTGCCTCGCAGAGAACGCGGTCGGGCCGCTCGCCACCAGGTCAGCCTCACCCGCCCCCTCACACTGCACACTGCACACTGCACACTGTACATGCTGCACGCCGTGCTCTGCCTCGCAGAGAACGCGGTCGGGCCGCTCGCCACCAGGTCAGCCTCACCCGCCCCCTCACACTGCACACTGCACACTGTACATGCTGCACGCCGTGCTCTGCCTCGCAGAGAACGCGGTCGGGCCGCTCGCCACCAGGTCAGCCTCGCCCGCCCCCTCACACTGCACACTGCACACTGTACATACTGCACGCCGTGCTCTGCCTCGCAGAGAACGCGGTCGGACCACTCGCCACCAGGTCAGCCTCGCCCGCCCCCTCACACTGCACACAGCACATTATAACTTGCGAATGGTACTTTGTTTCACTGCATATAAAAAAATATAATGCTGATAAAATAAAGTCCAAAAATGACAAAAATCTAAAATTTCCCATACCAACTTGACAGCTTGCTGTAATCAAATTTTTATGTAGTTTTATAATTTCATTTTCAGGTAAACTTTTCAGTTACGTTATTAAAACTCTTTTTTTTTTTTAATTGATTTGTACAAAAAATATATATATATATATATAATAATCCCAATATCCTCCAAACAATTTACGAAAAAAAAAATGAAATTTCAATATAAAACATTTTAATTTCAACAGTATTATTTAAATATGATTTAAATTTCACTAAAATCATAATATAAGTGAATTATAATTACTATGAGTAATAGTTAGCAAATATTTCGAACATATTGGAAATATGATACATATGATATGATGATAGTAAACATATTGAACATATGGCGTGAATTTACAGGGTACAGAGGAATAACACCTGAGTCCTCAGGAATGGCAACGCATGGGGGGTATCATGGGCGAAACGGTATATTCTGTTATGTCCATGGTACTGCTCATGTCTATAGGCGACGGTTACCACTTTCCATCAGGTGGGCCGTCAGCTTGTTTGCCATTCTAAGTTCTATAAAAAAAAAAAATATATATATAAAATTTAGTATTTTATAAGTACAATAAATAATAATAATAATAATTTTTATTTCGGACTTTTTTTGTTGCATTAAATATTTATTAGTAACAATATTCTTAAAACTAATGTTAGTAAATTTACATACACAATACACATACACACACATACAATATATTATTATATCACCAGAGGGAGACTTTGTACAAAAGTCGATTTTTTTGTCCTATTCGTGTTTCAACCGTGAAGCAGCTGTGTTTGCATTTATTATGGCGTGAATTTACTGGGTACAGAGGAATAACAATATTCCTCAGGAATGGCAAATGGGGGGTATCATGGGCGAAACAGTATATTCTGTTATGTCCATGGTACTGCTCATGTCTATACACAATACACTTTCCACACACACATGCCATTCTAAGTTGTATATATTAAATAATATGCAGATAATCACCGCTGCACAATTCCATTGGAAATTGCGCAGCAGTGATTAACGTACACACAGTGCAGCCTGCTTGCTATCATATATAAATAAATATATGTCTCCCGTTATCCTCAGACCGGACGACATTCACCAGCTGTACTCCGGGCGCACCGTCGAGATTAATAACACAGACGCTGAAGGTACAGTATTTATTATTACATTACACTACATAACAGTTTTTACCCACGACTGCGTCCGCATGACTGAGGTATGTTTATTTTTTATTTTATTACTAGCGGCCCGTCCCGCCGTCGCACGTGTAGACATTTTTAACATTTCCCTTCACTGCTCTGTTCCTATTGATGGTAGTGTGATGAAAAGTATACTATAACCTGCCCAGGAGTATGTAGAATAATTTTACCAAGTTTCATTAAAATCCGTCGATTAGTTTTTGTTTCTATAACGAACAAACAGACAGACAGACAGAAATTTTACTGATTACATTTTTAGCATCAGTATCGATCACTAATCACCGCCTGATAGTTATTTTGTAAATATATTTCATGTACAGAATTGACCTCTCTACAGATTTATTATAAGTATAGATTACATCTGAAATCAACAGCTTATATCTAGAATTATTAAAAAATATTATATTTACACCGTACATTAGCAAATTACAGATTCCCAATTTGTATACCAGACAATATTATGATTATTTTTGGAGGGTAGGTTAAAAATATATAGGTAAATTATATAATCCATCGAGACGTTTTTTTGTTTTATCCGATCGAATTTTTAAAAAAGTTCACGATTTTGACTTTAAATGATCATAATCTTTAACAAAGTGCAAAAAAAATGTTTTTTCAGTTTTTTATGCATTTTTATTGACAAAAATGTTTAAATTAATGGAAAAAAAAATATGTAGGTACTGCTCAGTAAACAGTATACTGCTCATGTCTATAGGCGACGGTTACCATTTCCCATCAGGCGGGTCGTCAGCTTGTTTGCCATTCTAAGTTGCATAAAAAAACATAGAATATACATAAATGATGATTCGCATGAACAAAGCTGCGAAAAACTATTACATTCATTTATATTTGAATCTACAGTACCATACTTTGATATGATCACTTTAAAATGATGATGAACAGTAGTGGATGGTATACAGGTCGGCTGGTGTTAAGCGACGGCGTGGTGTACGCGTCGCGCGACCTCCGCGCGGACGTCATCGTCGACGTCGCCACGCTCACCGGCGCTCAGGTAACTGGCTTTCATTCAAACTGATCACTATCTTAAAGACAGAAATAATGAGGCGTCTGTTACTTAGTATTTTTAGAATTTAAGAGCAAATGGGTACTTTTTTTGATGGGTGAAAATGATATGGTAACCTCGCCTGCGCTAACGGGATACGCTGGCGGAGCACCAGTGAAGGGTGATCGATGAGAATGAAAACAGACCAGTTAGCCCATCATGATGAATTCATCTGGAATTAACCGTGATAGTTTCCAGGGGGAACCGCGACGAGGTCGACCTGGTTGGGTATATTGCTAGCAATGGGATTCTTAGTCTCCATTACTAACAATCCCTTTCCCCCAGGTGAAGGGTATTGCTAAAATGTGATGGAACTCTTTTATAAATTTGTTCAATATCTAAATAACTGTAAAATCCGTAATAGGATCTTTTGCGTAATTTAGAAGTAAGCAAAGCAACCGTTTCCCTTGTGGTCCCGGCATAGAATAGGCCACCCCTTGCTTTCCTGTGAGTGTCGTAAGAGATAATTAAAGGAATTTAATGCTCCATGGATAGATACAGCAGCGTCCCTCTTAAAACATCTCCAAGGCTTAAACTTCGGTTGTCAATTCGCTTGCCAAGCGTGGCAATTACTAGCAAAACTCCCATTATGGCCTATATTCAGCAGTGGACAGTTAACAGCTGATATGTTGATGATTTGTACAATCCTTTATGTATCACGATGACTTCCACGACTCTAAAACGTTGTCATTTTTATAGTCATTTTAATGTCACTAAATGGCCGGATAATGACGATGTACATATACAGTATTGGAATCCTTAGTACTCTTTTAAAAGAGTATCCATCACTAAACTTGAACATTTTTTTTAATCACAGAAATACTAAAAAAATTTTTTTTAATACTAAAAAAATATGGTAGCTTCTGCAATTGTAATTTAGTAGAATTATTGTCTTCAAAGAATTTTTATTATTTTGCACTGATTTTATATTAAATTAACTACATTTAAATACAAAATAAGTACTTTATATTATTCTCAATTTCGTATATAATATGTCATATATATTATTAGTATATGTATATATATTTGTTTATATGATGTGACGTGATTGTACGTGTCAGGGCACGGCGACGGGCAAGTACCACGCGGCGCTGGTGTGCAACCGCGGGCGGCTGGAGGCGCGCGCGGCGGCGGCCGGGCGCCGCGCCGGCGACCTGGCGCACGCGCTGCCCTTCGCGCCCGACCTGCACTTCGCAGAGTTCAGCAGCGCCGTCGCCGACATGAGGAACAGCGTCGCGGTACGTGCGCACTACTCGCACACACACTGCACACTACACGCTACACACTACACGCTACACGCTGTACACTACACGCTACACGCTGTACACTACACACTGTACACTACACGCTATACACTACACACTACGCGCTACACGCTGTACACTACACATACACATTACTCATTATGCAGTATACATTACGCATTACTCACTATACACTACACGCTCGTATCATTAGTTCTCCATATGGATATTTTTTTCTAAAACTTATAATGACAAACAAGCTGACAGCCTGCCTGGTACAACGTGGTAACTGTCACCTACAGACGTGAACAGCACCGTGAATATTACATAATACACTATGTTGTTCACAGTACTCTTCCTGCATTGCCATTCCTTAGGACTATGGGCGTTATATCTCTTATCACTGTCATATCTCACTATTCAAATAAAAAAGACCTTTCCATGGCTGTGTTGCACAACTGCTTCACGGTAAGAATATAAGTGACACAGAAGTAATCAAGCAAATGGCTTCCATCTAGTCTTAGATTATATAGATAGTGTCTCCATACAAATGCTTCGAAAAAAATGGGTTAACTTATATATAATTTTGCGTGATTCCTTTATAATTTCTATATTTATTTTGTCTTATAAATTCTGCGCCTTTTTAATGCGCGAAAACTAACTTTATTTATTAATAATTAAATATAGATACGTCTAGATAAATTATGTGCGTATGTGATATAGAACATTAATAAAAAAAACGAGTCGGCAAATTTGACAATTAGCTGACAAAAAGTTGACCGGTTTTTGAGGCTCGATGCTCTATCTATATAATCTAAGCATCTGGTATAATAATAATAAACCACAATAATAAATTTATTGTTAGTATTAAATATATTGGTTTTGACCGCCAGGACCGCAACAATGCGCAGCCGTCGTGTGCTGGACTGTTCATCCTGGCGCACCTCGGGTTCGACTTCCCGGGCGACTGGCTGCACGTCGACATGGCCGCGCCCGCACATTCGGTATGATCATCTCTACTTTTGAAACCATTTTTTCTATGTATAATATACTAGCGACCCGCCCCGGATTCGCACGAGTGCAATGCTTAAATAGCGCCGCCGGCTCTCCGGCCGGTACCACCGCAACCGCTATGTCCCCGCATTTTAAATCTGTAATATCTTCGAAAATATTCATTTAAATTACATGCTGTAAAGGGCCATATTGATATATATTAAATGGGCAATGTATTTAAGGTACTTTATTGCATAAATAATGCTATATTGTTTAAAATCGCTTCACAAATAATAAAAATATTTGAAGTCCACAGACTATTTAAATTTTTTTTTTCTTTTGTTTTCGGATGATGACCTAATTAAGAACTGCGCACGCTAAAATATTTCACTGTTTAGACATGAAAACTAGACACTTTCTTTCTACAAGTATTTTTTTTTTTAGATTTTCTATATGACCATTTCTCTCTGAGTTATTTCTTATTGAAAATCACCCAAAAATTTGATAGTCTTTTTTTAACATCCTTTTATTTTTGTGACAGTGTATATTATTTATTTTATTTTATTTACACTTTATTGCGCCATTTATAAAAATCGTGAATACATTTAATTGTAATGAGAAATTATACAAAAGGCGGCCTTATCGCTAAACAATCCCCTCCAGACAACCTCTGGGTAGAGGACATTGAGAAAAAAAATTATAGTGTACATAATTTATTATGAATGGTTACAGGGTGAACGCGCGACCGGATACGGCGTGGCGCTACTGAGCGTGCTGTTCGGCGAATACACGAACAGCAAGCTGCTGCGGGCGCTGTGCCCCCCCTCCTCGCCCTCCTCGCCCCCCACACCCGCCGCAGCCGCCGCAGCCGCCGCAGCCGCCGCGCCGGCACCCTCGCCCGACTCCTGAGTCACCAGCACCACGCCGCTGCGATAGCCTGACTACGCAAGGAAACTATTCCAGCTAGTCGACGACAGTGTGGTTGGTGTAGCAGGATTGGCTGATCGCGTTACCATCTCCTCCCTTGCTGTTACCAAGCAAGCGATCAATGGTTCAAATCTCATAATGTTAACCACAATAATACCATAGCAAATAATTTTTATCAAATACAAGATACGACAACATAACCTTCAAGAAAAGAGTATATTCCTTTTTAAAAGGCCGGCAGAACACCTGCAATGCCGTTGGTGTTGTGTGTGATCATGGGTGCGGTAATAATTGTTCGCAGTACAGGACAACCCCCCACTAGATGGAGTGACGACCTGAAATGCATTGCAGGGATGGCAGTGGATGCAGGTGGCTCAGGACCGTTCTATATGGCAGTCTCCATAGAATCCCCCATGGGAGGCTTATGTCCAGCAGTGGACGGATAATGGCTGAAATGAAATGAATGAATTAATATAATTATTATAGTATCAAAGTAAATAAAAACTTTAGATATAAATTAGATTAAACAACTTCTCAAGTTCAATGTTTAAATGGTTTGTTTTTATGAGAATTGAGCCCATGAATGCGCGGTGTATCAGGCCATGGAGGCGGGAATTTATATGATATTGCATGTAAGAAAAATATTTCAAATAAACATTTAGTACCTACATTAAAATTATTTAAAAATAATAAGCGAATTTTTTTATTTGCATTTAAATATATGTAACAACTGCATTGTTTTTTTTTTTATATTAATTTTTGTCTGGAAATAAAGCTCAAACGAGCCCAGTTAACTTTGATTAAATATCTTTTTTTTTTATAATTACTCCTCTCCATCCAAAGGTTGCCTGGAAGAGATCACTCTTAGCGATAAGGCCGCCCATTGTTTTCTCATTGTGATTATTTCTTGTAATTATTTATATCTATGATAAGTTTACTATTGTAATCTTTTGGAGGAAACAATAAAGAGTATCTATCTATCTATCTATTTTGGAAATATAACTGTATTTTCACTCATGTTAATATTTGAAATTTCGCTGATTATTTTTAAAATATACAATTATATAGTATTAAGTAATAATAACTTGCTAGTTTAGTAGTTATTGAACAAAATACAGACACACAAAGCAATAATGTACAATAAACTGTTGAATTTTAGACTCTAGTCTTGCCGAATAGTTGTTGGGAATTGATTATTAATCGATGATTCGATTGTGGCTACTAATAATCGATTTTGTTATTTATAATCGGATATAATCGATGGCATCATTAGTAAGTACTAGGGCTGCCGTCGCCTAAATTGTCGACACCGGATAAACACGGCAAAAATCCCGGACGAATTGTGGGCGAAATATGGTTTTTCCCCGGACATTTCCGAAAAATATTTAAAAAACAATTTCTTCAATCGACAACTATTTCGCCGAGCCTATACTAGTACCTATAAAAAAAATTAATTTCCCCTGACAACAAAAGTGTCAGACTTTTGTTTTCAAAAACCCCCGCCGGACGGACCGCGGACGCCAGAGGTCTTCGAACTAGGAAGCAAGGAATTCTGGACTGGTAGCAGCCCTAGTAAGTACTATAGATCAAAGTCCAGTAGACTCGATTATAATGCGTAAATCTTTGCATTGATACTAAATCTATGTTTAGATTATTCTGAGCGAGCACTGTCGTAATAATTAATCGATTAATTAGTAATACTACCTAGTATATACTAAGGGTGAGTTATATCTAGCAATATCTATATATTACAATATACATATATTGGTCCAATAACCGATACATATATTAGGTATTGATTATCCAATATATAATATCGAAAAGAAGATATGATAGATACGTTTTCGCCACCGCACGCATAAGAAACAAAACGCTGGACGTCGCTGTCTCATTCTATCGCATGGTTATAATAGCGATAACGTATCTACCGATAGATTTGTTTGTCGCTTCCCTAGAGGAGCTGATTGTGTGGTTTTATTGTATTTTGAGATAATATTTTTTTTTTTTTATTTAAACCTAATATATTAATATGTGCAACTATTTGTTATTTTAAATAATTAATTAATTTTCATTGACTTTCTGGAAAAACAATTAAAATTGAGGCATACATTATATATGTTATTATTTTCTTTCTTCAATAAGAGTAAAATAAAAATTGGTTTACAGAGAAATTATTAAATTCGACCCTTATGTATTACACACTCCGGACGCTTCATACGAAAACGCTGCGGTCCATCACTGATATCACTAATATGTACATATTACACACAGTCACAGCCGCTCATGACTAAGGAACACGAATTGATCCCGAAACTAGTCGAGCTTTCTCGATCTAATTACACGTCAGTTATTGTAATAAAATATAATGTGTGCTTACGAAACAACAATAAAATCTGTAAATGTGACGATGTGTGTGTAGTGAGGAATAGCGCGGGAAAAACGCACGCTTCAATGTATAGTGAAAATAAAAAAAAAAAACAAATGTACTTGACAACCTAACTGGAGATGTAATTGACACTTTGGCTCTTAGGTTTCCTTTTTTATTTACTGCAATAAATTGTATGTGTGTGTTAAATAGTATGATATAATTTAGAACTTTTTTCTATACAACTTAAAATGGCTAACAAGCTGACGGCCCACCTGATGGAAAGTGGTACCGTCGCCTATAGACATGAGCAGTACCATGGACATAACAGAGTATACTTTTTCACCCATGATACCCCCCCATGCGTTGCCAATGTAAATTATGTATTAATTATGAATTATATAAATTTCTCATTAATAATTTGCACGCCGACATACTTGTAGAGGCAGAATGTTTATGGGAAATGTAAACAACTTCTCTTCCATCTGAAACCACCTGCATTCTAGCAAAATAAATTCATTTCATATCAATGTGGATTGAGCTGTAACGTTGTCCTCTTCATACCACGTAAATAATATATCCCCCATCCTTCTCTGACATCAGCAACCATTGAGGCATAGACTGGAGAAAATAGAATGTGGTAACTGACTCGTGTTTGGGAGGGGGTGAGGTTAGATCGCAGCGGGCGGCAGGGAGTGTCCATACTGTGGTATTACTTTTTTAACGTTTTTATTTTACATTATTTTCAATTGTCTTTTTACTATGTATCTAAAGAATTTAAGTGCTCGCATTATCAAAATATGTATTTGTACTAATTGTATACAAATAGATCGGTATAAATAATTTAGATATAAGTTAAAAGTGTGTTCGACAGAGCCAAATCAATACGCCATATTGATATTTCTTATAATTTCATGTTCATTAACAAACAATGTTTTGTAATAAATGCATTTTTACGTTAACATTTTTTGGTAAATAAATTTATATTTTAGATAAGCCTGGTTTTATTGCTATTTGCAATTCGAAAAGGTTCGTGAGTGGCGACACAGTATAGGCAAACGTAGTATAGGTGACACCGATCTGCTTCCATCTTCACCTATCCATGACTCACTGGTTCTCCCGCCAGCGTATATCCGACAGCACAGGCGGGGATACCATTCTATTATCACTCATAAAAAAAAGTTTTTTAAATCTCTACGATTCATTAATCAAAGGCACATTTTTTGTTGAAATTTGTTTAAATTTCTAAAGTGAATTTCATTAATACTAATAGATGCAATGATACTCTGACACTCTAGAGGTAGTAAAATGAAATAAAAATACTTGGAGTATGTTGGTTAATTGTATTTCAGTTGTTTTACCAATAATAATGCTGAGTAATAACACTATTCAATGTATAAAAGCCCATAAAATCCAAAATTTTGTATACATTGTAAAATTTCGACATGGTCATAAAATACATGTTGACGAAAAATAAATGCACTTATCCGCGCCTTCTACATGGCAACATTTGCTAAAATTTTTGGCAAAAATCTTATATTACGATACCAAAGTAATTGCACAATATGCTGCTAAATAAATTATTATGAGTTCTCTTACAATTATAATTATATCCAAAAAATACTTCCCGATATCGAATTTTAAAAAAATAAATATATTTTTATTATGACAAAAATAAAGACTAAGTTTGTTGTGAAATGACTAATTACATGTTTAAAATAAATTCAATATTAAGTCTACCATAAAAAATCAATTTTGAGGCCCGATGATGGCCATAATTCGATCAAAATTATCTTACCATAGTGTTTTGATTTTTTTTTTTTATTGAAGAAACGTATGTCTGCGGTAAGATAAACTTTTACATATAATTTATTGTGCAATTCATAAATCCCTGATACCCGTCCCATAGTTCGCTCCACCTGCCCTATTAAGGGCATCTTTGAATTGATCAATATCTATTTCAGCTTGGCTCTCCAGTTGTAATTCCACCGCAAAATTCTGTAACAAATAATATTAAGTCAATAAACTATAAATTAAAATAACATTTTGTGCCATTGAGTTGACAAAACATATGAATCGTCTGATGGAAAATAGTTGCCAACATATTGCGTATGTATCACAAACTTTGTAGTAAGTTACATTTTTATTAAAAATTTTAAACATTTTAATATTAATTTTTTTAATCAAATGTAATTATAATTCATAACTACTAATTAATAATTATTGTTCACTATTCGCTGTAACAAGACCGCGCTTTAAATGCGAAAGAACCGAAACGTCAAGTGTCAAATAGTCGGCCGGCTGTCAAATAAATGTCAAATTGTCTCAATAGTGGCGGGTTTTAGATGCGCTTCTTCAGATTTTTATTTTCTAAATAAAATGGAAGAATTATACAAGAAAGTGCCTTGTAGAGAAAGCCAGTTAAATGACTTATTAAATTTACTGGGCGATTACGATGAACCGTTACCGTATTCTTTGTTTCTAAGTGGCAGCATGGCCACGGGAAAAAGTTTGTGTATAGAGTCTGTTTTGAAATACTTGGGGTATAAACATGTTATTGTGGATTGTATAGAGTGCTATTCACCGAAACTTATGTACGAATCCATTCTGACTGAACTTGGAAGTGACCTTGAGATCAAGTCTGATACGATGTTAGACTTAACTAATGCATTAAATCGAATAGGTAATAGTGCTGTTCGGTACGAACCTATGGTGGTAGTGTTCGATAGAGCCGAGAGGCTCCGAACTATGGACCAAAGCGTGATGTGCGCTTTTCTGAGACTCCGAGAATTGTGTAATTTGAATATTTGTACAATTTTTATCACCCACCTTGTTTACGACAATTTTTATTTCAAAATGGGCGTTCGAGAACCTATAAAGATTTTCTTTCCCAATTACAACAAGGATGAACTATTTAAAATTATATTTTTACATCACAAATCATTTGTTCGACATGTGCAGAGCAATCATGATATAGATATTGAGATAAAAGAAGAACTTGAGAAACCAGAGTTATTTGCCAACTTTCTTAATGCATTTCTCAGCGTGTTCTATCGACCGTGTCGTGATTTAATTGAATTACAGAATATGGCGCGCGTAAACTTCGTGAAATACTGCGAGCCAATCATTAAGTGTGAAATACAAGCACAGGACTTGTCTAAACTATGGCGACACATATCACCTATATTGAAAACTAGTTTGGAGTTATTGTATTTACGTATAAGTGCCTCAAAGTCGAGCAACCCTTCACCTGGCAAGGAGAATGCTGAACATGAATCCCAGTGCTATAATTTTGAGCATACACTGAAAGATGAGCTTACATCGACAAAAACTTTTGCACAGAGCTTCGAATTGCCATATTATGCAAAATTTCTATTAATAGCCGCATATCTGGCAAGCTACAACCCACCAAAGGAAGATAAGAGGTTATTTATGAAGAACCATGGCAAGCAAAGGAAACGATTGCAACAGGTCAAAGCTAAAGCCAAAATAAGTGAGAAACTGAACACTCAACTGGGCCCCAAGGTGTTCACATTAGATCGCTTGCTAGCTATATTCTATGCAATCTTAGAGGAGAAGATTGGGCTGACGAGTAATTTGTTAGCACAGATCGCTACTTTAGTAGAACTCAAATTGATAGCTGGCAGCAAAGAAATAGACTTGGACGTTTCAAAATACAAATGTATAGTTGGCTATGACTTCATATCAGCAGTTGCCCAAACAGTTGGTTTCAATGTTAGGAAATATTTGTATGATTTTATATAACATTTATAAAATTGTTTTTTTTAATAATTTAAGAATTAATGTATACTTTATTTATTGTATTTTGAATTTTAGTAAAAACAATTAAACTCATAAGATAGTTTTTTTAAATTGTCATTTGACATCTGCCTGTACTCTTGTTCTACGCTAGAGTAGTATCAATGAGAGATGAGGCAGGCAGGTCTAGCAAAACCACAAACATCTTTAAACTACAAATCTGTAACAGTCGCTAGGAATTAACCACAATAAATTCCATTCCATGTAAAAGTCATCCTGAGGGGCTATATTGACAACAAGGGGGATATTTTTTTTTGTTGGATAAAAATGGAGTGATAACCCCGCCTGCGCTAATGGGATACGCTGGCGTACCAGTGAAGGGTGATCGATGAGGATGAAAACAGATCAGTTAGCCCATCATGATGAGTTCATCGGGAATTAACCATGATAGTTTCCAGAGCGAACAGCGAGGAGGTCGACCTGGTTGGGTATATTGCTAGCAATGGGATTCTTAGTCTCCGTTACTAACAATCCCTTTTCCCCCAACAAGGGGGCCATTAGTCTCATTATGAACTCCTCTTCACCTAGATCTTGAAGAGAAGACTAAAGTTTCTTTAAGTTTGCACTTCTTTACAGCTTAGGGTTGTCATGTAATAAACTGACTGAAGATTTCACCCCAAAATATATGCATTTCTGTCAAGAAAATCTTCACTGCAATTTAGTGCATGGCAGAGTTCTTACGAATATTTTAAATATGAAAGTCAGTTTATTTGTTACCACTTAGCGCCGTTAATGGAAGGGTTATGGGATTGTTAGTATTGACGTTTAAAGTGCCCATTGCTAGCAATATACCCTACCAGGTCGAGTTTCTTGCGCTTCCCTTTGGAAACCATAGCGGGATTCGTAACGATGGGCTAACTGACTTACGGTCAGATTATACCAATAACGCCTGGCGTCGTCACCATTTCATTTTCACCCATTAAAAAAATCGCCTTTAATGGCTTAACCCACATAGTAAGGGGGGAAAGGGATTGTTAGCAATGGGCTCTAATTGACTCATTGCTAGCAATACACCCTATCAGGTCGACCTACACGCGGTTCCACCTGGAAACCGTCGTAGGTAAATCTAGTGGAATTCATCACGATTGGTTAACTGACCTGCCTTTTCATCCTCACCTATCATGGACTCACTGGTGCCCCGCCAGCGTATCCCGATAGCGCAGGCAGGGTTACCATTCCATTATCACCCAATTGAAAAAAAAAAAAACCCACATAGTAAGGTGACGTCTGCGACTCAAATAAGACGTTAGTTTTAAATCATTTTAGGATCGATACATATTTCAAATATTTGATTTACATACAAATACATATATATTTGATACATATGTATTACACTATATATATGGGACGGACATATTTATGCCGGTCGCACAAAGTCACGGATAAAAACTAGTGGTAATGTAAATGCAGCTTAATCAAACGAAGTAGGCTAATTACAAATAAGTGAGACAGTAAAAAAAAAATACAATTGAATTACAAGATCCTTCTATATTTCATATGAACAATTGATACCGTCCTACCCATGTCGTACACGACCCAGTGTCTTGAACTCCGTGAATGATCGCTTATAAGCTAACAAAGAATGGAGCATTACATTTATGCACGGCCGTATCTAGGGCAGTAGGGGGACCTTAAAAGGCCCAATGCCCTACCTTAAATGAAAAGTCCCAAAAAAAATTTTTTTAATGGATGATAATGGAATAAATATGGAATGGAATGGTATACCCTGGCGGGGCACCAGTGAGGGATGATAGGTGAGGATGAAGCAGGTCAGTTGGCCCACAGTGACGAATCTAACAATAAATCTTTTAGAGAAAAATCAATAAAAAAAAACGAAATAAATAAAATTTACTAATAGATCTTTGTAACTTTTACTTCAATATAATACTTTACTACTGAGGGGGAAAGGGATTGTTAGTAATGGAGACTGAGAATCCCATTGCTAGCAATATACCCAACCAGGTCGACCTCCGTGCGGTTCTCCCTAGAAACTATCATGGTTAATTCCTGATGAATTCATCATGATGGGCTAACTGGCCTGGTTTTCATTCTCATCGATCACCCTTCACTGGTGCCCCGTCAGCGTGTCCCGTTAACGCAGACGGGGTTTCCATACCATTTTCACCCATCAAAAAAAAAAACTTTACTACTTACTTTAAAATCAAATAAAGTACTTTTTTTATTTTGTAGTATTTTCTATACCTTCTGTAGTTTTGTACGTAAACGCCTACATTAAGAGATATTGGCAATTAACGGTCGAAATTCAATAAAGGTATTTTTTATTTTAATTTTTTTTATACTACTATAGTGGCAAACAAGCATACGGCCCGTCTGATGGTAAACGGAGTTACTTGCTATGGACGCCTATATTACCAGGAATTACACGCGCGCGTTGCCGACCCTTAAGAAACTTTAATGCGCCCTTTTTGAAGAACTCCATGCTGTAGACTCTAGAGAAAGCCTCAGCAGGAAGATGATGCCGCAACCTGAGTGTTCGTGAAAGGAAGTTCTGTTGAAACGGCACTGTGGGTGTCCATTTTGGTTCTAAGATGTAAGGACGGATTGTCTGCTGATGGCGAGCGGTACAATAGTGTAAGGCGTGAATTTACAGGGTACAGAGGAAGAACACCTGAGTCCTCAGGAATGGCAACGCATGGGGGGTATCATGGGCGAAACAGTATACTCTGTTATGTCCATGGTACTGCTCATGTCTATAGGCGACGGTTATCACTTTCCATCAGGTGGGCCGTCAGCTTGTTTGCCATTCTAAGTTGTATAAAAAAAAAACGGTAACTTTTTTATGCTTATTATATTTTTTAGGCAAACAACCTGACGGCCCACCTGATGGAAAGTGGTAACCGTGTAATGCAAAGTTGATCATGATTATTAAACGATTCATTCAGACGTCACTTACGGATATAATGTCCTTAATGATGGCCTTGTCTGTGGACATCTTGGCGCGGTTGATCACCGACACGTTGGGCCCCACCCACGTCACGAACATAAACTTCTTGCGTTTTGACATCTCGTCGCCCATTTGTAACCTGCCAACCATCAAACACTTGAAACGCGTGTCGCAACATGTGCGCGGACTGTATAACGGTCGGAGATTGATGATAAACATGAAAGAATAAAGAACTTCTGCTAATAATAGTAGTTGTCAATGCTCAAATGTTGGGGGGAAAGGGATTGTTAGGAATGGAGATTGACACCCCTATTGTTAGCAATATACCCTATTAGGTCGACCTCCACGTGGTTCCCCCTGGAAACCGTCGTAAACAATTCTTATTGAATTCATCACCATGGGCTAACTGACCTGCTTCATCCTCACCTATCATCCTTCACCACGGGTGGGGCAACCATGCCATTATCACCCATTAAAAAAAAAATGCTCAAATGTTAGCAGTCGCACGCATATTAACGGTAGCGGAATTAAACAAAATAATTCTAAACTCATAACTAGTGAATTACAATAAAATACCAACGATCATTTACATCATTAATTTTTTTATGTAATTTAGAATGACAAACAAGCTGACGGCCCACCTGATGGATAGTGGTAACTGTCGTATATAGACATGAACAGTACCATGGACATTTTACCGTACTAGGCGTTATTTATACAAAAGTCCATATCATTAGTTAGTTAACTAAGATTATTTTGTTTAATTTCACTATGAAGGAGCGGAATTAAACAAAACAATACCATATACAATATGGTAGCGGAATTAAACAAAATAATTCTTATTAGCTACCTAGTACCGTGGACATTTAGAATATTCTGTGACATCCTTGATATCCCTCGTGTGTCACACTTGAGGACTATTATCATTGCAAATTTTGGAACTCTTCCAGAGTATAGAGTGTGGAATTACTGAAACTAGGACGAGCTAAATAGGTAACCAGTTATATTAATAATATCATAGTGATATCCTTCAGAGAATTTAACGTTTCGAAGATTTAATTACACATACAATTTTAGTTAATTACTTGTTGAACGCAGCGACTTCTCCCACTGATATTTATTTTATACAACTTAGAATGCCAAACAAGCTGACGGCCCACCTGATGGAAAGCAGTAAGTTAGTAACCGTTGCCTATAGACATGAGCAGTACCATGGGCATAACAGAGTCATGTCTCTATCCCATTCGTGTTTCTACCATGAATCAATTGTGTCTGCATGATTATGTTTCGGTTTGAAGGGTGGGATATGGCAGTGAATTTACAGGGTACTGAGGAATAACACCCGAGTCCTCAGGAATGGCACGCATGGGGGTATCATGGACGAAACAGTATACTCTGTTATGTCCATGGTACTGCTCATTTCTGTAGGCGACGGTTACCACTTTCCATCAGGTGGGCCGTCAGCTTATTTGACATTCTAAATTGCCCAAAAAAAAGCACGACACAATTCTGGAATGGGCAATAGACCATTCTGGGATGGGCACCAGACCATAGCCTACTATGGGCACGAACATCACCTTAGGTATCCGAAGGCGCGGTCGTCGTCTGAGAACTGTGTGCGGAACTCTGTGAAGTCACTGCCGCGCGCCGAGCACACGATCCGGGCTCCGTCGAATTTGAACACCGCCCTGTTGGAATATACATTTTTTTTATACAACTTAGAATGGCAAACAAGCTGACGGCCCACCTGATGGATGACTATAGTGACAGCATAGAATGGGCCATCTCTTCCTTTTCGGGGGGTAAGGGATTGTTAGTGATGGGGTCTTATGAACCCAGTGCTAGCAATACACCCTAGCAGGTCGACCTCCACGCGGTTCCCCCTGGAAACCATCGTGCTAAATTAAAGGTGAATGGACCACCCCTTCCTTTCCGGGAGGAAAAGGATTGTTAGTAATGGGGTCTTATGAACCCAGTGCTAGCAATACACCCTAGCAGGTCGACCTCCACGCGGTTCCCCCTGAAAATCATCGTGCTAAATTACAGGTGTATTCACACGATGGGGCAACTGACCTCTTTTCGTTCTCACCTATCATCTCTCACTGGTGCCCCGCAAGCGTCTACCGATAGCGCAGGCGGAATTACCATTCCATTATCATCCATAAAAAAAAAAACACTTGTAGATAGCGTATTTAAATGAAATATACCTCGGATTGTAAAATTAAATCTACAAGAACACAACCGTATGTACCACTTCAATAATTGTCGCGTAATGCCAGAACAAACATGCATCTGCCCATCCCTCGCCCTCCCTTAGTCGACTCTTACGACAGCCACGGGAAAGGAAGGGGTGGTCTATTCTACGCCGTGACCACACGGCCAACTAACTATACATGACAACAATAAGCAAACTAGAAGCTACCACATATAATTAACGAAAATTTAATTACTTACAGTCTAGATCAGTGATTCTCAACCTTTTTTTTTTGTTGCGGCACATATTTAACGATTTCAAAATTTGGCGGCACACAAAGGAAAAGATAAAAATTATTTACTTACTACATTTACACACTGCATAAATAGTTTATGACAAAAATTCTAAATATTTGCAAAATTTGGCGGCACACTTTTAAAATTTGGCGGCACACAAAAGTGCCGCGGCATAGTGGTTGTGAATCACTGGTATAGATAATTAATAAATTTAAAAACACAGGCTAAACGTCGTTAAAATCAATTAATGAGTAATTTGCAATAGTTTTTCTTATATAACTGCCGTTACTGTTAAATATATTTATTACAACAATTGCTATATTCGGTTGGTTGTTTAATACCAAAGCAATAATCAGGGCGTCTCACCATTCTGTGGGTGTGCCGTCGGATCGGACGTCCTCGTACGCGGATCGGATTGTGTCACGATCCAAGCCGGTCGTCATCGTTACCTGAAACAAATACAAAAGATTTGTTACTACACAAATAAAAAAAATACAGCCACATAAGTAAAAATTGTGCCCCACAAAAAAAAACTGACTTTAATATATATTCTTTATTGTTCCCTCCAAAAGATTACAAAAGTAAACTTATTATAAATACAAACAATTACAGTCTTGTATAATCACAATGAAAAAACAATGGGCGACCTTATCGCTAAAAGCGATCTCTTCCAGCCAACCTCTCAATTCGGATAAAACTATTTATTTCAATTTAAAAACTGAACTATTGAACCGATTTAAAAAAAAAACTATTGGACCTATCCGTAAGTATATCTTTTGGCAAAATACCCTAATATCAGGCTGAACACCACAAAAGAAAAAAAAAGTATATCCTTTCAGATAAAAAAAAACGAATTATCCAAATCGGTTTACAACTGACGGAGTTATGAGGTAACAAACATAAAAAAAACATACAATCGAACTGAGAACCTCGTTTTTTATGAAGTCGTTTGAAAATTTGTCTCAAATTTTTAAACGACTTTCAAATTGCAGCATAATCAAACGTCTGCGTAATCGCCTCTAGTGAAAACTAAATTATTTTATTGTGTCACCAATTACCACAGAGTAGGCAGAGTTGAATTTTATTTAGAGATTTACCGCATCGATTCTCACGTAATTATTTGTAAATAGTTATGTATACGACTACATCTACATCCGGCAAGCTATATTACCTATAAATTAACAATTAAAAACATTGCAATCGATTGATCATTAACGAAAATAACACTATTACGTAACACGATTGCTTTCTAATCGCTGGATGGATTAGATGCACTTGGATAAGCAGGATAATTAGTGTTCGATTAGTAATAATTATAACCGATATATAATACTAATTTTAGTTCCTAAATCGCTCTATGGAGGCAGCACTAGCGCTTAGTGTTATTCACTTGTTTATCCTTTTAAATATAAAACATGTTAAAGATTATCGAGCAATTAGACTTTCGTAAATTGATCCGTGGAAAAGCTTCCTTTCCCATGTTAAATACTCGTATGCGAGTGTTTTTTAGTGCAACTTAGAATGGCAAACAGGCTGACGGTCCACCTGATGGAAAGTGGTAACCATCGCCTATAGACATGAGCAGTACCATGGACATAACAGAGTATACTCTTTCATCCATCATAACCCCCATGCGTTGCCATTCCTGAGGACTCAGGTGTTATTTCTCTGTACCCAGTAAATTCACGCCATATCCCACCCTTCAAACCGAAACACAGCCATGCAAACACAACTGCTTCACGGTAGAAACACGAATGGGACATAGGTGCTCAAGCAAACGACTTTTGTACAAAGTCTCCCTCTGGTATAAATAAAAAAAAACATTTAAATTTGGAGCCTTCTTTTTGCAGTCTATTTAAAAAAGTTTCATCTTTTACACTGCACCATAAAACTTACATTTGATTAATGATGGTTTAATTAAAAAAAAAAAGAAAGTTACCGAGATGGTTGTAAAATACAATTTAACATCTCATATTAAGAGACCGCAGTAATTACCCTTCATTTCTGTTATAAATTCGAGATTGCTATATTCTGTTAATTACTTCAAACTTCTTTTTTACCAATTTTTTTAATGAATGGAAGCGGAATGATTTGTAATAGGTGATAACCCCACCTGCGGGGGAACGGGATTGTTAGTAATGGAGACTGAGAATCCCATTGCTAGCAATATACCCAACCAGGTCGACCTCCTCGCAGTCCCTGGAAACTATCATGGTTAATTCCTGACGAATTCATCATGATAGGCTAACTGGTCTGTTTTCATTCTCATCTATCACCCTTCACTGGTGCTCCGCAAGTGTATACCGTTAGCGCAGGCGGGGTTACCATACTATTTTCACCCATAAAAAAAAACCCTACCTGCGTTATCAGTAAACACTGGTGAGGCACCTGTAAAGGGTGATAGGTGAGAATAAAAGCTGATAAGTTAGCCCATCCTGACGAATCCAACAAGAATCAACCACGACAGTTTCCAAGGGAATAGCGTTGACGTCGACCTGTTGTATCGTGTGTATTGACCCCATTACTAACAATCCCTTTCCCCCAAGTGAAATGGCAATTCCGAGTACACTATCCGTATATGCTGACGGGGTAACAGTGAGTAAATTAAACACAATAATTCTCAAGCTAACATTAAGCTAATAATTAAGCATTACGTATTTGAGAAACGACCTTTTTCAGATACTGCCACCTTTCCATGATCTTTTATGATGGCCTTTTTTTTTAATTTCGATGCTAATTCCAATCAATGATAGTAGTTTTAAGACGTTTATGTATGAGTGGGCTACAGCCACAAACTGAGTGCTGCGATGTTTCTTCCTCATTGTGACAAAATCTGCAAACACTGGGCATAAAAGCCTAGTTGGACCATGTGCTTAAGTTTGCAGTGTTCAGTCCTTCTTAATACACACATATTATTTTTACTCGAAAAGAATTTATTTCTTAGAGTCTGAGCATTAGCTAACTTCCTAGCATTATGGTCATTAATCCACATTATTAACACCATGTCAACTGTACCTTGGATGAAGAGGAAAACCCCGAATGACAAGACTCCGCATCTTGCGGATCGCTTGGACACGAGTCATCCTCTTTACCTTCCTTCACTATAGCATACAGTTCGTCGATCCTGTTCTTCAACACTCTAATTTCAGTCTTCAACCTCCTCCTATCGGTTGCCACTTCCTCTAACGCCACAACTTTGTCGGAAAACTGCGCAATAGTCTTCCTCAATTCATCCACGTTACTGGTCAACACATCGAATTTACATAATATATTGTTTTGATTCTCTGTCAATTTATCTATATGGTCTTGTATGGCTTTGTATGTGCTTTCTATGCGCGTTTCACTGTTGGCATCCATTGTTTTTCTTCACTCATGTTACGGTTAAACTTTTGGTCCAGGAATTTATTGTTAGGGGTTTTGATGCCTTTGATGTTAACAAAGCTGTCACCGTTGACGCTAGTTGTTTACTTTTTTATATAATTTGTTTATGGCCAGTTGTAATGTTTATGAAACATTACATTCTAAGAAGGCCATATGGGACTGATCAAAGTGGCTCAGCGATCTATGGCTCTGTTCAGAATTTCGTTGTGAAACGAGAATAAATGCAGAACTAAAAGGCTCGTATCAGCTTAAAGAAAGAAAGCTAAGATTTCATCTTAAAGTCAACTTGTAACAACAATTATTCCTGCTGTGAAGCCTCTTTATATTTAGTTATTTTATTTTTCTATTAATTATTCAGAACTCATATGGTAAGGAAATTACTGGATATGAAGGTATAACATTAGTCTGTCAGACTGACCAGGGATCTCTTAGTTTCGATAAACTAAGAGATCCCTGGCCAGTATAATATCTCGATAGATATTATTATATCAACCGGTAATTATGCACTTCTGAATATAGGCCCGTAATAATAACTTGGCAGGGCGAATTGGCAACCGCAGTTAGATTTTGGTGATGCTTTAAGAGAAACACTGCTGCCCATCCTTCGACCATAATCGCCTCATACGACACCTACAGGAAGGGGTTTCATTCTATACCGGGACCACACTACACTAATACTATTCATGTCAATATACAATGGTTACTTTCCATCATACTGGCCGTCGATTTGTTTGCTTTTCCAAAGACACTTAAAAAATAAAAGAGACTTCGAAGACAGCACCAATTAAGAAATTCCATAAACACACGCGGGCAAAAACTGTTTTCCGTAAAACAATCGGTATGCGGCTCTCGAGCGTGGAGCTCAGCTTCATCGGATCACTTTCATTTCAGTGAAACTGCAGTATCTGGAGCAATATGGGACGGAGCAAGGCACGAGATTTACGCGGTATGTATATAAATACACGTAAAATAAAAAATGAAATCACGTTGTGATTATTTCTTGTAATTATTTATATTTATAATAAGTTTACTATTGTAATCTTTTGGAAGAGAGAATAAAGAGTGTCTATCTATCTATCACCTCGTAAGGCATGTAGCTTACAGCGAATATTATTATTAAGAGATGGGCTTTTTCAGGCAGAAAACCTATGACACTGCGACCTTTCTATGATCTTTTGTGTTCGCCCTTTTATAAAGTTCGCTGCTAATTCCTATCATTGATAGAAATTTTAAGATGTTCTTTGTAACGATGTTTTTTATTTCCTCAGGCTACATAGTGTATTTTCCAAAGGAGATATATAACAGCGAATAACATGGGCTTTATTTTATTAAAAAAAAAAAACCTAACAGCGAATGACATGAGCTGTATTTCATTAAAAGAACCGTGCGAAACCGGATTGCGTTGCTAGTACTTTGATACCCATACCAATATTAATAATATTAAAGTGAGTTCATTAGAGGGGAGGGTATTTTTTATTATTTGAGACAATGGAATGGTGACCCGGCTGCGCTATCGGTATACGCTGGCGGCAGTGATAGATGGTAGGTGAGAATGAAAGCAGGTCAGTTAGCCCATCCTGACGAATTCAACTAGAATTAGCTACGATGGTTTCCAGGGGGAACCACGTGAAGGTCGACCCGACAAGGAATAATGCTAGTAATGGGGCTATTTGACTCCATTACTAACAATCCCTTTCCCGCCAGCAGTTGTGTTTGCATTGCTGTGTTTCGGTTTGAAGGGTAGGATATGGTAGTGAATTTACAGTGTACAGAGGAATCGTCAGGAATGGCAACGCATGGGGGGTATCATGGGTGAAACAGTATACTCTGTTATGTGCATGGTACTGCTCATGTCTATAGGCGACGGTTACTTTTCATCAGATGGGTCGTCAGCTTGTTTGCCGTTCTAAGTTGTATAAAAAAAAATAGCCACGAACTAAAAATAAATCGCCACCGCTTGTGCCGTGTACCACAATGTGAATATGATCTGCGAACAGCGGTCGTGGCTACTGTCTAATTTTCTGTTTATTCTCATTGGTAATTATATTTTTTTTACGGTGTGTGACGTTGCACGCATGCTGTTACGTGTGCGGCCGTGTTATTTGGACCTTGCAATAGAAAATGATCGTAAATTGTTGAAATAAACACCGCCACATTATTTATTTATTCATTTGTAGATATATGTGTACATGGCGGACTTAATGCTTAAAGCGTTCTCTCCCAGTCAACCACAGGGAAGTGTCAGAATACTCGAATGTGGTACTAATAATTATTGATATACATACATACTAAAATTACATATATAAACGAATAAATATATATAAATAACACATATATAACATATACTATATTATACATGAAATCATGGCAAAAAAAAGTTATTTTGATTTAAAAACTAAGCTACTAAATCGGTTTAAATAAAATTAAACCAGCCAATAAAAAATCATTTTAGCGGTTAGGTGGTGCAGTAGTCTCGTGCGTGCCGGCAAGATGGCCTGGCTCCAAAACACGAAAATATATTTAATTTGAAAGAAAAAAATCTGGGGTCTGAAAGGGTTAATTTATGTTTATAAGATTTATTTTATATATATAATATATATATATAAAATAAGTCGTCCTCCGTGGCGCAGCGGTCAACACGCCTGCCTGCGACGTGGAGGCCCCGGGTTCGATCCCCGGCCAGGTCATGATGGAAAACGATCTTTTCCTGATTGGCCTGGGTCTTGGATGTTTATCTATATACGTATCTATTATAAATATAGTATCGTTGAGTTAGTATCCCATAACACAAGTCTCGAACTTACTTTGGGGCTAGCTCAGTCTGTGTGATTTGTCCGTATATATTTATTATTATTATTTATTATATATGTTTTCGAGAAGAAAGGTTCTTGAGTGGCACTACCCCCTACACGGCATTTGCCCGTACACCACCCCACTAGATGGAGTGACGACCTGAAATATTATTCATTGCAGGTAGTTCGGGGCCGTTTCTTATGGCAGAAGGACTATGGAGGAAGCTTATGTCCAGCAGTGGACGGATTATACCTGAAATGATGACGATGATGATATGTTTTATAGCACCTTTTATCAATTAGAAATATTAAAAATTTTGAAATTAATTTTGATAGTTGCAACGTCGCCACACCTGTTGAGGTTTCCCAACAAACTACTGTATGGAATTCTTAAAAAAAAAGGGGGTAAAGAGGTTTCTTCAGGGTCGGCAACGCGCGTAATACCCCTAGCATTCATAGGCTACAGTAACCGCTTACCATCAGATGATCTATATGCTTGTTTGCCACTGAAGTAGTATAAAAAAACTTGTTTTGAGCGCTCTTCAATACACACATTTTCAATCTACCAATTCTCATGTTTCTTCACGGAGTTTATCCAAGATTTGATGAAGAGGCAATTTTTTGCGGGGCAAAACATACGTGTTAATATTTACTCCTAAATCGCTCCTTTATAAATTTGTTGAAAGCTTGTTTTTTTTATTCTTAAATTATAGGTAAGTAGATATTTTTTAAACAAGAATATGAATAAGAAGCTGTTTAGTGTAACACTGAAATAATTTCCGTGATTTCAGCAACACAATAGACACTGTAAAGTCCGTAGATTGAGGTCAAATTGACATAGAATTCGGATTACAATGATTCAGAGAAAGGAATTGATTATAAAAACTATAAGTAGGTAGTAAAAGAACAACTAATTGGACAGAGTAAAAAAGTTAATCTAGATTAATAATACCTATGTAGATCTGTAATGTAAAAGAGAAAAATATATTTTTTTTTACAACACACTGGGCAAACGAGCATGCAGCTCACCTGATGGTAAGTGACTACCGCCGCCCATGATCACCCACAACACCAGCGGCATTGCAGGTGTGCTGCCGGCCTTTTAAAGTTGTAATAATAGTGCTGAAGTTTTTGGTAAGCAATATACGCTGTTATGTCGACCTCCACGTGGCCCCTCTGGAAACCATCGTGCTGAATTCCAGGTATAGTCATCACGGTAGGCTAACTTTCCTGCCTTTTCATACTCACCTATCAGCCTTCACTGGTGACCCGCCAGCATATACCGTTAGCACAGCCAGGACAAGCATTCCATTATCATCCATTAAAAAAAAACAGTCTAGCGATATTACTCTTTCAAATAATAACTTTAATAGCATCGCAGCCAAAATAATACCGTACTAGATTGAACGTAAATTCGGAAAAATATCATCTGCAATAAATACAGATTATCCTAGCAGGGGTCGCCACCAGAGACTATAGAGTGACCCCCGCCCCCCCCACCAGAACAATAAACTATTAATCTGTGTGATCTAATTTTTTTTTTATTTAAACTAAGCGCGCGATACTTAATCTATGACATGACGCCATTGCCATTTGTGTATTAGAACGAAAAGTTTATTTTTTAAATTATATTTTTTAATGACCAGTATTCTTGGTAGTGGCCAGTCTAATTAAATAATGTTTAATCAATATTCTACTGTTATATACTATATTCCTATGTTATTAGTAATTACATATTGTTGTACAATTATTATAATAAATTTCGCAATTTTGTCAAAATTTTGCTTGTCTCCGTAGGTGTCTTATAATCCGTCTCAAAATATGTAAATATATGGTAGATTCTGCGTTATTCTTAGATAAATTCTATAAACATTTCTCGACATTTGGTAATAGGAACTCCGAATCGGAAGTTAAGCGCCCCTCTTTTCAACGTAAGGGTCCTAAAATTAAAACGTAAAGTGGCGACATCTTCATTGTATGTAGTTGTTTCGATCCAAGCGAGTGCATCACTAATTTACAAGTATGACAAACATTTAGGTACCTACCAACGTGTGCCATAAACCGGTATTATTAACGTACTTAACGTACGATCTGTTCGTTCAACCCGCCACGTCACGGCGTATATTTAAATCAAACTGTTGACCTTGTCTTGGTTGAAACGCCAGATGATGGTGAGTCTGATGTGCCAAAGCTGGAATTAGTGTTGTCCTTGTCTTGCCGTAAAAGAGAGAAAAGGACGGAGTT